CGATAGTTCACCGAAGTATTCTCATACTCTTTGCTATAATACTACTGAAATCAATGAAAGTAGACTTTTTAGATTTGCTTAGATGGGCATAACATTTTTCACTCATTCACAGCTCCCTGAAAGACATATCTATTTAACTGGCCCATGTTGCAATCATCATTTTTCTTTTAATACCTGCATACTTAGGTCCGTTTCCCTTCTTCAGTTCAAGGTCGATATAATCAGCTAGGAGCTCGAATTTCTTACTGCATTCATTAATTACTGCATTCATCAAACTAGTTAGGTAAAAGAAGGGAAGAAAGCTTCCGGCAGTTATCTAACCTGAATAGTGGTTCATATTTTGCTCGTAACTTTGTTGCTTGAAAAGCCCGTACTGAACAACTCATTTTGCGCTCAATACTAATCTGATGTTTGATTTTGTTATACATTTGCAAATGGCTAGAAAATGCTATGGCTTTTTCAATAGCTAATGAAGTACGCCAACGCTTTCACCACTCATCGCTATAATGAAAGGGAGATTTCACGAAGCTATGGGCCTAGATTCGTTTAAATATAGGATCCCCATCATTCACAATTAATAATGAAGTTTTATTTACACCTTTCATCAACTTTTCTCGTTTTATCCATGGGTTCACCTCCCCATGCTGTATATTTGGCATGTGTATTAACTGTGCTTACCAAAGACCCGAGAGGTCTCAATTGCTTTTATCGCTTCTTTATATTTCTTAGTTTGGCGAAGTGGAGGCATATACCAAATGAATAATCTACCCCTCATTTATATCGCAGCTCCTGACGCACATACATTTTCGACTGTTTCGAATTATTTAGCATTTACTCTAGCCAGGATGGAGTTCAATAACGAACATCCATCATCTGTTGCTTATTTATTTAGATAAGTATATAGCCCGTAAAATGAAAATCGACCTTCATTGATTCAGAGTGCTAGGAGAGATGTTGGCTGGGTTTGAGAAATTGCTTCAAAATATCTAGCATGGTAACCTCCTTGAACAGATAAGTATCAGGATAACCTTCAAATTTTTTCCAACTAAGGCTTGGTAAGGAAATTAAGACCTTCGCGCTAACGTTGTGGAAAACAGCGGAAGTTCTATAGCAAATACACGTCGAAATAATTACAATTATACATTGATGACGTATATAGGAAAATTTGAAGTTCAACCAAAAGATACCAACTTAACAGAAAACTGTTAATTCCTTATCGGCTTAGAACATAGCAACTTTCCATTAAGAAAAAGAGTTATGCCGAGATCTCAAAAAATTGTAGCATTTAAATGTGTCTTAAGTTCTTCAACATATTCTCACCTTTTTCGGTAAATCTGAATCTTTGAGGAATTTAAAAACCGACTCCATAATGTACCGCTTGGTAATATAAAGGATTACTCAAAACTGGACGTCGATCCTTGAGACGGTGGTAAAGCAGGGTGCCGATTTTAATTGCTAACATTGAAAATCTACGTGAAGAATGACTTAATGCATTGGGAAATAAGTAAATGTGTGAGAAATATTGCGTCGATTGAAAAAAATAGGAACATGTGGCGGGACTTTCACTAGCAAAGAGAGCTGGGGCCTGCAACGTCGGATAATCATACTGGCAAAGCAATGGGTCCAGAACTAATCAAATGGTTTGCAACCTATATCATAATAGGCACGCCAGAAAACATAAAATACGCTGAATCTGAGAAAGTAGTCTTGGAAATATCTGGTCAAAAAATGAACCACTATTTCCTCGTCGGTATCAAACGTGTGTTGTCGTTTTTCTATTTGTTGCTGTAATATTATTAGGTAACCTAAATAAAAACTTGGGGTTTATTATTATCTGTCATAACTGAAGCTTGTTTTGAAAGTTCTGTTTTGGCGTTCGGATGGTACTAGCTAGAAAAGTGCTCTGCTAAGCGTTTGAGGAAAAGTTTTTAAGCAATTGAATTTTATTGAAAATTAAATAAGCGTAACAAAAAAAACCTTTGCTATCTGACTTACTAATAGTAGCTATTTGTGACAAAACAGATAAAGGAAAAGGCAGATCTTTCACTGCACGCATATATTCTCATTTTCACAGTTTATGCGGCATTTCTCATAAAATCACATATTTCATAAAGTAGCATATGCAAAGCTACTTATACTAAAAAATTTTAACATTCATTGTAAAATCAACGTTGGTAGTTAAAGGTCCAATTATAAAGATTGTTTCCTTAGTGAACTCTATAATCCTCTCATCGATTAATCACGGGTTATAAAATACTTTGTATGCGGGGCTTAGAGCCGAAAGCAATATTTGGCCATTGTCGCCGAATCCGACAGGCCGCCATAAGATTATAAATTAGAGCGCTGACTGTTTATGCCGTTACCGGCCATTATACGACTTTCGAAAAATCCGGGAAAAGGTTTTGTAAGTTAATACGGAACATTCGTAGTAAAAATCAGATTGAAAATGTTAAAAGTTCATCATAAAGGACTCAAAGTGTGTTCAGAATTTTTATACAAATGCTAAAGACCCTTCCAAGATGAGGTCATTTATTATGAGCAGTTAATGTGTAGTGTGTCCGATCGTGGCCAACGAGTTTAGCTTAGCAAGTCTAAACCTACCAATGTTGCTCCGTCCACGGTTCGTAGTGAAAAATCACTTGGGACTTTAAACAATGAATTTCTACAAAGTGTGAACGATTAATACGTTAACCGAAAGCGTGATCAAAGGGAATCGCACTTATATTGAAGAGACACACTTGCCCACAAAGATATCCGTGTTGGCATGAGCAACGAAATTTTAATTCATATAAAAAGTGAAAATTATAATTTGTCAGCAAATGCAAGGTACGGCAAAATATATCCTGACACAGTTTTCAGAAAAATCTGTAGGGTGGTGCGTTCAAACTACTGGAAATACTACATGCGTTCATACACTGCTCCAGGTCCAGACGAAAACTTGTTTTTTTCTGGAACAACACAACAAAGTCATCATGACAGACGACAGTGCCTCGTTTTAGGACTTTAAAAAAATATATTTTCGCTCATTATTTTGCGCTGAACAAGCTCGTCCGCTTAATGCTCAAAAAACAGATTAACTCTAGGAAAGAAATGCCGCTCTCGTTAAAACTTTCGTTGGCTTCAACCTTTATATTTCACGTTATTTATTAATTTCCTCGAAATATTTTTCTGGCTTGCACTGCTTTATATTTATATTTTTACTAATAATTTATTGTAGTTAACAAAGAGTCGCGGTCTTATAGCGATTCTGGAATACTTAATAATTAACTTTCCTTTCCTTCTTGACATACATGATCTGCAAGAATGTACTGCAATTAAATGAACTTACAAGCATGACACATGATATTTAGTAGTGACTTCTACGGCTGAGTCAACAAATAAGAACCTATGCAATACATAAATCAAAAAGAGAATGACAACAGAATGTGTAATAGACCTTTGTATCATTATTTGCTTTAAAATATACTAAGTTATTATTAAAATATTATAAAACATAAAAAAAAAGCCCCAGCAACGCAGCGTTATCAAAGAGTGATAGTTAAAATGAATTATATAAATTCATGTTAACTATCACTCTTTGTTTTTGGATTGCTTATATTACACTACGAGACTTGTTTAATAGGACATAGGTTAGCTACATTTTTTGACTCGGCTGTGCATACGAGTGTGTTATGAATTAGTGCTTCGATTTGATTTTTGTTACAAACGAAATTGTGACTTCTGTCTCTCTCTCTCTATATATATATATATACATGTCCTTCACAACGTTTTTAATGTGAAATCAAAGACATTTTTGTGTATATAAGTTGGTAAAATATATGTGGAGACTGGCCAGAAAGTTTATTATTTGTCCAGCTCACCTGGTAGTCCTAAAGGATTTTATAATCATTTTTCCCAATCTTGCAATTTTCTTATAAATATAATCTAGGCGCTTCCTTATTTCTGCTATCAAATGATTTATCAAATGTTCCAAATATATTTTAAATTCTGGTTCTTGCTCTAAATTACAGGTTTATTGCTACGTTGATATTGTGTCTCGCTTCACAATTCAACTACAGAATACTCAGTATTTAACTTAATATTTGGTCAACCCAGGATGTTATTGTCATACATTAAGTTGACTATTATAATATCGCGTCGTTCGATCACCGCATTTGTTAGACTGAATGCCTGACAACACCGTCATGGAAATGTTGCGGGCCGTCCAGATACGCATCAACAAGAAACTGATGCAAGAAACATATAGCATGTGGTCCATCTAGATATGCCAGCTGTGAAAACAGTCATAGAACTGATCGGAGGAGCACAATATTATACCAATTTGTATCCTTTACTCTGTAACTGACCGTAGCGTGATGCATATAATAATTCACAACAAACAGGCGTGGGTAAATGTCTATATATGATCTGATAGATAACAAAAAGTAGTTTGCTTTATTACTTGGTTGGAGTGAGTACCTGCATTCCTATTAAAATGTTTCAGAACGGTAAAAGCAATATTGTTTTCATACATGGGCATCTTAAGAACGATAAGTTGTTTGTGGACATTTTCGATGATCGAATACAAAAAGCAGGTATTTAGCATTGAAACACGTATTAATATTCAAACGTTTAGCGCACCTATCATTACGTCTTGCATGCTAGCGGTAAACGCAAATACATCTTCTGCGATATATGAAAGATAATACAGAGCTAGCAATAATGGCTAAACAGACTGGGTGCACGAGTGAGTGTGACGTAATAGGCTGAATTTTACAAAGAACCCTTGGCGAGACCGTGTATGTGTAAGAACTATGAATATACCAATGTAAATGTACGTTCTTGAAGAATGGTAAAATGCATTTGCCTTTGGTTGCTTGCGTAAAATCGTCGAGCAAGGATTTAGAAATCTTAAAGGCTCACTCTTATATTACAGTAATTAACGGAAAGCTTTCGTAGCCTGTGGTATTAAAAATTTGTGATATGATAAAATTTCAAGGCGGTGCTACTGTTTCTTTGCGTATCGCTGCGTGCGCTAGATTGGCTCGTTCTAAACGTCACACAATCGAAATCCGCTAAGCAAAAATATAACTTTTTTTTTCTATTGGCGGTTGTATTCTTTTAAAGTGCAAAATGGCTTACGTTAGGACATGTTAGCCTTTCGTGTTTTTTTTTAGATACGTGAGAGCAAACGATTTTTAAGTGTTGTATTTTCCCATGTCCGTACTTCAAGAAACGCTCAATTGTCACTTGTACATCTACGATACTTATATTTTTTAAAAATATCAGAACATTATGCACATTGTTAAATCTCTATGAACTTAAGACTTCTAACGCTGCATAAAACATGACCATTTAAAAAGGTGGGGGTAAAAACGAGATGTTTGGAGCGCGAATGTTTGCTATATTAGACGATGTACTTTCTAGATAAGAAAAGGACAAAGTTGCACCGACAAAATATTTACTTGATTCCGTTCTTGCAAATGTTGGACACAGTATAGTGGTTTTGCTGTTATTTCTAGTAATTCCTGTGGCTCTCTTTTCCTTATTGCGCTTCTACACCGGCCGAAACATACAGTTTGTGAGTATTGGCTATATGTTTTCGTTTGGTAAATCTATTCATACGTTTTAGTAACGACTTGATTGGCTTTGGCCTGTCTACCCGGTAAGGTTTAATAATGGCAGTCTTTGTAACTCTATGGGCCGAATGACCAATGATAACAGTAAGAAAAGCTTAGGTGACAAAAGGTTCATATGGCTCGGCAAGTCGATTTTGACGATGGAAACACACTTTGACTGAGAAAATGAAGTAGTATAAATAAATAAACGACTAGCGCTAATGCCAGTAAGGCAGTAAGCATTTTCAGATTTTCGTTTATCCACGGGTATCAAATGGGTTTCATTTAATTTGAGGACTACACTGCCTGAGCATATGCTCGAACGCCTATCCTAACCTAGAATAGTTGTAACAGCTAAACGTCTGAGTTGTGCTCAAACATATTACGATTAATTCTATCATCTAACTATGACTGTGTTGTCACTGTATATTCATAGACATTACAAGCTATTTTACATCGCTATATAAGTGTTGTAGCAACAAGAACTAGCATTATATTTAATGTGCAGTCGTGAATTGTGTAAAAAAGCAGTTCCTGTATGTCGCCATACTGTTATTGAGTTGCTGATTTTGATCTAACGTAATCCATATTTGACGACAAGGCGAATTAATTTGAGCTATCAAATGTACTAAATTAACTATGTAAGACTTTGGGGAGGACAGGAGGAAATTTTTTGAATTTTTATTTTCAATGCCGATTGTCTAAAGTTCTCTTAATTACGTCAGGATGCGCACAGGATAAAGCAAGAGGACCTTGTAAAATGATTAAGCTAAACGAAATTAGCCATGGCTACAAAAGACGACAGGGACAAGATGTCCTCAATAGCCGGCCTGTTTGAAACGAAAGCAATAATGTGTGAAGCCGACGATGGCACCCGAACCAATGAATATAGCGAGTTATAGCAGAATCAGGTGACCTTAAATTCTGTCAAGTAAGAATTTCTTAACTTTGTTTCTGTATTCCTCGTTTTCTTATTATGTGTTTTCAATTAAGAATGTGTGAATGTTTGTTTACGTGAACTGTGCCATAGGAGATATGATTAGAGTACTGCATTTAGTACCAATGCTTCAGTTCTTTGTCTTTAGCGTCAAAAGCATTGGTCCAAAGAAGCATATGTTGTGTTTTTCCGTTCAGTAGTTCAATTTTTTCATTATTTCGTGCCGCTTATCGGTCAATTAATAACTATTTCATTAGTGTTGTTTTTTCTACTATCGCCTAATTGCCTGAAATTTAGGAGTGCGAATCATGGTAAAATGTAGCATCCATTTATGCTCTTGAATGAACATTTTAAGTCAAATTGTTTCATTCCTTCAGACTATGATATAGTTCAACATGCAGGTGCCTGAAGTGCGTTATCTCTATGAAAAGCGTGTAAAATACTTTTTATGTAGTTGTTGGGAAAAATTCCAACTAGAGCTCCAACGATTTTTATAATTTCTTTGGCTAAATTTAGGCTGATGAGAACATTTCAGGACTATATTTTCATATCTAGCAAAAATCATTTTTATTGCGTAGAGATCTTTGTTAAGAAAATGACTTGTGGTGCGATTAGTTAGCCGGCTGGGTAGATTACCGGCTTGTTAATAATCTATACGTAGGCTAAGTTGGGATAAAATTCATTTTTTCTTTTTTTTTCTTTTTTAAAGCAGGTATCTCGATGACATTTTTTGTATGTGCCGCCGAAGACATAAAGGTGTGTTTCTTCAATCCAATACAGCCATTCGGTTCAATCACGGCTTCAGTTCGAAGCCTAAACTACTCACAAGCCCGCGTCAGAACCTCCTTAACAAGAACAAGCGAGTCAACTTTGTTATGTAGAGATCTATCATAATGTATATAATCAGGCCCTCATATAATGATCCAAATCATTTTAAATGATATATTAAACGTTTAAAAAAATGTTCACCTCAGTAAGCATTTTTATTGCTTGTATGGGTGTCTGGCTAAAAGATTCGCCATCATTTAACATAGGAGCCCACGGTTTTTCCAAAATTTAACCACAAACACGCCTTTCTGGTAACGGATACTGTTTCTAACTTTCTTTCACCTGGCATCTAGAATGTGAAATGTGGCTCGAAACTGGACACTAATATTAGTAAAATGTGACGCCAGTATGATTAGAGCACTTTTTAATAATTGATTTCATTGGTCTTTGTGTTTGTGGAAATCAATTGTGTTTCACTGTTTTAACATGGGTCCTACGGCTTCACCTGCATAGTGTGCATTTTCCTGCGCATAGAACCTATCATAAGTGTCTCTATTTCTCCCAACAAATTGACTTTTTGTGAACCTTACTCTTCAGGTCTGTGGCTTATAAGCCTGGCCACCTCTAGTATTTTTGCTATTGCATTCCCGTTAATTCACATCATGAAATAACTCACATATGGGCCCACAGACTTCTTGCAACTATTTTGCGTTTCACGTGAAACTTCTTAAATTCCTAAATCCACCATAGGAGAGTAATTTGCGTTATGCGACCTAGCATAATTTTAATAAAATTAACGAGTTTAAATTTAAAAAGTTCGCTTTGTTTGAGGGATTTATTTAAGCACCAATATTATTCGACGAATTAGAGACGTTCTTACGTTAAAAATAGGCAATTACCTTATTTTATGGTTACGCAATTGTACAAAATAATATTATTAGGTCGCTTACGTGGTTTTGTGGACAAGCAAAAAGCTACTTTTAAATATATTTTTAAAGCGTAATTCTGGTGTTTTATATGAACAGTAATTCAGGAATTGATCCAACAGGTTAGTTATGTTGAAGTATAGCGGCGTCTACGAAACTTGTGGCTTAATGGTCTTAAACTCTTATAGTCTAGAAAGCCCTTTTGTTGTTTAAAACTTTCCGTGAATGTACTATAGATGGAAAATTTTATTGCAGTGGTTGGGCGGTAATGGTCGATGAAGTCGCATTTTGTTAGTTGCCAGTATATTGCTAAGTAATCCTATATATATATATATATATATATATATATATATATATATAAGCGTCTCAGAATACCATAGTTATATCACATTTGAATAGGATAGGTGTAAGTATCGGAATAGTTTAATAGGCCGTAGCTACACAAGTCTACTATTATTAAATACTCTCGTAAGTGGTAGACTGACACGATTACAGGGTGAGTTGAATGCCATGCGTACAACTGTCCCTTATATGCTATTATAATCCCAACTTTAGCTCTGTTAGGGTTTAAATTATTCGACCTATTGATATCAGCACCCCCGCATTCTACATTTGGTCAACATGAATACCATTATATCTTCTATCCGTGATATACTCGAAATGGTACCCATATCACCAGGGGCAATACGCTTTTAACGCCGGTACTAGTGCTAAAAGATGAGCCTTTTTAACAAGTGCAGTATATGGAAAACCATCAATTTTTACAGCGACCTGAATTATTGCTATGTCAAACTTTTCTATAGCCAAAGCCCTCGATCACGGCCAATGGCTGCCGGACCACGGGAAGCAGTTGCGTGAATGACGTACTGTTGGAGACCACCGCAAAAATAAGACTAGTCAGAATGAAGTCCGGACAGGCAGCCAGACTCGACTTTCATGAGGTTAGCAAAATCATCATTAAAAAATTTTGCAAAAAGTTTTAGCAAATTTCCTGTTGTTTATCTCTAACTACTTACCTATTAGTTATATCGAATTCAGTTATAACCTGATTATAATCCAGTTATAAAAATGAAATAACAAAAATAGTACTAAAGGGTTCGAGGTTATCATGTTGTGTATAATATGTGATGTTAATATACCATTTCATTAAAAACAACATATCTAAACTTCAAAATATAACATCATTATATTTTCATGGCGAAGTTTCAAAGTTTCATCCTCAACCTTTTTTAAAGCAGGTAGGAAAGCATCCACGTGTAAGTATTCTTCAGGTGTTCGGTTCATTCTATCGCTGAGACCATGAGTAGCTTTTCCTTTTATAGTACGCTCTTATTTATAGTATGATTTTTTTAAAACAAACAGGAAGACATTTTTGCTACTTTTCACTCTGCTGAAATCAAAAAAGTGCCCAAATTAATCCAACAAACGTATAGCAAGCAGTGATGCTATAGTTTAGCCGAAGGTCTTTGCTGTTTTCAAAATAAATCTTTTTCCGCTTTACCGTGATGCAAGTGTCTGAGAAATTTTTTCCTCGGTTTACAGGTTGCTGCCCCTAATAATAATAATCCGTTTTATCATTTACCAACAGTATGTGTAATGATATTCATCGCGATCAAATTCATAATCAGTATAGGATAAATACAGAGATATTACAGACTTGATCTAGTGTAATAGCTTATTGTAATATTTTATTGTTTTGCCGTTGATGGGATTCTATAGATTCGTTCGTGTTCCACGGTACTGAGTGGTTATTTCGAGACGCCAAATAATCTTAAGATAATTTATAAAGTGCTATCTAAATGAAATCTCATGTAAATGTTCTTCATGGACTTAATGTAATAAGTCCTCCTTGTTTTTACTACCAAACAGGTTGCTCGTGAACTGGGTGTGGACGACCTGACACGAGGCCTCAGTTGGTCGGATGCTAATCGCCGCCTGCATCAATTTGGCCCTAATGAATTTTGCATGGCTTCTCAAGAATCGCTGTTTACAAAGTACCTCGAACAGTTCCAGAACCCCCTTATATGCTTGTTGTTAGCCTCTGCCCTCGTGTCGATTCTCATGGCACAGTATGACGACGCTGTATCGATCACTGTAGCGATAGTTATCGTCGTCTCCGTTGCCTTCGTTCAAGAATATAGGTAAGGAAGTGTTGACGAAGATCATCGTCGTTTGAAGAAATGGTTTAACTCTTGTATATGCTCAGCGGCAGCAGATATAATCTAATTCCGTTCAGAAGCATTTTATTCGAGATACAATGCTCATTGTGCAATCGTATTCTGCATTCACTAGCAGAATCAATGGGACACCGCCTGTTACCCTATTTTTTCGTTAGTTCGAATCTGTTCAGAAACTGATAAAGAGGACAATCACTTTAATATTTATTGGCGTATTTATCGTACAGGAAAAATGTTCATTATGAAAATATATATAGGTCTTAACGAAAAGCTCAAGCCCGCAATGGTGCTACATGTTACAACTTTAATATCCATGCGCATATTATTAAAAAGATTGTCTAATCTTTTTAATTTTTTTAACGAGTGTTAAGTTTTTATATTATGTAAAAGTAAAAAAAATATATGACTCCAACAGTTGATGTTTATTCTTCTAAGAGTGTTTCCAAAAGGAAACTCACTGTAAAGTAAATTTTGGTTATCTCAAAACTTTATGAAAAAGCATTTCTAATTGTTTTAAGACTTCTGCCAAAAAGTGTTTCCCAATTGTTGGCCATCTTGGGCAATAATTTCAATATATACTTCACGGTTAAAAGAAACTCTATTACATTATTATTATTACAGAATATTGTATTCTTTTTATTTAACAAACTTTTATACAACGTAAAGGTGTACATTTACTAAAAAATCTAGCGCATGAGATAAGATTGTAAAGAATATTCGGAAAGCAGCCATTACTTCTCAGCGTTTCTAATTACTGATCACTAAAGATTAGATGAATGTTACCTCAATGACTTTATTGCATGAGCCCCTCGATGACTAAAATAATTATCGGGGTATAACGCAAACGGCCTTTGTCGTACCGCTTGATAAAAAAACATGCCACAAATCTATAGTGATTTCTCCAATTAAAACTAATATAACTAATAATATAACTAAGTAATACAAAACCTCAGTGTTTAGTGTTATTAGTTAAATGTAGCAAGTAAATGTGAAAGAATGGGAAAAATGTCTGCTGCCCTCATAATGTTTGTTATTAGATTGTTATTAGTTGATCGATGTATTTTTTATTTGAATTTAAATGAGAAGCAATACCTATCTGAAAATATCAATTTCCCTACGAAATCTTGTTTGTGCCAGTTTTGAGTCTTTAGAAATGTAGAGAAATTTTGATATGAAAATATTAAATGTGGTAACTATTGATATGATCCTCAAAACAGTAATATTTAGTTTAATTTGCACTAAATTTACGGAAAATTATGCAGACAGGAATACAACAAATATACAATATTGGCAATACTTCCAGTAATTTCAGTTCAAATAAATATATTCACTTTTGGCAGATAGATCAGAAGAACTATTATATAACAGCGTCTTATACACACCATTGTTAAAACTGTCAATAACATCAGAAACGATATATCTTGGGCTGGTTAAGAGGTTAGGTTTCCTAACGTGAGCAGACGGGGAAATCGAGCGGTGTAGTTTTGACACATAGTAGTATATGACACAGTTACACATAAATCACAAGCCATTCACCGCGTACCTTATGTGAAATCTTGTTTATGGTGGAAAACTTTATGATAGAACTGAAAAAAGCAAACTTAGAATAGAGAGTAAGAGGTTCAAATATTCTTACTCGTAGGCTTTTCCAATGCTGTGTAAGCTGTGCTACGTGCGTAAGGATTCTATAATTGTCCGTTTTATAAACTGTGGTGATAACATGCAGAACTGAACGAGATGAATGATATCGCCCCCTTCACAAGGTTTTCAATCTAGAGGTTTATTCTCATAAAGTAATTCTCATAAAATTGTTTTTTTTTTTTGTTAGTTTCTTAAACTTAAAACTTCAAAAATGTAAACTGGCATTTTAGTAAGTGAAGGAATTTTAGTTCTAAGCTTACTTGCCGTTAGATAAGGAAAATGGTATTTCGAAAATATTTTTGTTTAAAGTCGGTACTTTCTAGAAGTTGCATTAACCTGAAAAAATATCAAATTGTGGACAAAATAGATCACAATCACCATTAATAACAATTAAAATTTACGGCATACCTAAACACTATGTGGTGTCGGGCACATAGGAAAAATCTTGTTGTGTAAAAATTGACAATACTCTTTGCCATATCTAGAGCTCCTCAAGGGAAGTGTGCCTTCTCACAATTATGCAATCTTTGTTATGAGGATAGCTGTGTTAGGTGTTATAAATTGCCTGACCATATATATGTCAAATATGCTGACGATTTAAAGTGTTGCCGTAATATGTCTTTACCTCAGTCATACGGTGTAATGCAATAAACAGCCACCGGTACTTTCAGGTGGCGTACTGAAAGTAGTATGCAACCCGTGGTCCAAAGTGTGCCATTTTCAGGAACGTTTCGGACTAGCGGGATTTTTATAACTGCAAATTCAAAATTTTACGAATGGCCAATCACACAGATTGACTTCAGTGGTTGCAAATACAATATTTCGATGCTCTGTGGTCAAGTATTCTAAAGCGCATATACGCCTGTACGATTCTTTGGTACTGTATATTTGCTCTTATCCTGCAATGCTAATGGTTTTCCCCTCCCTTAGGGATGTGTGATGTAATATGCTGATACACTAATGTCGCTGAGGTATATCTAATACAGATAGATTTTATAATCAACTCTATAAGTTTAATCAACTCTTAAGAGTTCATTAAACCTGCGTTGCAATTGCCGACAAACAAATGCATTGTGAAAAAAGTCCGCGGGAGCCACCTGCAATACTAAATCATATGCTGGAATACGTTACGTGGAGATCTAGGTGGAAGGAGAGAAGATTAGGTTTTAGAGAGGAAATTTAGATGTTTTTTATATTCGTATTTAATATAAAATACTTTTTTACATATTTGTATAAGTCAACGACAGCGAAAAAATGTATTCTTTTCGCTTTGTATACGTTTCAGGTCCGAGAAGTCATTAGAAGAATTGTCAAAACTTGTAGCGCACACCTGTGCTGTCTTACGGGACGGCCAGGTCGAACATATGGCGGCACGAAATCTCGTACCGGGTGATGTAGTGCTTCTACAAATCGGCGATCGTGTGCCTGCAGATGTGCGACTATTCCACTGCAATCAGTTGCAAATCGATGAGAGTAGTCTAACGGGTACGAAACTTCCAATTAACGCGGCCAAAAGTATCTTATTATGTATATTAAATATGACGTATACAACTATCAGGAACCTAGTTACAGGATGATTTTCAAGGCTTATATTTGTTTCACACGATTCTGTTATTAAGGTGAAACGGAACCAGCAGCAAAGCACAGCGAAGCTCTACCTAATTCAGCCGGCTCCGATGTGTCATCTAAGGCGAGTATCGCTTTCATGGGTACACTGGTGCGGTATGGCAATGGCCGAGGTGTCGTGATCAATACTGGCGAGCAGTCAGAATTTGGTGATATTTTCCGAATGATGAAAGCAGAAGACTCACCAAAAACACCTTTACAACGAAGCATGGATTCGCTCGGCAAGCAGCTGAGTGTGTATTCGTTTGCCATTATTGGTAAGTGATAATTGACAATGCGTTGCGTTTTAAACCCTTCTAATATGCTATATATATATATATATACCGAATGTTGTTTGTGGTACGTAGGTGTCATTATGCTAGTAGGGTGGCTGCAGGGGAGACCCTTAGTGTCAATGTTCAATATCGGCGTGTCGTTAGCTGTTGCGGCAATTCCTGAAGGACTACCGATTGTAGTCACAGTTACACTCGCACTTGGAGTAATGCGAATGGCTAAGCGGAAGGCCATTGTGAAAAAACTACCCACGGTAAGCATAATTTCTCCTGAACAGCAAATCTCACCAATTATCCTATCATTCTTTACTACGTTTCAGTATCATATAAATGAATCTAGTATTGATACTTGCATAAAAATACTAAGGTACCAACTGTATACGGGTGTGTTAGATAACTCGAGGTAATTTTGGAAATGGAAATTTGTACTATAAAATAATACAGCTACCAACAATACTGGCGATGGAGGAAGTTTGCCCCACCAGTAGCAAAAACAAATCACCATGAAAACTAAGTTAGAACCGAAAAAGGGATCAGACGTTTTTAGAATCTAAAGTTAATATGAAGCAAAACATGTGGTTCTCAGGCGGCTTTTTGTAATTGCTGACTAAAAACAGGCCTAGACATATTTTTAGTTCAGTTGTAAGCTTCAATACCGCCTGGAGTTTCCAGTTTTAATATTATAACAAAGCGCATTTGGCAAGCAATGTTCATGCTAAAAAGCTTCAGCTCCTACAAAATATGCTAAGAAAACTGAATTCCAGCAACAGGAGCAAAGCTATGTATTCTGTGAACTAAGAGCCAACCGGCTTTATATACCTATGGTTTAAGTATCGGAATCCGAGGTAAAAAAGCGACATTTTAACGATTTTTGTAACAATAGTTCTTGTCTTCCTGCACGCGTGACAAAAGGGAAGATTTTAAGGAGAATTTTACATGACATGGAAGGGCTTTTTCGCTAGGTAGCTGCTACAGTACATGTTTAGCTTCCCACATACTACGTTCGTTTTAGTCACAGTAAAGCCGATTTTGCAACTGTTCACGCAGTAAAAAACGTATATTTTTTTTTATTACCGCTATCTATTATAGGTTGAGACTTTGGGATGCGTGAACGTAATCTGCTCTGACAAAACTGGTACACTCACGAAGAATGAGATGGCGGTAACTGATGTGATTACTGCGGACCTTAACCGTGTTCAGCTTCGAGACGGCCATCACGCTATATCCGAGACAGTTCATGATCTTCAGAACGTTAGAGAGGTAAGTTGTACAGCTGGTCATTACTAAAAAGCTTTCAATCATCTTTCAGAGAGCTATTGGCTGGCCAAAGGTTGCAGCACGTTAGAACGTGGAACTATATGTGGATATATATAAGGCACAGGACAGGCTATGAACCGGGTATAATGACTAAATGTAATTGCTTTGTCGTAGCTGAGGGCTGAAATTAATTTTTTTTCGGTTTAGCCTACAACTTCAATTTGCGTTTTTTTTTAAGGAAAATCACCAGCGCTAGAAGGCTTGGACTTAAGCTTTCTAACGTGCTGTGTTCACCGAAGCATCCATTCTGTAAGAGTATAGAAGTTACGCATGTTTTTCCGAATTAATATCCATTCAAAAAGGGGCGGCGACTCTTTTATGCAGGGATTGAGGTTCAACGATAGAGAGGGCGTCGACGCTCTGTAGCACGGTTGCAAGAAATGTTGTTTCAACAGCTGCATGTTCATCGAAAGTAATTCCTATGATTTGGAACACCTTATATTATATAAAATGTCTTATTAAAGATGCTTTTTTAAAATATAAGAAGTAACGTACATTCATCATACTTGAGTGAAATAAGTGATTATGGTAACCGACGTTGATTTTTAGAATGCAGAATGAATGGCTACACCTAAAGCTAAAATCATGTTTCGAGATATAATTGCAGTTGTGTGTCTCATAGAGGATGTTCCCTGAAGTACCTATACCATATACATTATTATCAAGCAAAACATTTTACAGAGTTGTCTCTGAAGTTAACTAATAATTGCGAACACTTCGTTCGGAGACGGAAAGAAATCTGCATTGCCGCAAGTTTCTACTCTTTTTTTTACCAAATCTGGTCGCACCTGATCTTATGTCTACGTCAAATTGAAATTTCAATCTTGCCTTATTAACACATATTGGAATGAAACCTTTCAATTGTGTTCCATTTTACGCCTGTAGATCTACCTTAAGTTACTGTAATGCAAAATTTCGGCAGTCTGGCAATCTGACAATTTAATTGTTTCCAGATATTTGCTCTTCCCTTTTCGAGAAGACAAATTACTTCTTTTTCACACATCGTATTCTTAAATAGCTTATTGTGCAGTCCTACGTTTAGTTTACATGTGGTAAGTAAATTTCGCTAAAACTTTACAGGTGCGACACCTACAATATATCCAACATAAATGCACAACCGAGATCCAAGAAATATATTGCAAGAAAACACGCGAAAGATGTTGCGCAAGAAAGTGCAAACGATCCAGGATAACGATTACAACGACTGGAATCAAGGGGGTCCCGTCTATAAGAACCTCACGGAGAACCTTTTCTAGAAAACATAGCTTGACCCCTTATAACGATATACACAAATTGGCTAACATGTAAAAATCTGGGTGTGATTAAATATAATTTGATCCTTTCCTTCTGCGAATAGGTGTTATCACATCATACTTTAGTGAAAATTGTACTCAATGGGCGTCACCTTAATAAAAGCACCGCGTCTTTAAAATTACCTTCAACCCTTTTTTGTCAGGTCATTACTGTACCCAAGGGACAATCTTTGCACACGAAAATGCCTTTCCGGGGTCACTTGAGTCTGCTTTCCATTCGATGGTATAAATAAATTGCGCCATATCTAGACTGCTTCAAGCCAAAAGTGTGAGAAATTACCATCGACTAATGCAATATAAGGGCCGTAGATTACTTTAGGGGATAGTTAAGAAGTCATTTTGGCAAAAGTTGACTAGTTGTATTTGGCCGGGAGCAATGAAAAAACTTAAGGGCTTTGAACGCTATTTTTAAAAATAGACAAGTATAGAGTGGGAATTGAATATAGAATTCTTCCTTTGCCACAAATCAATTCCATTTGGGGGGCTAATTGGCAGGATTTAAGTTTACTTCCTGTATGCTACCGGGACAGTAAGCGTAAAACGTTTTCATTTACAACATTGCAAACAGTCCCTACTTTGCAAATCCTTCGTTGGTGGTCTAAATTAAACAAAAAATACAGTAATCCCAATTTATATTCTGGGATAGTTTTCTGACAGTTAGCTGCAAAATTTAACTTTCGGATCTAAAAAAAATTGGATTTAAACTGTCAGTATGCAGGTAAAAAGCCTTTCTTATTATTGTGATCTATAACCTTGCGATATTGTTGTACGAAATACAGGTTCTTAAATGCGGCGCCATCTGTAACAACGCCGATATTGTTTCCGGCATGGAGCTACGCGGCCAGCCAACAGAAAGCGCGCTACTATTGGCTGCAGATAAAATGGGAGTTTATGATATAAGAAATGATTATGTAAGGTAAATATCCGCAATTCAGCACCCTGGGAAACTAATAGTTCCCCAGAAGTGTCTTTCGCCCTAAAATAAACTGAACACAAATAATACACATGCCTTGCGTTCCTTGCACCGAAGAATTTGGTTATAAATACTTAGTACTACTACGTTAATTTGCAGTTTTGTACAAAGAAAACTGCAGGCTAATTCTAAGTCATTTATGCATGCAGTTTAAAATTTGAAGTAAATGGGTTTGCATAAACCCGGTTTTTGTAGGTATATATATATATATGAACATACTATATATATGTATAGTATGTAGAGTAGAAAAATAGAATCAAATAGAGGAAAGGACTTCCTTTCAACTCATTGAAGAGACAAGTGTTTAACGTTTATACCGTGTCGTATTAACAGAAATAACAGTGTGCGTGTAATAGGCTTAAGCGTTACATACTGGCCATTCATGGCGAGTAGTTTAAATAGTTATGATAAGGGGAAATACTAAGGTAGGCAAGAGTGGTTTTAATCACACAACTTGACTTTTTCGTTTGATACAAGTCATCTAAATGTCTGAAATTATAAACATTCGTTTCTGTCAGGTATAAGTTAGGCACGATATAAGTACAACATTGTATATCTCGTAGGTGTCGTAGGAATGTAGGTTTACATTCCTCAAATCAAGCGAACAACTGACAAAAATTAGTGTCCTAAGGGATATCGTTGCGAATTAAGAGCATTACATGCTGAAAGAGCATTCTCTCAGGGTAACCTGGTGTGTCTTGGGCGTTATGCTTTCGATTTTAGATTACTAGAAAATGATACGAGCTTTTCTTAGTACAGTTGAAGACAGTATAGCACACTTTAGCCATGTCATTTGGTTTCTACACAATGATTTTGTTGAATAGTAAATTTGATGAAATATTAAAAGAGACAATTTTCACTAGAAATTTTTACCGTTGAATTTTTTCATACAATTTGTCTTTTTCCAATTTATTGGGCAAAGTGTTTAAAAATTAGAATCGTCCATAAAGGTATAGGTAGTTAAAGGCGGACTTAAGAATTCGTTGGTAACGGAACGACCTTTTAGGCAAGCTTCTTCTTAAATCTACGTTAGTATTAAAATTGTGCCAATATATCGTAGACAACGTGAGTGAATATCACGTGTAAATGGCGAAAATCACTGTAATTGTTTGATATCTTTATCTTCATGCACTGAAAATATATATAGCTGTCATCGAAATGCTGCGTGTGCACGTAGTGTTTTATAAGATAGTTTAGACTAAAAAGTGCATGGATTTTAACTTCGGTAGAACAATATGAATATTTTTATAAGAAAAAAAACGAACATTAAATGTGAATCAATTTCCATATAATGTTTGGTCGAACTTGGCGTTAGGACCCCCATATCATCTATGTTTCTCCAAAAACGTTTCTTTTGCACCTTTTCATCTGGACCAGTAGAAGCAACGGAGAGGCCATTCCGATTCGCCTTAATGTACTTTTGATAATATTTTCTGAATCAGAATGCTATTACTACAGAGCTGTAACGGCCAACCTAGCACTTAGCATAGTGTTGCTCTACTAGAATATAGTAACGTCCTTAGCAAATCTTTTGTTTTACCTTAATGATAGCGCTTGACTCGATAGTTATCTAAATTGCATTATCGTTCGGGTGCTGGTTTACACGGAGTTACGCACTAGAGTATTTCTGAAATAATGAACTGGAAAGACACTGAGCTAAAATGCATGAACAATGAACATAACTTAGTGAGTGATATTCTGAATTGGAACCTCAAACAAGGTAACTATCGGGTTATTGTTAAACGCAACCTCATGACGATGAATTTTTCCAAATGTGCTTATTTAGTGGAATTGACAAGGAAACAAAAACTACTGCTGGGGTTGTCACGGTAATTGACACATATATTCCGTGGTTCCATAGGCTTCTACTGTTTAGAGCAAGAACGCGCTTAAACTCCAAGCTCTTTTTGCTCTGGTTTGTTTTACTGAAACAATAATTGCTGGATAAATGCAATTATTATTGCGATAATTTTAATATTCACATTGGCTGGACCTGAATGTGTGCTAAACTGCTATCGTCAAATAATAAAGAAAAACCTTGTTCATATTTTTCTATTTGCATTAGTTTGCTTAGCTAAGAAAATAACCATCGTCGGAGCTTTTGGCATCATCTACTTTTTTTTTAACATAGCTCATGTTATATTGCGAACACATCCGTGTTGTGTAACATATAGTAATGTTAAACATACTCCTCTCCGTGGGAATCCCTAGCATCTATGGGCCTGGGACAAATCTACATTCATGCATGCGTTCAGTAAAAATTCAAAGAATAATTCAGTTACCAGAAACCAAATATATGAGGTTTTTTCATGACTGATTAAAATGCAGTATATTTGAAGATTATATATGACTAGATATGTGTTCAATCCCAATCAGCTTTAATTGGCTAGCGAAAATTGACGTGAAAAGAATATAATACCATAGCCGTTACTTCGTTTTCAGGGACGAAGAGATTCCGTTCAGCAGTGAGACAAAAATGATGTTAGTTCGTGTCCATCCCAGGGTGAGTCCAGACGAACACTTCATATTTGCAAAGGGTGCGCTTGAAGTCGTGTTGGAACGATGCACGTAAGTATTATTAACACTAACTGAAATATGTAGTGATATAAAATTACACTTCTTATGCCAAGTTGAATAAACTGTGGAATACGCGTGCCTAGGAGTCTCAGCTTTTTAATAATACTGTGAGCGGTTTTTGAGAGTCTTTGTGAAAAAATAATTCTTACGTGTGAGCTTCCGGCCCGAAGCCTCTAAATCAGATAAAAAGCTCGCTATATCGCGGTAACGAACTCGTATAATAACTCGAATCCTTTTTAAAAACTGAATAAAGCGAACAAATGTCTGGCATATTTGGATTTTCGACTTAGTATCAAGAATATTCTTTAACTAACTACTCCCAATGTAACAAGAAGTATTTTTTTCGATCGCGGTCTGGCGACGGCATAAAGTTCTTCTCAGTGTTTTTAATCCAGAAATTAAGGTCTGAGTGTTTTTCAAATTACGAAAATTTGGTAGAGGATTGATCATGAGTGCGTCCTCATCTTCTAAGGGAGAACCTTAAATAGATATACAAAAGTTCTTCAAATTAGTCTATATATATGCATACGCCATTATTTTTCTTATTATATATTAAAGGCAAATTCGGGAGGCTTTCCTTTAATGTAGGATTGCTCTGCCTAAAGCAACGTTGAAGTATCTCTGGGCGCTCTCTTTCGCATCTGCATTAGTGTCACATGTGTTAAAGGACATTTCAATAATAATTCTTACTGTTCCCAAATGTTAGTCATATCTACTTGCAACGCACTTGGCATCCATTAATAGCTGAGCAACGTAACGTACTCTTAGAAGAAGGGCGACGGTTAGCTCGTCAAGGCCTTCGTGTCTTGGGCGTGGCCAGTGGACAGGATCCTCGAAGCATGGCTTTCATTGGTATGGTAGGCATTTTGGATCCTCCTCGACCGGGTGTCATGGAATCTATACAGACATTGCAAAACTGTTCCGTTGACGTTAAAATGGTAACGGGCGACGGATTAGAGACTGCTCAGGCTATTGCAAACCGCATTGGACTTCGACCAGGGCGAGCCGTTTCTGGATACGACATTGAACGTATGGACGAACTACAACTTGCAAACATCGTCAAGGATGTAGCCGTATTCTATCGCACGGGCCCTGCACATAAACTGCGTATTGTTAAGGCGCTTCAGGTATATAATCTCTAGTAAAATGGTCATAATAAACTCACAAGATAATATTCCATAAGTTCCATACTATGCTGCAGACGCTGAGTGAAAAATTGTTTGGAATAGATGAAATCCACCCTTTTCACTGAAAAAGAAAACCGAAGACTTCAGAAGTAGTTCTGCAAGTCATTGTGTGAGCACTGGAAGGTCAATTTCTTCATTAACAGTGCTTTGTTTAGCTTGTCCTGAACGAACAAGCAATCAAGCGAATATAAGTAGTATTCGTAATATGACAAACTTAGGCTAGAAATAAAAGGAAAGATACGAATCGCACGATTGCAAATCACGAAGAATAAGAATTGTACTATTCATTTAAGACAGTCTAAGAATAATAATCGCAGGTGGACTTAAAACATTTAATAAAAGAAAAAAAATATTTTTTAATATCAGAAAACATACCTAGATAGTGTACTTCTTGGATATTTATGCGTTGAATTGGATACTTCTAATGGAATTGTTACTACTCGCTTTTTAGAGTAATGGATTAATCTGTGGAATGACCGGGGATGGAGTGAACGATGCTGTGGCTCTCAAGAAGTCAGATATTGGGATCGCAATGGGGCGTCAGGGCACCGACGTATGCAAGGAGGCAGCTGACATGGTCTTACTTGATGATAACTTCTCAACCATGATGGCAGCCATAGAAGAAGGAAAAGCCATATTTTACAACATACGTAATTTCGTTCGTTTCCAATTGTCAACTTCGATAAGTGCACTCTCTTTAATTGCAATTTCTACTTTGATTGGTATTCCAAATCCGCTGAATGCCATGCAGATCTTGTGGATTAACATCATTATGGATGGCCCTCCAGCACAATCGCTCGGTGTCGAACCGGTAAGAGCTTCAAAAGATAGAAAGCAGCAGCTAGATCCAGAGACGGCTAATAGTTTCTATAGCCTTGTATAACATTTCACTTGGCTGACATATTTCCAGCGGATTTTCTATTTCTTCAAGGAGAGCATCTGTACCGAATGGCCCTATTCAAAATAATAATATTCATTCTTGTGATTTAAAAAATCTTTCAACTTTGCGACTAATTTTTAATAACAATCGTATGTGATTAAAACAGAAGTGCCCAAAAACTTTGTACGAAACATCTGGCTTTTATTGGTTTGAGCGGTCTGTGGCCGAACTTATGACTCCACACCCTCTTCCCCATCTTTTACACGCAAGCACAGTCTTAGAGTATTCAAACAACTACTTTGTACTTTGCACCAGTTCTGAACTACATGACATTTGATCATTTAAATGGAGTACCAATAGCTTGTATTTTATTATGTGTTAAGAACAAAATTAAATCACCAAAAAAGTGGTGAAAAATGTCAATGTTGCAGAACGATTTTAGCATTCAGACTGCGTGTACGCCAACTGTACAAGAACTACCATCGCTTTAGAGATAGAAGGAACAGCCTTGAGGACAACGACATTCTGCGCAACCGTTACAACAAGTGCGCTTGGAAGCGAGGCAAAAGCAAATTAATTTGAGCAGAAGAAAAGCCCAAATATGACTGGAATCTCGTAGAGAAACGTAGACATCTTATTAAAACCATGCCTCACCTGTATGAAACATTATCTTTATGTGAGGAAGCTCACAATATGCCAAATAATACGAATGTCGAGTAAACGCAGACTTGCCAACAACTGCCTAGAAAAACTCAAAGAAATGTTGGAATGGCTCCAACGTGTCATTATATATGATAAGACATAGCTGAACGGGTATGACGCATAGAAAAAAGTAAAATCTGTTGGGTATTGCTTTAAGGCTAATTCAGATTGCAAAGAACTAATTTAGGTAAAAAGCGAAGCGCTTTTTACCGTTCTTTTAGAGTAAAGGGGAGTAATGTATATTAATCTACGGCGATTGGCTCAGTTTACTATCACTGAGAAGTATTTTTAAGAAATTTTAAGAAAATTCCGTGATGCTGATTGCCACAATAAGCCTACATTTTTGTAGCATACGTTGCGAGTTTTTTTTTTATTGATATAACAAACAGACTTACTGTATCGCGCTTTTTGCATGAAAAAAATTATGCTTGCATCGAATCCGATAGGGATTACTTTAGACGGTACAACTGGAATCTCGATAATTGAGCCATGTGCTGTTGGTACAGAGCCGAACTGTCGATAATTTTTTGATACTCAACATATGCTAATGGTCACAGCATTCGCTAACATTGCACCTCATTTACGCAACTTAAGAATCGTCACAAACAATCGTTTGAATTTTATTATGACATTTGGGACATCTATTGTCTTCTCCCTATTGCGCGTTTTGTGTGTCAACATGTATAAGACTTTATCAGAAACCTTTTAAGCTGTTACCTAGATTAGCAGTTACCTAAGCCGTTTCAAACGGATTAGCTCTTTTGGGTACAGTGTTCATGATGTAAACATTTTCGAAGAAAGGCTAAGCATACGCAAGACATAACGTCTTTCTTACGGCCACGGTGATGTTATATTCTATTACCGGAGTTATGGGCTTTCGTTAGCGCTTATCAGTTTTTGGCTGATGCTTGGAATTTCCGTTTTAAAAATACTCGGATGTACGTGCATCCTGTGGAGTTATCCAATCAATAAAAATATTTCGGGAAGCTCGAACAAAGAATGATAGTAATAATAAAAATAACAATGTACATTTTTTGTTATACTTCACGGTCTGCATTTGTTAAGGTGGACCATGACGTATTAAATCAGCCTCCGCGAGACACAAAAAAGCCAATGATCGACCGAGGACTCGTAATCAATGTACTTCTGTCAGCTCTTATTATTATAACTGGCACGCTCTATGTATTTAAACGGGAGATGAGTGATCAGGTAAGTCCACGATGTCAGTTTTGTGGAGTGAAACAAATATGGTACTAAAAAGGAAACTGCAAAGTACAACACTCCAGATTTACTGACTTTCTGCTTGTAGTTGACATTCCTAATTGTACTAAAGTGGGATAGATATTACAAACCCTAAGTTCTCGTTCTAGATTCTAACTTCCTAATTTGGCTGAAAGCAGCTTTAAACCTAATGTAAACCCTAACCTAACCCAGTTTTTCTTGATTACTTTCAAGAAAGGCATCGTATGCAAATTTGTGTAATTTGAAAAACACGAATGACCGTAAGGGCTACCCATTGATATCAGCATCCTAAACGTTTCAGTAAATTTATCTGTGTTTTTGGCTCATATCTTATTAATTTATTCAAAAATGAGCAGATGCATCGACACTCAAAAATCATTGGTAAATTTTGTACATGTCCGATGAAGGTTTTTGAAATGGTCTAAAAAGACGAAAAAGTATTTCTGAGCTTGTAAACAGTCATGAACTTTTTGACGACCAGTTTAATGGCAAGTTCACATAGCAATTTTAGTATAACCGTTTTTTATTAAAGATATATGCCCCTTGGTAATTTTGCATAGCCATTTTCATATAAAGTTAACTTATCACTTTCTAGGTAATTGAAAAGGGGCATATCTCGCAACAATAATTCTGTGTCGAGAAGTGAAGTATTTGTATAATATATTCAATGAACCGGAGAATTTAATTTGGCAAACTGTTTGCTGAGGATCATTTATTAAGGTTAATTTGTTGCGTTGCTGCGTGTTACTGTCCATTCAGAATTACTTCTGTTATTGCTATACTTCGTCAGACTAAGCACCTAAAAGAAACCATGCGCATGGTTCTGTAAACGGATTAGCAAGTTTGTTAACAACGTCGGCTGCAATGTTCCTAAACCCAATTAAGCAGTGGTCGTATCTATAGACCACTGAGTGTTTCACAAGGTGAAATGTTCGTCAAGTCCGGGAGTTGAGATCAGTTGCGTATGTTATAACAGAGTCTCGCATTTAATATTATGTAAACTTGCAGTGTTTCCCATCGTGTCAGTATGCATTTAGCAAGAGCACTATTGGTGCTAAAGAGTTGTAGGCCTGAACAAAACACTCAAGCTGCAGGTGATTTTGGTAACTCGTAATCGGTTCTTTGACGCTTGTCTGCATTATAATTTGCTTATTTGTTTGACATGATTTGATAATTTGCCTAATTCTTCTAACGTTTGCAGTATTGTAATCGCGTAGTTTGCAATCACCCGCGATTAGCTAAGTAATAATTTTGCTGCTGGTTGTTTCAGGTGGTGACACGCCGAGACACTACGATGACATTTACGTGCTTCGTGTTTTTCGACATGTTCAACGCGTTGTCATGTCGCTCGCATACTAAATCGGTGTTCCAAATTGGTCTGTTGTCGAACAGACCCTTCTTATTCGCTGTAATTTTTTCTTTAGCAGGGCAAATGGCTGTAATCTACGCCCCTCCCCTGCAATACGTTTTTCAGACGGCACCACTCTCAGCATTCGATATCTTGGAACTTCTTTGTGTTTCTAGTACTGTATTCATATTCAGTGAAGCGAAAAAGTACTTTGAAAGGACGTCACTGTCGAAAAGGACAAACGACCAACTACCTAACAAAATAACCGGATCACAAAAGCCATACTGCGATTTTGTGTAAGAGGATACTTTCCAAAGCTGTGTAAAGGATGATCAATGCTTACTACTTATGCTCTAATGAGGAGCATAAATACTGCTCATTAGGGTCCCATTAGATTCGATATCACGATAACAGTTGTGCTGTTTATATAAAAACACCAGCATTTCATGTAAAAAACTTACTTTTCAATACGAAATTCGAGTTCCTAGAACGCATCATTACAGGGAACAATGCATGGTAATAGTTTGAATTTCAAAAAAGGAGGTGGGTATTGTACTAACATTCAGCAGAGGAATCATCAAGCGGGTCGAGGGATTCGGGTTCACATAGCTTTGTTATTTGGATCTTGAGTCTCTGATAGGCATGAGAAGAGAGGCGTGTCGCTACTCATTACGTATGACTCGGCTGCCCAAAATTTTTTTGTGGTAAATTTTGCTAAGGAAATTAAAACACATTAAGTGTAAAAGTGATAATTGGAGGACGTCGTAGTAAGATGTGGAAACGGCTAACTCTAGCAAGATGTTCAATGCAAACGTTCTATATAAAGACACGCAGACGTACATACAAAACGGAACGGCAAAAAAACAAGTACGCGCGTATCCAAATGATGCAGTAAACAGAAGTGAGCGATCCAATTATTTAAAGGAAAGTGGGTGCTGAAATGGATAGTATTCTGTGACGGTATGAATATGCAGGTATTTTAGCGGAAATTGTACGATAAATGAATTTTACGCATTTCAAATGTTCACCTGCGAACTTCTCCATGGAATGTCAGATTCGGCATGAAACACGTGTCTGACTATACTTATGAAGCGGAAGTTATTAACTTATCATTATTATTACATGGCCATGGTTCAAGAATCTCACATAGTTAACTAAAAGCTTTTTGCAGCCATCTTTAAAACGCAGTAAAATTTTTACTGATTATATGGTCTTAGCTCATTTGATAATTATTATTCCTTATATTACGGGCAGCAACCATTTAGAGCACATTGATGAAGACATGTATATATACATATATATGGACGATTGCAAACCGAATCGGCAAGTCAGGTGCTTAGATTCTAGGTAGAGAGTGTTCCGGAATTTACGCATTCCTATGGAAGCTTAAGGTTTCAGAGTTTCAAAACAATCCTCCCATATAAAATTTCTTCTTCCTCCCTGTAAATTAATTCCTGTATATTATCTGACTTTTGAAAAAAAGAACAAAAGTTTTATACGAATGTATATCTTAAAAGACACCGATCTTAAATATTAGTAGGTAAATAACATTTCAACCAGAGCTTGAACACCTCTAAAAACCTGTTAAGACTCTTCTTTTTTTGTTGTTCTGAAATAAACAGTATATCCAAATTTGTATCGACGCGAAAATTAATCGAAGTTTGACTGTAAAAAAAATAACAATGTTATTTTTTTACAGTCAAACTTCGATTAATTTCCTATATAATTGGGTAACTTTCAATTTATTAGCTTGTCATAAAAAGCATTTTCTCTTGCACTAGGAATGTCCTTTTTAGCTGGACTACAATCAACACTTTTGGTACTTGAGCCAACATATGAATCAGCTACAAAAATGTCGAAAATATTTTAGAATTTTTAATTATCGCTGACAAAACTTGACCAATAATTTGAATGGTTTAAATGAGTTTATTAGTAGATGTACAACAAAAATCGATACAGAAGATACAGCTTGTAAACATAATCAAAATCTTATAGAGCACCTCAAGGCTCTGAGAAATTTTATATGCATCAAAATATACAGTAACCAAAAAACGATTTGTGGCTTTTGTTTGCAAAAGTGCGTACGATTATTTAAAAATGGGACCAAACGTTTGTTTGCCTCATATTGTCTAAAGGATCATTGCTCGTCGATAATACTGCAGCAACAGGTCGGGCATCCTCATAAAGCATACCGTTGCTGCATTACAAGCGAAGATACGAATTATGATGGAGGCGGTCGACGATCACTAAGTAGCGCCTTCATAAACTTTGACCAAATATTACTTATCAAAATTTTGATTGACTGCCAAAAGGGTATTTCTCACCAAGGACATGTGTCATTCACGATAACTGAGTAAAGAGGATGCCTGACGCCAAAATACCCAACCTGTTGATTTTGTCTGGAATCGTCCAGAATGGAATGTGAGTTGGAATGACAACTTATTTTTTTAGTATACGAAATTCGGAATACATATCCGTTTTAGATGCTTATTGTGCATGCCGGTATGTTCTTAGTGTTTTTTTTGTACATATAATAATGCCATTTTATAGTTTTTGAATAGATTTGAATTTGAACAGGCTCATACCATGTAAAAATTTTGATATTAAAGAAACGATTTTTAAGGTATTAATATCTGTCTTATATTGGCAATTTTTTATATTCTAAACATAAATTATCCATAAATGGCATATTTAATTTTAAAATCAGGATTAGTTTCGTGCAAACAAATTGCATTTGTGTGCAACTTCCACAAATATAACACCAGACTCACAATTCAATATCGTGCAATCAGTGTTTCTGATCCTATAAAGCACAATTTCATGTAGATTCATCAAGCTATACTGTGCTTGCAGTTGCAGTTATAGTCATGATTGTAATGAGCTCCGGAGCAGTATCAGAAGTTTTGCATTTCGTGGTTTGCTGATCTGGCCTACAAGTGTGTAAAGTTTGAAAATTATTCTTCAAGCTTTCCTGTTAAGGCTATCAGAATTCAATATAGTTTTGAAATAATTTGCCCGAACATTTTGAGAAAATATGGAAGGCATATTAACAAGTGTGTTTAAAGGCTTATATGCCCTGCATAAATTACTCATGGTAATGTCGACCTGAATGTGCATGTAATAATAGGTGATTATTATGATAGTGGAGATTATGATAATGATTAAGTGATACTCGAAGACTATAGGCACAATAATTGACTAATTTCAATATCATTAAAACACTAATACGGAAACAAACGCAATTGAGACATGATAGTATAAGCCATTTCATATCTTTGGGTGTTTATTTTTGCAAACGGAGAGAGACTGTACAGAGTTGAGACCAATAATATAATAAATATAGATAAATATGCATTCATAATGAATTTCAATTTTTAAGATGCATATTTTCACGTAATTTAGAAAGGTTGCATTAGAAAGGTTGATACATTGGTGGACGTGCTCTGTTTGCGTCGTTTAAACTAGTGAAGATAGATCGACGAATTATTGTACTCGTAAAGAATTCGTTAAATATATTTCGATGTAATTCAATTTAAATATAATTTGGTTTACTTTCGTACAAGTAGATAAAGCCATCACATCTACACCGATATGTCTCGAACGATCATTCTTGTACATTGACAACGATCCGGAAAAAATCATAACAAGAACTAATGTTAGTACTTAACGAACTTTGGGCTTGTGATTGGAAACAAGTAGTCTGCTCTGCGAACAAAAATAGACTGAGAAGTGGTTGAGTTCAAGGAATCATTGTAGAAAAATCGGCAGAGCTAACACAATATGATGTGAATGTTACTCCCTCAATGACCGCTAAGGCGTTAGCAAGGCTGGTATTCAAAAGCAGTTTTATATAAGTCATGTATTCGAAATCCAAATATGCACACAAAACATCGTTACGGGCACCTTTTCGCATAAAAGAACGAAAATATCCACAGTGCGCAATTACACTGCGAGTTACAAATGTTGTCTTTTCTAGGGCGAAAGAAAAGCACAAAAACTTAAAGACGAAAGAGTAATCGGGAGTCCACTAAAGGCGCAAGCGCTAATGACACGAAGAATACGAACTTGTGCACAAAAAGTTGGCGGGCTTAATCCAAAACTTTGTGTTAGAAGCTTAAAGAGAAAAATGTTACCAGTACAGCATCAATGGCGAAAGGGTTTACATGAAAGATAGTGGTACCAAAACCGGGCGTCACCTCATGGCTCCATAGCAATGATTTAATGTCTCAAGAAGCACAAGTTATGACATACTTCTGGTCAAGCGTCGGCCAACGGACACCTTTCATATATGAGCATAATATAACATGCAAATAAAAATTTGGTTGCAAAAAAAGGTGTAATATGAGGTAGTTGACGTAAACACACGAAGTTTTTTTAAATTAACATTACTGGTTGTCACAATCCTATATGACCTGAGCTACAAGCTGCATTAAAATAAATTTTGTTTAATCATGGGGCAGTTAGACTCTAGGTTCTTAAATTGAGTAATATTAAGATTTCAAATTAGAATAACGTGGAATGGTAAGAAACCCTGCCACTTAGATACGGTAAGAAACCCTCCCACTTACACTTCATGCCGGTTGGAGTTGAGACTACTTTGGATTTTGACTAAATTATAAGCTTCAATCTAATGATAGATCGTCGCTCTGCCGGAGTGTGAAATTATTTATTGGGATTATTTGTTATAATTATTTATCACTTACTGTCTTTAAGTGAAAAATACCAATATACTTTGTTTGAGATTTGAAAAGTTGATTGCGCATTGCGAGCCTTTGCCTTGATAATAAAACTGACTTTTTATTTAAACAACTTTCAACGGTGCGACTAATGCTAACATTAGTGTAATTAAGTTGGACGCATTTTGCTACTGCTTACTATTGCTGAAACAATTTATATATTCGAATGTATTCGAAACACAGCAATAGAAATAAATATAAGCAGACTTAAAATAGAAACTGTTTTAACGCTGCGTTCTGCAAATAAGCTTATTAAAAGCTTTTAAAATTTTGGGTATATCTAGAGGTATGTTCAGTGATTTTCAAAATATTTCAGTTTCTACCACCACCGTACAACGAAATTAGTCTATTTAGCGTAAATATTTTCGCGGTCGTAGTAGTAATCAGGTCCGCACACTTTCAGACTTTTAGCATAAAATAGTGCATAAATATTTTTACAGGTCACATACATCATTTCTGATACCATAAATTTTAGTGACCATGTGAACTGAACTCGTTGGATTAACTCCCTACGTTATATTTTCCAATGTTTGTTCAAGCAGATTTATATAATCTTTAAACATAGTGCTTTTAGCCGTTGATGGCATATAATTAGGTCATTAGTTTAAAGCCCAGGGTGCTGTTATTAAAGGTTACGCTCCTCTAGCCGATCCTCAGCCAAAAATGCCTCTAAAGTTTTGACTTTTAAGTCTGGTGGGCACTGCTACGAAAGTAATAAGGTGCTCGCGTTCGGCTTGGTCCCTCACATATGCTCTGTGTCACACAACACTGTCAACACATTAATAGCATTTTTTATTTTTTCTTAAAATGTCTTCTTTCGGCCTCTAACGGCCTGATATTTCAGATAGTACCGATTATTTTTCACGTCCTGGTGTTATTCACGACCAAACCCTCAGGAGGTTTCAAGATTACGTTCTGGCTTTTGCTCTTTTTCCCTTTTATTATACACGAAGCCTCGACGACTCCGTCAATACCGTTCATGTACGTATCTTCCGCATGATTATGAACACTAATTCCTCATCGTGGGGTTCTTATTTTTATGAGTGAAATTTCCATAAACAAAGTTCATTGAAGGTTCAGTTTTAGAAACCTTGCGTGGACATAACTGCCTTATACCTGACTTGCTACGGGTTTAGCCATTATCGAAACCGCTAATGTAAAGAAGGCCAATGAGTTATTTCTAGGTCTAATGGAAGTCTGTTGCTGGCACAGTATTAACAGAAAGCCAAAGGAACTTCCAAGATACATATCGTTACCCATACGATCCCGAAGATAGCTTCATTTCCCATGGCACCTGAAGACAGGAGTAAGATGGCATTTTGCACCCCAGATGGCTTGTATCAGTTCGAGCGTATACCTTTCGAGTTCTGCGGAAGTTACGATACTTAACGACCTTGATTTACTTAGATTATCTTGGTGTTTCCCAAAGAAACTGAAGAACATTAGTCTTACCTTCGACAGGCGCACATTAGGCAGGCGTTTCTGTTCTGAGTTCTAGGGGTCCATCCATTCCATCGAAGTGCTCGTCCACTACGCAAGAAGCCATATACCTTAATCATACGAGCTTTGCGCAGAGAATTTTCGCGATCAAAAGTAAAAGCCGTTATAGATCTCCGCAAACTTGGGAAGCTTCCTGGAGATAGCGTTAATCTACTGTCGGCTTGTGCAGGGCATTGTCAAGCAGCTGTAACCCTCACGCAATCGAACGTGCTCGTAAAGCGGTCAATACGCGCAGTTATGGAGTAGCTGTCTGTGCGGTTGCTAAAAGCACTAGAATACTCTATTTTCACGATGTTAACAGCAAGCACTTTTACGACGAACACCGCAGTAATCGAGGTCATGAGGACAACTCCGGTTAAGTTGTACTTTATAAGCTCAAAATTATATTTACCGATAAATCTCTAAAGTTACGGTCATTCCAATAGCCTGGTGTTTCAGTATCTGAATTTCGAAACACGACCCATGAGCGGTTTCTTTGACATAGAGATGCCTAAAAAACTTGTTACTTAGTCTTTTTGACCCAAGAAACCCAGTCTTTTATGCCACTCTTGCTACCATACCCACACTTCTCTAAACCGGCTGCCTAGATTAGAACCTGGAAGAGCATCGAGAAATTCGAGAAATTAATCGCACGGTACACCTATCAATTACACTACCTATCAATTACCAACCTAAAAGGTATCCGGAACGATTGGTCACGATGCAAAAAGATTTCGGCTGAAAACGTGATCGGTTGAAACGGACATAAAAATAAATTGTCATAATAAATGTATTTGCAGTTTCAACCGGCTGTAATCATACATTATAATACCCCTCATAGCGATTAGATGGCGCCGGGGGAGGGGGGTGTCTAATCGAAAGTGGTCAGACCTCATGATTTCTGCAATATATATGAGCTGCAATCTTCCTGGAAATGTATTCTTAACCTCATAGTCGACGATTATAAAGTGTGAGAATCAACTTCCAAAACGTGGGAACAAAAAGTAGTTCGGTTTAAACTCCGAACGACTTTGTGTGTGCATCTCTAGACTTCCACGTTTACGCGGTATTTTGAGTAAATGCGAGCCTCTTTTTAATATATGATTAGTATACTATAACATGGTTCTCTAAAATTAAAGATACTAATGAAGATATGGGTGGGTCGTTAGTAATCGAAAATAACAAGAATGACAAATATCCCAAAATTTCCTTGAAATAATGCAAATGACTATGATGGAAAATCATACCGTAAGAGAATCCGATACATATAAAGTCGCTTAGATTGAAGTTTCTCACGTTAATGCTTCTGTGTGCCTGACAGTACGTTCCGAATACGGGACCAAATACCGAACGAATACGGGAGACATATCTCAAACATGACTGTTCGTTTATCGGAATTTATCAGATAAGCATCCTAACTTTCTTCAATGTTGGCTGGCATTTGAAGCGATAATCAGAAAATTGTGCCCTCGTATCAATGTAATATCTGTACACTCATGGACTGCCACCGTAAATGATGCACTGAAATAAATTCCTTCCATTGCCTTAAGTTCCTCTGAGAAAAACGCTGATAGGTCTACATTTGATCGAAATTCAGATCCCTCGGCACAATCCTTGCAATGAGATATCTAACGTCCAAAGATCTTTAACAATGGTGCGATATAATTTCTAGTTTTTTGCAAGCTTTTTAACGGCAATTCCTTAGCCCAATTTGTTTTGCCTTCTTAGCGTTATCATACGTGCTGGCTGTTGCAGGTTATTCAAATTTAAAATAATCAAGACTCTTTCATCAGTTACGAGTACCGTTTGTATGTTTAGTATTCATTCATAGCCTGCACCACAAAAATTTTAAAGCGTCCGTTACATTAGTATTGATTGGATTTCATTTTTAATACGGATCATCGAACACATTTTTTTAGTACTCCATTTTCGTGTTTCACATAGGCTCTCACGAAAGATAGCAGTGACTATTTTATCTCAAGAAAGCCGCAACAACATCGTTTGTGATCTAATTAGTTTGGGAGCAACTAATTAATTTGCCCTTCGGACTGTGTTAAACCCTTATTCCTTACGCACCTCGGAGCCCATGCCTTAACTGAAAATCGCGTGGATCATGAGTATCAAGAGAAAATTGTGCCTTTTAATCCTAAAGCCTTTAGGACCGGCTTGTACATCAGGATAGTGTACATGGGTACTATCACCGCTGATGATCGATAATGGATTATAATATACCGGGATACGTCCACCGAGGTATGTTATGCAACCAGCATTGTGTCACACACAATGCTCGTGATATCATGCTGATTGCACGATTTAGAAAGCAAAATTAAAATGCGCAATTTTCTCTCCGTGCTCATGATCCACGCAATTCCCAGTTAAGTCATGGGCTCCGAGAATGTGCTGCAATTTTGGTTGCATAACTTTCACATTAAGGTTCCACGCTTATATTCTATACTACGCTTATACATGTATCGAACAAACATCGGACTTTTATTGTTCAAAAAAGCACTGTGACTGATAATAACTGGTTTAAAGGCTTACCGTAGCATGCTCTAAGATTTGGAATCTGAGTAGTAAAACGTCACTTTCTTCTTTTGGTCAAATATTTTAGGATCAATAGATTCTATGGAATAGAGGCATTGTTATATTACATCGATATCCTTAAAGACCTAAAAAGTTTGAAATCTTGAGGGAATATACCATTATAAAAAGGAAAATTTTTAACTGTAATCGAGGCAAAAGATACTAAAAGAACTTATAACCAAGGAAAAATTAGATTTACATGTGATAAGATTTATTTCATATTTTATATCTATTAATAAAATATCTTATGCCATACTAACATTCACATACAACACCTATGCAATAGATACATAGTGCGATTTTACTAATGGCCATGAATATTAGGTGAAGTATTAAACTCAAGTGAAGCATACACATTCATATGAGAAAATGTCCTATCTGCTGCTATACTCACTAACCTAATTAATAACATTTAAGATTAAGGATTTTGATAGCAATTGCATTCCTGGCGTCAATTATTATTACAGATAATAAATACGACTGCTAGAATACACCTATTCTCCATTCTCAGATCATATACCCCTAATGCTTCACATACAGAATTCATTACATTTTACCATAATAACATATACTCGGCATTTAGGTGAACTCATCATTTAGGTCTTATGAAACCTTCTAATTTCACATACTCTTATCATATTTAATATTTCATTTTTCCGTTTGAAATAATCATGATCATAATAATAATCATGTGTTCCAGAAAAATTATTATTCGTTTTATACTGGTCACAAAATGTAGGTTACACATCACTGCGCGGGTTCACTCCAACTCGACCAAACAAGCCGTTGAGTGATTTGATATCTTAGGGTGTAAGAAAAATTTTTTCTTCAGCTGTTGCTTTCATGGAAGAAAATGTATATATGTCAGTGTTTTTCCCATTTTATTTTATAAATATCTACAATCAACATTCCCCGATTAGATATACACTAGAAATTCTTTAAGGAAAAGTCAACTAAATCGTAGAGAGCACAATCCGTCTTTCCAACAGCGCGGAAATGTTTACAGCAGTAAAGGAAGCTGCGTGTACAAGTCTAAAAATGTCTATTTTCAAAAAAATCTGTTGTTTCGAATTTGAATATTGTTGTGTTGTTACTTTCATCGAAGATATGTATATAAATAGCGAATACCTGCGCTATTTTAGCTAGCTTAGCGGCCTAATTGCTCGTTTGTATGCATACGTGAGCCTGATATTAGCAACTTCAGCATGCTATGAGACTTTATAGCACCAACGTTGCCTTACAGTAAAGGCTTTGTAAAAATGTTAAGAAATAAAATTTAACACCTGCTTTATTTTTCGTGCTTTTTGCGTGCTTAGATATTTTCGTACGCAAAGTTGGAATTTCTCAGAGAGATTAAGACGGTAACATAAATACCTTTCCTTAAACGAACCCTTTTAATGGAGAAAATGCCAGAAAACACGTTTGATCGATATAATGGAAGCCTGCAAATGAATCATCCACACATAATCACTAAGGTTATCACCCATATTCAGCTGGTCTGCGTATCGTACTACTGCCCATTCTGATTCTTTACAAACATTGAGTTCCTTCACAGTTTGAGAATACTGCTATGAAATTTTTAAGGGCTACTAGTAGATACCGCTGTTATTATTATAAAGGCCGAATTATATCTAGTGCAGTAAGTAATCTTAGCTTAGCATTTACTATGTTCATAGTTGTCATATGACTTGTTGTGTTAATTCCTTGGGTAATTAACGTCGTAAATTCGACATAGATCAAAGCGGTTTAAGAAGTTTCGCAGCATAAAATACAATACGGTATGTATGCATGTACGTTATTTATCGAAAAACGCCCTCGGCTTTAATTTTTGCCGAATCGGTCCATTAAAGCCAGATGGATAAAACCAAGTCAATAGCACTTTATCACAAACAATTTTACGGAGATTGGTTAGCCATAAACTGACTTAAAAGAAACGATTTTTTAAAAATAAGTTTGTATACTTTTGCAAACTTGCAAATTGCGTCTTTTGCGCACTTGTAACAGACGCGCATTTGAATCTTAACATTATTAAGTAATGATGCATGATGGTAAGGTATATACAAGATGACCCATTCCCATATAATTCGATGATTTAATATGGGCACTTCAGGAAAGTTGTCGTGCACAGTAATCAACTTGAATTAGGTGTTCGCAAGAGTCAGTTCCTGATAATATACAATCCATTTCTGCAGCTGATTTTTCTCTACTTTTACTTCATTGCTAATTTTGCTCATCGCTATACTTATGCTCTTATAGAACTGAAAATATTTGCCTTTAAAGGAAGAAATTGACTTCAAGTCTTCATATGCAAGGTAGTAAGTACAAAATTTGCAAAATAAAAACTATTTTGGCCTATCTTATTCTTACGATTTGTTCTACAGAGAAAAAAATTTAAATGAAATGTATCTGTGGCCAACACCGTAACTAACTGCAACTCGTAGTTAGCAAAAACACCATACCTGTGTGTCCTCAGTGGTATAAATCAGTTACGATATTATTCATTAATGCACGCTCAATTGCGCTCATATGCACTGATAATGTTACTATATTCCTTCTGTACGGAAAATCATACTTTTTTTCGATTTTTTGCTACAAGTGTTTCATAAACTATATCTGACTTACCCTTCGTACTGCGGATTTAATCTAATGCTATTCTACATAACTTTAGTATACCGTCAGCTTCAGTCGGACGCAACAAATCGCGACAAATAAGAGCACCGAATTAAATGTCGACAGCCATTTTTGCCTTTGTTCCCTTCAGACCTGCGTATATTTCGCAGTTCTTATTCAGCAATGAAAAGTAGCCAGGCAGTAGCGGTCACGATGTGTGTAAGTTGAAAAGCCTGGTGTGATCGTATTCTGTCTTTCTCACTCTCTCTCAGTTTGAGCGGTTGCAGATTAAAAGCCTGAGCCTTTGTAATTAGTCGATTATTTCCTTGAAATCTTCATCGCCTAAGTGTAAAACTGCATGGGCTTTAATCACGAAACTTTTTTTCGGTTTCTTCGCGGTCCCTTTTATATGCAAATACGAACGCTCTCTATTAATTATCGGGCCCCAGAATTCATATTTTATTAGCATAGGTCCTATTATTTCAAGCAATGGATGCCGAAGGCGTTGTATGATTCACAACCTTCACCTCACGCAGGTCCAACTCTGAAATAAGAGAATTAATAGCTTTTATATTGGCTAAAATGCATATATTGTAAACAATAACTAGAAATTGTTTGACATTCTTAGTTAAATTAATACAGGAGTAATTCAATTAAAATATATACTCACGAGATTTCACCTTATAAACATATTATATAGCCACTGAATACAATACCATTGAAGTCTCTATGATGTTGCATTCGTACTACATAGAACACGTGCGCTTGTTAGTCATCAACGGTGCCGCATAAACAATTTTAGGCATCCAAATTAAGTATTTAGTAAGTGTACGTCTGATGCATTAACGTCTATTACTGGTGTTGATGATTAAAATATAATAAATGAATAATCTTACTATTGCATTTGTTTGTTATTATTTAAATACATGGTTGCATCACTGATAAGTATGTTCAAACATTTTAAATTATATGAAAACTGGTTACGAATCCAGATCGCCAATTTTTTTAGATTTTATTAATTCACTAATTAAATAAATTAATTAAATAAATATTTTTGATCTCAGCACCAAAGGGGGCGCTGAGATCGAAAATAAATAACCCATAAAAGGTAATTATAAATAATTTTTTTTACGAATTTTGATATGACTGTCCATTAGTTACCCATTATTATGCTACTTACCAGCTGTTACAAATCTACAAATCTATATAATATAATAACGTAATAATGAATAATTAAATAATTATGTCTCTCTTAATTGACTTGTTTTAGTAGTAGTAATCGAAACTTAGTACTATTTTACTGTTATTTATTCTTCATACAAATTGTGTTGCATTACAAGTGCATTAATTGCAATAATGCGTTACCGACATCATACGTAAAATGAATATGTTGCTTAACATTTTAGTGGACTATTAAACAGCGTTTTAAATGCACATCAATGTAATCGTGATATAACCACAATTGCTACTCCTGGGCGGAATGGAAGCATTTTTGAACGAAAAAATTTAAACTACAGATTCTCCATTTATCTCATACATTCTCAGAGGTCAAAAATGAAAAAACAAGATGTTAAAGAAATACACAATTTTAATAGGTCCCATGGAGTAACCACAAATACACAAAATTGTAATAACAAGTCATACTAATAGTTTAGGCGTTGCTTTGCAGATGCACTGGTTTTTGCAAACACAGTTGCTGGCTCGCTTAATTTAGATCGTGATGTATTATATTGATATAGCAGTGGATACTGGTTTATGAAACTCGTGCGTCGTATGTACCTTGTTGCGCTTGTGCAGCGAAAACTAGCCAGAAAACGAATAAAGCAAATAATTAGCAAAATATATGCTGACTGTGAAAGTGTTTTGAGTACGGTTCATTGGTAATCCATGCAGCAAACAATATTTAAACAGTGTCTGAACATATGCATCTTGTTCATAATTTCATTAACATAGAGATGTAGGATTCTATGTTGAACGAAGAGCATTTATGCTGCATTTTGTGTTACGGCAAACAGTCGAAACAGTTTAATGTTAATAGTAAATATACGGTGATTACTACCTTATTAGTCAACGAGATAGCTAGGGGCGATGAGAAGCGGAAGCGGATGGAAGCAAACGATCCTGATAAGGTAGCTGGAATATCCCCCCCACCCGGGATACCCCCCCCGGGATACCCCCCTCCCCGAGGTTCATAATATACCTCCCCGAAATAAGTTAGTTTTCCATCAAAAATGCAATGCTTATTTTAGCAACATAGATATTTAAAAATCCAGTATGTTAAATCGACTATGGGTATTCATCAAAAACATGTAACCTGTTTCATTTGTAGCACGTTAATGTGTCTCGTGACTGCTTAGTATATATAGCCCTAACGCGATTCAATTTCACATGCTTAGGTAATTTTATTTTTATGGAAAATCCTTTACCTATCCGTATTTTCACAGTAACGACATTTAATTTTACAAATACAGATTCACACGATGAATCAAATACAGTTTTAAACTACACATGCAGTTCGTTTTACACCTCTTAGAGACTTTAGAAAGGTGTAACTAAAGACAAGGCCAGCTGCCTTACTGTGGCTTTAACAGATGTTCTAATATAATGTATTTCGATCGAAATAATTTATATATTCTTTTTATTTTTTTTCATTCTTTTTTTCTTAAAAAAGATTTTGTAATGAACTACGACATGCCGGCGTAGCCGCCTTTGTACGGAGAATAAGATTCTGCAACGGGAATCATAAATGTTGTTTCAAACATATACATTTTTTTTTGCATGCATGTCTTTATATATCTGAATTTACACTTGGTGCGTTTCTTTTTTGGGCCGTTGTGCGTCTGAACCCAGAAATGCAACTATGTAGGCGACTACTTACTTTGTACGGAGAGGGCAGTCAGTCAACAAAGCTAAAAATTAATTTCATTCTAAAAAGGGCTGAGATTAAGGCCAATATATGCGATGTTATTGCTTATATATGATGCTTTCTAACAATGTACTGCCCAGTTAGGCAGATCAAAAGTTGTCATACGCCTATCATAGGCTCACGTTAAGTTTTATTGCGTAGTGTGAAACCAGGTCTTAAATGGCTCAGGTGCATTTTGTACGAAAAGTGAAGAGAAACAATGATGTTGTGCGCACCGCCCTCCAATGCCAATCTGCCCGCACTGAAACGTGGATAATCATTCTGGCTATACACGCTTCTAGTATAAACAATTATCCATGGTATATTCTATGATCTATGATCATAATTATCCGCAGTATGGTGCATATGTCGATAATATTGTTGCATCCAAACCATACGTCATGCCACTAAAATCAACATCCAAAGTAAACTACATGTTATACCCTGTTAACAATACAGAAGTTAACACACATACCTCTATACCCACTACTACTCAGTTGTTTCCGAGGCCGCACGGCCTAATTCTGTAAAGTTAACATCGATGCCATCCAACTTCATACAGGCTCGTAATGCGGCGGTCCAGACAGCCCACCTTACCCTGGTCAAAGTAGCCCACATTTCCGTTGTTTACCCAGAATCGCCATAATAACTCTATGTAATGACTTTTATAAAACCTAACTTGTTTTCAGTACGAAAGAGTAGTAGAAAAAACGAGCTAGGTATTTTTGGTTTTTTATTATTTAATAAAAAAATAAGATAAAATTCGAAATATACTTAGCCCTGCCTCTTAATTTGCGGCCAAAGAAAAAATCCAGTGACGTTAAATATGACTACATTACGGACCTGTGTGCATCTACAGATTTTGAAACTAGAATAGCATTATTATCCAAAATTAATATTCCATTTCTAAACGGAAACGGAGTGGCCTATACAGCGTCGCCTTTTTTTTGTATATTAGCGTTTTAGGTATTACGCTATACGTCAAGCAAAACTTTCTCACAATTACTTTTCCTAGCAAAGCCCAGCACTATTGGCCCAGCACTTATCGTAAGATTCAAAGATGCCTGCAAATTTATGTGTTCGCAAAAAAGCAGTTATCGCTGTAGCCGTTATGTTAGGCTGTCTAATTAATGAATTAATGGTGTCCCTAATAACACTAACATTGACCTAGTCAGTCTCCACACGAATAAGGTATTTACACACGGTTGTTTAACTCTATGTGATTGATCCATGCCATTGAGTTTATCTTTTTCGTAAATTTCGCAGATCTAATTAACTTTTCAGTAGTCCATAATTACTTTGTAGTATCGAGGTGCTAGTGTAGTGCAGAATATGTTAAATTCTTGATGAACGAAAAATATTCGCCTTGTGACAACTATTTATCCATAAATCCTACCATACTTTTACCGTACCATTTTATCTGAGTACTCAGAATTGGTAAGAGCAGTCAATGACGAGCACAAAAGTAAGTTATCTTGAGTTTCTCTACTTAGCACCTCTAGATAAATACGCGATATTGTCATGCGTGTACGGAAACACTGAAATTGCCTGTGGGTAGTTATATCGCACCGTACCTTGGTCATTATCTGTCTCGGTATCATCCGTATCGGTCCACTTTCTCCTTGCGCTCAGTAGTCCGTCCGTGTCTGCATCGTCGGTTCTTTGCGGAAATGACAAGCCATCGCCCAAGCTGTACCCCGACCCACGCAATAAGTAACCGCGGACACCAACCATAATACAAAAGTTACCGACTCACCGAAGGCCTTTACCCAGTTATAAATAAAAAGCTGGGACAGCTCGAATAATCGAAATTTAATTAGGTGTTTCTATCAAGGTGTGCAAAAATTCTGAGACTACCCAAATCACGCATTGCTGTCTGTATTAAACACTACTCTAAGAATCATATTGAAATGTAGCTGAACCAAGATGTAGCGCAGTCGCTATATCGGCACCCCTGAAGACCACACGAACGAGCCGGGACGTTGGGAAGTCAATCGTGGTTGGAGTCAAGTAGCCGTGCTAAGCTGTAGTAAAGTCCATAGCTTACTCAACATAGCTGCAGCAGGTTTCACTTAGGCTAACTAACTTGGTTTGGAAAACAACGTTGGTGATATATAGCAGAAGCAAGCAGCAAAGCACAAGCAAGATATTTGACAGGCAAGATGTGCCAAATAAAATGAGAAATACTAGCTTGGAATTCATGCGCTCTTGAAAACACCATTATAAGTAATGGCATAAAGAAGACATATTGCTACACAAAGAGCAAGCTTTGAAATAACTGGATAATATCTGTTTGGAATAACGCCGCCATACTAAGCTTCGCATTTCTTCTTCAATAAGGAAGGCTGCCCATTCTTGCAGTCCTTATCTCATTGTCGGTCCCCATTCCTCCACCGAAGAGATGAGGTTGCTGTTAGTGGTTACCTTGTTTGATGCGACGGGGGCCTGGTGGCAGGGGTCTCTCCCATTGAGCGGTAGTCGTGCAACGGTTGGCCGCCATGGGGACTCTGGGGACCCGAACCCATCTGCGGAATGTTACTTGCTGTAGTTTGGCTCTGACCAAAGCCGGCCTCCACGTCCCCGGCCCGTTGCTGCGTTCGCGTGGTCTCCCGTGTGGGGTACCGAATGCCGTTACCTAGGCTAAGGGTGCAGCACAATGTACAATAAATTATGCAGTAGCATAGCAGTAGCAGTACCCAGCGAAAAACAAACACAAGCAGACGAAAGAAGATAATATACGCGTGAGAGAAGATCATAGAATGTAAAAAGAAGAATGCTCCAATAATTATCATATGATACGAGCTAACATAGTACAGTAACTGATGTAAGTGGGCATAGAGAAAGTAAGAGAGGAAGTAAGTGTAGTGGTTTTTCCTATACGGGGAAATGATGTGTGCAGGTCAGATTTTTTCAGTGCAGGTAAAGTATTTTTGCGATCTTGTTTCAGCGGCCCGGCAAGCAACCCATTCGGTACCCCATATTATTTGATACTATCGATGTAGAAGGGAGCTTCAAGTTGTATGCGAAAAATCAAAACAATTATTTAGTACCTATTTTTTTGTTTGTCAAACAGAACAAGGAGCGAGGCACGACAATAAGGCATGTTACAAAGCGTATTGCATAGCAGTGGTGAAGCCATATCTGTTTTTAATACCTACAAGGACTAGTCTAATTAGCTTAGCAAATGTTTAGGCGAATCCATGAGGCAGATTTTGATGTTGACGGTCATTAATGAGTGTTTCAATAGCCATTTACATTTTTTAATAGATACGTTATCGCAACCCGCATATAAATGGCAGCTATTGTTTTAGCCAAGGCATAGAAAAGTGCTTATGCAACTCATAAAGCCGCAACATTAAGCGAAAAACAAAACATTCTAAAGCATTAGTAATCTCAGGTATATTTAGTTAGGCGCTGTTTGAAACATTTTTCAAAATACGTCTTCTTTAGTCTGAATATATAAGACGACTTTGGGTTTTTGTTCGATAAGTGTTCAGTGGTGTTAATTTTACAAATGTGAATGAGGAATTAATAAACGTAAGCAATGGAAGACAGATTTATTTTATTTCTAGTTGAACTAGGCTTTGATACGAGTCGCACATGCTAGAAGTTAAGTATTAGGTTCTCGTTAGTTAGGTATTAAGGATTAGATTCTCATTTAATTATATCCACAAACGGTTTTACATGAGTTTCACACTTCTCACTGAAAAAAAGATTTTAGATTAACATGTAGATAACTAACCTTGTAAATACTGGAATAAACCACAGCTTCTTGTCATCACCGAAAACCTGACGAAAATTTTGAATACGACCCAAGTAGAAACCGCGCTTATCCGGCACTAGAAATCGATGTATAATTGCAAACATTTTTTTTAGAAAAACGTAAAAATACCCATTAAATAGAGGCACTACACAATTTATATGACTAAAGCTGTCATTTACATTGACAAAACAAACCCTAATTTGGAAACATCAATGACATTGCAATAACTATGAAAACTAACGCAAAAAAAACCTAGTGGAAAGTCCAAGACGTTATAAATTGGAATTTGGAGTGGTTCGCAATGAAAATTTATTTGGCAACAAATATAAAAATAGAGCTTAAACATAAGTAATCAAATATCATCATTGAATAATGTGCATCAGGACCTTACAAGCTGAAGTGATTAAGGGGGCCCCTGATAGTGGGTATCCGAAACTAGTAACAACTACAAATTCGAGCTAAAAGTATCGTCAGTGAAGTTGTGACCATGCAGTATCATCAGTAAACACACTAGACCATCCCGATAGCAACTTCGTTTTTTGAAAGGAAATCCCTGGATAAGGAGGATCAAATGTATAACTTCCTAACTGTTATGTGATCGTAATTCTGCGTAAACTGCCTAGGCAGTCAAATAATCACCGCTCGAGAAAAAATGCTACGCACGTTGCATATTAGTTCAGGTTTATTTAGCTGTCATTTACTCAATGTTTTAGTTTTTGTCGCTGCCATTGCCTAGCACGTGCTTGGCATATAATATATAAATATATGTTATATAGAATAATATAAATTATATAGAATACAAACCGGTTCCAAAAACAGGCGGTCGAAAGCTTTCGAGTGTTGTTCTGTTTACCATAACCAGGTAGCAGTGATAACAGAAGAGAGACACAAGGCTGATCGCGAACATAATGGCAACGAAGAAAAGGAAAAGGATGTGCAAACGTCCCCACCCTTCGACTGTCATCGAACCCGTTGAATCGTCACGCATCGCCTATAGATATACAGGAAAAAGTGACATAAAATACGCATTTGACAAAAGACATATCATGCATAGCAAAGTTCATTGCAATTATAGGATATAATGAATGCGTACACTAATCGAATTCTGTAATGCAATAAATTCTTATTTATTACATCAGCAATTAACAGTTTTATTATTATTATTATTATTATGAGATAATCTGACATCGGGTATTTGAATATTCCTAGACCTTATGCAAACTAATAATCACACATATTAAAATTTACCACTCAGATTAAAATGCGTATAGAGCTATTACGCTAATTAGCTCTAGTCCTATACAGTACCTCGCGTCCGCCGGTCCAGAAGCGAATAAAATACTGGCATGTAGTGGCAGCCACAAAGAGGCAGTAAATGATAGCATAGCCAAGGAAAAGGACGAAGAATTTATAATTGGCGTAGGCAACGCAGTTGTTTACCCAAGGACAGTGATGATCCATTTTTGGTAGACAGCGCGCACAAACTGAACAGTGATGCGTCCGGTCAGGTTTTAGCAACGTACATTTCTCGCAATACCTAAAAATAATAATATTAATAGAGTGTAACGTTAGTTAGGTTTCTTAGAAATATACGATTTTTAATTGTATTCGATCACATGGTGTAGTTATGCGCCTATAGAGTTCACAACGGTGATGCACTAGTGAGACAGAAATAATCCATTATACTACTATCTATCTATCTATTTGTCCGTCCATGTCGACTTGTTCCAAGTTAAATCGACTCCGAAAGTAGTTGCATTAGGATTTTCTAGGTGTGGCGGAGATTCATCTTAAGATTAGGCGAGCATGAGTTGGAGTCGATTAGATGCATACTTATTCATCAAAGTTGATGTGGGAATTTTTATTCTTTCAGGTTCTACAAAATGAGTACAATATTGAATTTTAGAGAAAACCTTCGATTTTTTTCACAAATTGGTGAATCCGGCGGACTTCAAAACCGAGAAAAAAACTGAACTAGTTAGATTAGAATGATCAGTTTCTAATACGTGTTGAATACTAATTCTTTACGCACCTGTTTCAGCACTATGCCAGTTTTTGAACACAATACCATTTGCGTTCCCCTATGTAATTTCTCTATCTATGGCTTCGCAAAGTAAATTCATAATGGGATAGTTGCCTCTTTTAGGACACGGAAAGCCCGTAATCATTGTGCGATAATTGCTTAGATTGTACAAAAAGGAACAGGTTGAAGCCAAAGTTAAATATTTCTTTGTTGAATTTGGAAATAAATTAAGGCCTAGTGTTGTCATTAAGTAACCGGAATGAATGTGTTTGATAAAGGTGCTTAAAGGTCCACGAGTCTCTTGAGAAATTCAAGATAGCTGGCTGCGTTCATTGTTTCACTTTTAGCGAGGACTGTAGCGTAGCAGATACACCTGATGTTAATTGCAATTACTATTATCGCCTGACTTCCGAAAGTAGTTGACACTGCTACAACTTGGTTTCTCACCAGGGTGGCGTCATTCTCTCGTTTAATCCTTCTTCGGTTGGTAATAGAGATTAAATTATGCCTTTCTACAGTGAGTGCGTGCTCCTGGCGTGACTGCACGTAAGATATACGCATCTTCATCTGGCCTAGAACCAATTCACTTGGAACCCATAAATACTTCTTATTCCGTACTTTCATTATTTTTGCAATAATTTGGTGATACAGTAGATGTAAACCAACAAGTGCTTTGAACTCTGAAGTTCGACCTCGCTGATTTTCAGTACTCCAATCTTGCTTTTTGAAATATTTACACCAACGACGTACAAAGGTTTTGCTTAAGATCTCCATTTATAATGTCTTCACCAATATTCAATGTATTGCCGCAGGCTGCAACCTTCCGGGAGCAAAAATTTGATCACTGAGCGTCGATTTTCAAGACCTGGCATTTTTCCTTCCAAACTCATTTCTACTAGATCAACCGTTGACCAGTTTTCACTCACAAGTTTTTAGAGGATCAGTGTTTATTAGCCAAATTTCGTCTCCTTGCGGTGTGTAGTTAGAAAATTATTCAATTTTAGAAATAAAATATCACCCCAATCCTCAACTTATGAATATTAATATCATATTCTTTGATTGGATGCATATTTTTTTCGGGTGGTGCTTTCTTTAACAAAGAAACGTCGTGCCGATTTGGATAATAAAATACGAAATGGTTAGCGAAATATTAACCATTGTGGTTTTCCAGGGATACGATTATTTCAAATGGAGAAACAAAGTAAATGCAACAAATATCAAAATTATAGCAACGTCCTAGTAGAAGAATGGGAATAACTGTAGAAAGCTATAGGGTCTGAACCAGGTAAGGTCTTTGACTGGCAGCGCAGCACTGCCAGGGATTAACTTAAACATTAAGTAGATTTTTTTTGGGGTTTATATTGGCAATTTCATCATCGAGCTCAGTTATTTTTTTTTGAATAGCAGATGTACAGTATGGTTTCACAGCGAACCTGTATTAGGAGTGCATTAATATTCGTATGTTTCCTATAATTATTCTGAATTTTAAATGACAATATATGGCAGAATATCAAGGTCTTTTGAAACAAAAATTTCAGTACCTGTTTTACACCTAAAAGCGCCGATATAAATCAACATTTATTCTACATAGTGGAAAAGAAGTCAAATTGGAATCACTCAAATTGACTCCCAAATTGATTCCCTATTCAAAAAAATTCCTTGTTTTCTCAGTGCATTCTTACCTTACACTTCCATTGTAATTCCTACATAATATTGGCAAATGTCTGATTTGACTCTCAAGGACCATTTGCTGGCCCTGTTCTGTTGGTTCCTTCTCCAGGCGGTCTAATGTTTCTGATGACAGGTAAAAGTTTCTGAAAGTCCAACGGAATTATGTATATAGAATTGAAGCCCTCTAAAATGTGTATCTGTTTAAGATTTATATGATAAAGGTTGCAATGCTAATACGTTGTTTATGCCTTGAACATAATCGCGACTGCCGGTTAACGAAGTACTATAGTTTACACAATGCTTTCCAAAAAAGTATAAAATTTGTTTCTTACCGTGGTATTTCACCGGGATCGGTAAAAATAGTCTGCCAATAGGACCAAACAAACATGACGAAGGATACATGAAATATTATCAGGTACAACACTTTCTCCACATAACTTTCCACCCTGACTGAAAATAAAACATAAATCGTCATGGTTTAAGATAAAGTTGCAAGATGAATAAACGAGAAACACTCTTCGCTTTACCTTACCTATATTACCAATAATACAATTCAAAGATATACAGTTGTGAAGATCAAATGTGAATCCTTCCAAGATGCTTTTGCAATGCGTAAATTTGCAGAGCTTTGTCTTCGAAAGACGCTTGCAGGTGTTAGCGAGTCATCTGTCGACACTTGAGAGCCTTTCTCTAGCCCTGAATACTCACAGGCGCATAGTTGTATAACATAGGCGTAATATGACCAGGCAACGATGGTGATGATGAGAACTACCGGTAGCCACTTGAAAAGGCGCACACAAAACATGCATGGTCGGGAGAGACACGACATTCTTGCCGCTCCTCCACCGCCCCTTCCGCTTATCCAAGTGATCTGCCTGACTCGCCACTGCGGCAACTGCACCAAAAGCGACAAGCCAACACAACACGATTTGCGTGGGCCCTTGGGGGTCACCGAATAACAAGTGTTGTGCCGTGCACGCACACCCCAAGAGATGAGGGCCTTATCTGAAATATTAGCATTAAGAGTCTAGCTTGTAATTCAGTTAATAACTGGGAGCTAGATTGTAGAATGCATATATTATATTTAAATATATGAGCAATATATGCTGTCCAAACCTAAACTCCCATTGACACAAAGAATCTTATGGGCATTTTAAAGACATAAACGATAATGCACGGTAGAACTGCTATTCTCATTAAATTCGGCTGAGCAATAAATTTTCTCTGAAAAAAAAAATGCTTTAAAAATTCTATTTTTTTTTATTGTCACATAAGGTTTGAGACTAAGGCAGCGAAAAGATCTTGATGTCGTATTAATCTGTTCAAAAGCCTTGAGGATGTTCCTTTTATAAAAACAAATGGCGCGATGGATCATCACTGGGGAGGGCCGATTTTTATGAAAAGAACGCGAAAAAAATCAGTTTAGTGCTCTTATTTCCTTCTTCTCATCCGATGATTCGAGTATGAACGTATCGAATTTTTCTACACCAATGGGTGAAGCAAGCCAATGAAGATTTTCCGTTGGAAAAGTTATAGTGCGTGAATAAAAGTTGAATTCAATGCAATTTGGTTTCTGTATCTTAAGAATTACGAAGTTTAAGGAACGTGGTTAAAGCAACAAATAAAGATCACTTACTAAATAGTAAAAAAAAATTACCACCTAAAAATTTTAGAAATTGGATCAGAATATACTTCTAACCATTAATTAGGCTAGCATAAGAACTACATTCCATAACTTTCTAAATTTAGATCGCAGCAATAATCAAATGCGCAATTTCTGAATCGATTATTTAAGCTAAATTTGCCATCATCAGACCTTCACGACACGCCCAAATGAAAGTGATAGGTGGTTGCTTACTGCAATAAAAACAAGTAATCAATCAGTATGCTTGTAATCATTATTGATGTGAAGTACGTAATACAATAAAAAGGGCAGTTTCACCGGATCTATAATGACAATTAGTATGCTAGGCTTTAGTAGTCTTTTAAGGCAATCGGTATCTGCAAATAAGCCCAACACAATCTTAGCAAAAATTTTGTCCCAAGACATAAACCCTTGCGCGCCGCCAGTATCTATAAAGTCCGTATAAACTGCCGTATTCACAATAGCTTTCTCAAAAATTGCAACTTCTTAATTCAAAAAAGCATTTCATTTTAAAAGTGGCTGGACGATCCCACTAAAGCGATATTTATTGCGAATATTTATTACTCTAATAAAGACTACCTCAACAATGATGATCTTTTCGTCATGTTCTTATGTTCTGAAATGATCATTGCCTAGTTTTTCTGAGACGCAGAATTTCCCAAATACCCAAGTGCAAAACAATTCGAAGTTCATTATTACTCTGCGGACGACTTAGAAGAGCAATACTTCCCAATAAATAATGTGACAGTCGACCAGATTTACAAATATAAAATACACATGAGCTACAACTATAATACTGTTTCGTATTGCAATAGGAAATCGTAATCGTGTATTCATAATTATTATGATAGGACCCTTAATTATGCAGTCATCGGTCTCTGAATAATCTCAGCTTGCACAAATATGTGTTCTTTAATATTTTTTACGCTAGAAAACACTTTACTACAAAACTATTTGAATAAACGAACTCGTAGAATATTGGAACTTTGTATTGCAGCGACGCCATTATTCGTAAGCGCATGACAACTCATTTATAATTAGTTATCGGATTTTTTTAAAACACACTATATTTGTTTCTTACTCTGGGATGGCGTTCAAACTATATACACATGAGACATGCACAGTTTGCTGAAGTGGATAAATATTTTTCAGGAAATTAACGAAAGAGGGTGCCGATGATAAGACAAAACTGACGCAAATAAATACTATGAAGATTAAATTCAAATAAAACATAGTTTAGAAAATTCAGTCCATGACTGATATACGAAGCGTGAAGCATCTGTATGAGATACTAATTGCACATAGACACTGCCTAGTTTAGTACATTAAAGTAAGAAAAGATGAGAACAAACAGCGCTCAGGCTCGCTATATATATATATATATATATATATATATATATATATATATATATATATGTAGAAAACCAGGCCTAGAACTAATTAAGGAGCCTGAATGTATAAGCATCCTTCTGTTTTGTACTAAGATGGATAGATTGTTGTAGCCTGGTTTAGCGCCCACCCACTCTGACAAACTCCAATAAAAGGTGTAACATATAATGGCCATTGCTTTTCCACGCTGTAAGACATGCGTTCCCGGTTACCTAGTGAAAATACACTGCACCTTTTTTAAATACGATAACACCTGTTCAGAGCTACTTCGTTCATAATACGCTTGAAGCGAGATCCGCAGCTAACATTATGCAGAGATCATCAATAAATATATTGGGGATGAATCTACAAAAATAAACATAATAAGCTATGGCGAATTTATTTAATTTTTCCTTTCCAGTCAATACTACATGCAAACATTTGTCTGCATTAAGCACAGATGCCATGTTCATTAACCATACATGTTGAATTTAAAATGACACGAAAATATCCCATCGATAACATTGATGTCTCACATTAATAAGCTACACTTAAACAAAAATAAATATTTAAACGGTCATTTGGAAGTGTTAGCAGAGATATACCTAATTACGTGTTCATTTAATACTACTGTCCTTCGCTTCGATTACAACCACAATTCTGGGTCTAAACCAGTTACTTGCCTGTTTCAAAATTTTGCTATCCGTTTTTCTGCACGCTCCTAATATTGACATTGAGAGGGTCGCCGTTAGCATCAGGACATGATGGACGCTTGCTCGATCGAGCCCCGTACATGATAAAATGTGCACGTTCGCAGCCAACCAACCCCACTAATTTGTTGAAATACAAGTGGGTGCGCTATCTTGCTAAATGACATACGGTGTACCATTTAAGACATGTATCCACGGACCCCCTGCAGTTTTTAAAACAACCATATAACCTTCTCGGTTAACGAATATACCTCTCTAAAGAACTACGGCAATATGATGATTTGTCCACCAGACAAACCACTCATAACGTGGACATTAGGTGAAAGTTTTGTTTTGCGCTCTAGTGGAACGCCTTTCAACAGTCACTAAGGGATCAAGAACTGCCTGCTATTCAGAGCTAAAAGGGTTTAAGAGCAACCAATATCAAGAAGTCTCTTGGTTTCACTATATCTACACAGATTTTGCCCGACTTTGATGGTCTTAGATTGGTACCTAAAGTGTTTTTAACAATCCAAGCTGTTCCTACCATGTACAATTCGGTCTGACGGTGTATAACAGCAGAATCACCATAAACGCACTTGAAGCAACTTTTGCAGAACTCAGACGATCTTTTCTGTATGCCTTCTGCTGTTTAGCAATCTATTTCTACTTTATTAGCAGCCGCGTACTATCCAATCATCGACATCGGACAACCAAGGAAGTTTGTGCGGATATACGACTAGGAAAAATAGATGCAAAATTTGTTTAATTTGTAACATACTTTAGTATACAACTAATTTAAAATACCTGTAATATCTCTAAATAAAATAGTATTGCGATAGAAGCGGCCCAACGGTGATATTTTTGCTTTTACTGCAAAGGCTTTTGGCGTCTTGCCGTTCGTGTATTGCATGAGAGACTGAAACATGTATAACTTAAAAACAAGTTTAGATTCAATAAATGACCGTAAGAGACAACAATATTCGTCGCACATTTGTTAATATTAATAGTCGTAAGATCATAAACGGTATTCGCGACTTCAATTCTTTAATAATCAAATTACTTTTAGGATCGTTTTCCCCGAAATAACAGTTAACCATTCGGCTATATGGGACCTGACACTTCATCTGGAAGATAGTTCTAGTAGCTACTTGAACGTCTCTTTCTCGAAATTCTAGAAACTGCAAATTTGAGACTTGCAACTTTGCAAAAAGAAGACCACATAAATTTACACTGCGATAAACTGCTGCGTGTACGAATCTCTTATGATTTTGCATAGAACAGACGTTAGAATTGTGGGTACCCGTTTTCTGTCTCGAATGAAGAAGGGAGATTATGGAACACTTAATAATGTTATAAAAAACTTAGTCGCGCTCAAAAATGTGACGGAAAGTGAGAAACAGCAACATACTTGACTAAATAGTCTACGGATCTGCGCATGTATGCCGGAATTCCACTGGGCATATCTCTTTTGTTGCAAGCTTTTGTCATATTAAAGCTTCGGTATTATTGCTCGGTGTATCGTGCCGAGGTTTTCCCTGCTGAAGAGGATGCCGCCTTTTTTAAGATTAAAAATAACGATTCCATAATATGTATCCTGATTAAAGTATGATTTTGAGTGAATTGGTGTACACAACCGTAAGTTTTTTTTTCGAGAATGAAATTTTTATGTACAAAGCTGTGTGGTCATATATCAAACAATAGATACTATTTTTGATCGTTCTGAAATATCCAGAACCGATGTATCAAACTTAGGGAGACCCTTGAATTAAATTTTTTTAATCGTATAAAGAGCTTGTCAACTGTTGTTCCTTGAAACATGATTCACGCTTCTTAGGTTTTTTGTTATTTCTCTATAATTTAACCTAGAGTTATTTTTAAGACAGTCTAAAGTTTTCTAAAAGATTATCAAACATCCATGTCCATATTGCATGCTATCGACTAAGTTGAATTTAATATTCTCTACTGCATAATAGATTTTTGTGCCTTCCCAAAATCGAAAAATGCATAAACCTTAACAATTTAAAATCGTGGAGCGAGCACGTCGTATTAGCGGTATCCAACAAACGATCGTTAAATCGACATCACTTACAAAAAGGATATTCTAACAAAAATCATTCCTCAGAATTTCAAGAATTTTCAAAATTGTTAATTCATTATAAGTTTCTGTATCAAGGATATTCTAATATTATACTAATGTTACGGGAAGTATAGCGATATTAATGTAATTATTTCTGTATATTTTGTCCTCGACCTTTGAATCGCATACTGAAATTTCGCCAATTTTCCTAACTTAAAAAAGCGTTACCGTTTGTATCATTAATTGTTGCTACCCTCATGCCGCAGATTTCTCTTTCAATTTACTCTTTAACGGAAAATGGAGCACTGTATTTCCATCAAATCTGATACAGAAATGGGACAGCGAACCTACTAAAGTTGAGGAATGTTTTATTTTATATATTCCAACCTTTCGGCGCAAACGAATTTATATTATGTGCCCAATAAAGAGATTTAAAAATGAGGAAATGTTTGTGTTATGTTTTTTCAGTAGTTAAAATTTCAGTTAGAAATTTACGTTTCTAGCTAGCGTTTCCGAAACGATATATAAAAATGTACTTGTTTCCTATAAACAACACAAAACCGAATATACATCTTGCTGAACCGTCTATCCACACAGTCTAAGCTGTTCTACTCATCAGAAGAAAATCTTTGGTAAAATCATCAACATAAAACGTTGAAAGAACGATTGGATTTGCGCTGCTAAATATTTTAATTGGATTAGGTTTAATTTATAATTTATAAAATATATAAAACATTTTCGGCAATAAAGCACATCAAGAAAATTCAAGTTTTATTCGAGTGCTAATAGATTAACTAACATTAATAGACTTACGAAAGAAGCATTGTTTTAACAAAGATTACAGATCTGTTTTCCAATTAATTCAAGTTACACGGAACATTCATTTCTTGCCATCTACCCGACCTACATTATGAATCTGAGTACGAGAACCGACCCTTAAAGTTTTCATCATTGGTCACCTGGGGCCTTTTAGTTCTCACCGTAAACATAAGCAACACTATTTTTTAACAACATTGGGCGCTTCTCATCACTTCTTAAATATTGAATATCTCTTTTTTTGTGTACTTTATAATGGCTGCCCGAAACAATTTGCAAACGATATATTATGACGTTCCCACGAATGAATACTAAATTAACCTGTCGGATACACTGGAATGTAGTTTGTTTGGTCACTATTCAAATAGATGTCGTCAAACAAAATTGTTAAACTAGGCAAAAAACTGTTATCCACCTTCGAAAAAAGAGGGAAATATATTTTGCTAGAAAACAAACTTCTAGATTGGCATGCATTATCTGTAGTAACGCCATACGCTGAACCTAACTTCTTGGCTCCGCCATACGAATACATGCTTTTGTATTACTATACTACATATACAAAAGCTATTTGGCAAATCAGATATATTTAGAATAACAACCTGGTTATTATCTATTTTGTTTATACAGTGCCGTGTAAACCAGCTAACCGACGCATGTGGCTTATACCTACAAAAAATTAATCACAACTCCGAACAGTCAATTAAATAAGCCTACCAAACCTATTTCTTCAACAAAACAGAACCAAAAAAATTATTTCAAATATGTTCCATTTTATACTACACACAGCTTGATTACATACGGTACCACCTAGATGCATCCAGATGTCCATGCTTACCGAATAACCGGAAAAATCAATGGATCGTATGGAGCAACATGGACGAAATCTTAGCGCGGCGGGCCTACGGCTATGCGCGCGGCCCTCTTAACATTTTATACATGTCGGAAAACTTGTGAGGTATTAATCGCTATCATATTAGGCGACACACACGAATGTACCGCCTACATAATACAGAATAACATGGGTGGAGATGTCCGCGCACTGTCCCAGCTGCGGCCTCTACTACAACCGTGACAAGTTCCCAATCACATCAACCACTGTACCTCGATTACCACTACAAAGTTACACAAGCTGCTATAGAAACACAATTGGACCACCATGCGTCTGCTTAGTTGTCAAATTGTTCTGAACAGCCTGCTCGTCGTTGTAGATTACGACGCAGTGTTGGCCGATACCCACTTGAGAAAGGACATGCAAAGCGCGGTGATATTGAAATGAAACTGAAGGAGCAACCGCACTGTCGTTTCATCTAATTGCAGTACTAGAATTTTACTAAAGAAACCAGCTGGTAACTACTAGCTTCAATCGCCTAGGCACAGAGCAGGTAATACTTCCATTAGGTAAATGAAGTGTAGTCATAGAGGCTAGGAATACTAAATAGCAAACACGTAAAGCAGTGATGGGAAAGATGTGTGTGTAGTTGTGAGCGCTTCTACATGATTGTTTTATAGTTTTAGTTTGCATTAAGATTAGCAATCACGAACATTCCGGCCTTTTGTTCGCCGTAGTAACAATCTGACGTAATAAAAGAGATTTGTTTTGAATTGTCATTTGATGTATGAAAAGCTTACACGGCTGAGTCCTAAAGCTCATATTCCTGAGATAATTCTAATTAATAAGTAAAATAAATAACATAAACGACTGTTCAACTGAAGAATAACAGAGCTTACTTGCGGGGAATAAACACGGCCCACAAATCGTTTTGTATCTGATTTGTATGCTTATGAATCAGAGGAAAGTAGAGTTGAGAGTGGACTGGTACACCTAGATTTTATGCAAAGTTCTACGATTTTCACAATTTTATTTAGCTTAGATTTTGCCGATTTGTTTGACATTTTTTCCTGACTTCTTCTGCAACTTATTCTCCGCAAGGAAGACGTATCTTAAAATTTGCCGTTTTAACTTTATGTTAATAAGTTTTATGTACAGGTGTGAGCAACCTACCATAAAAAAGGTGCTACTTTTTGACCATGTGAGAGTTTGATATTACGAGGTTCACAACCTCTATCAAGGTTTTGCAATCGAATGGTCGAAATTTCGTCTGGTCGAAAAGAAGGAGCACCAGACTAGTTACTTGAAAAACACTTTATAAGATCTTACGTTTATTAGGCTGATAATACAATTCATAAAATAACCGAGCAGTTTGATCTAGATATGTCCCATCTGAACGATTTATTACGCAGGTCCTACTTAGCGAATTGGATCAGTACATTAATATACACTTGAAACAACCGCTTAGCCTAAAAATAAGTTTACGGGTTTCGTCAGATCTCAACAGTTCAATGAAATAGGCAAAATCGGAAAACTTCTAAATATGGCCGGCGAGCGCTCAAACGTTAAAACTGAGACGTTGTACTGAATATTCAGTGATCACCTGAAATATATCCGTTACTAGTCTTGTTTCCACAAATCGTATAGATTATCATGTGTGTGAACTTCAAAGACGAATAGTAAGTAGCTCTCGCTCCTGAGTAGCTGAAAAGCCGAGGTTCTGCTCTTTATGTAGAATGTCTGTACTTTCCACCATAGAGGGCGCCCCAATCGGCGTACCATAATAAAGATGGCGACTCCCATATGACTGCATGTGGGTGCCGTTTGCTTTACTGAAGAATTTTCTGTATTTTGAGGCAGTTGTTAAATATCTATGTAAGTAGCTAGCGAATGTTATATACACATTGCTGATCGCTAAATAGTTCTGACGTAGGTAGAGCCTGACGGCGTCTTCTCCTGAAAGTTGTATAAAGCCAAGCGAGAGGTACTCCTAGTTGTTTCTCTACTCTAACAGTCATGTAATAAACATTCAACATATTGATATATTTTACGTTAAAGATTTTCATAGCCCACTAAACTGTTCTGAGGGTGTTAGATAACTGATTCAAGTTATTCATTAAAGGTGATTAGTATCACATATGTCATTCTGCTCATGAACGACATATCTGTGGCAGATTATAAACTGATGGTATGGAGAAACCATCGAATGATGGTTTTACGCTTAACTGATAATTACGGAAAATGCTTTATGCAATGGGTCATTGTGGGTATAGTTCTAAAATATCTTACCATCAGGATAAGACCGAAATAGAATTACTTTATAATAAATCGTTTCCGTAATCTTCCTTGTCTTTTAGAGCATTACAAAATATACGTAGTACAGGAATATAGTAAGCATCCTAACTTGTTTAATTGTCTCACCAATTTTTCTATGTGTTCTTGTATTCTTGCCTCTTATTTTAATTATAACGAATCGACTTGGCAGGAGTTATTAAGAATTTGTTCTTTGTCATAAATGACCATTTTAAATAAGGTGTAGTTTATAATTTGTGAGATTGAGTGTGCATATATCGTCAATAAAAATCCCTTACTGGCATATTGCTGAAGCATATGTCACAAAGCCAATCACACAGGATGTTCAAACAGTAACCGAAATAAACGACCTTTGTATGCAAATATGAGGTATTAAAGTATGCATTTAAAAAAGAACTAAAAAAAAATGCAGTCGTTAAATTCACTCCTGTTAGTTTCCTGCTTCCTGTTAGTTTGCGCGATAAAGAAGTACAATAGTATCTATCTTTACTATTAAATTAGCTAACACCTGCATAGCCTCTATTTGCCACATCACATTTGAAGCCGTCGGATCGCAGGCCCTATTCAGCGCAACTTCAAAATTGAGAAAAGTTCTGTGATTGATGATCTTATGATACAATACGTTTGGAGGACCTTAAATATTTATTAGGCGGCTAAACTGGAGAGTCTTTGAGAAGAAATTGCAGTCCCGCAGATCAGGACGATAAGTATTTTGTCAAAATAGAATTCACGGAAGCAATCAAGAAGCGTCCTCCAGACCGGTTAGCTATGTTATTATATTGTTCCTATATATAAAGATTAATATTTATGTTTGCCATAGGTCGGACATTCGTTATCGCGCCATGATGATTCCGGCAACAAACATTGTCATAACTATGATAAATTGAAAATCCTGGCAGTGAATTAACTCGTTAAGTTTGTGGGTATTTAAAATTTCTAAGTCTAAAGGGTACCAAAATGAAATTACGACAAATTTGAACAAATAGTTTTTCCGACTGCACTCGTGCATTTAGTGCAGGAGCGGTCAGAGGATCAACTTCCAGCTGAAACAGGAATTAATACAATTCGATCTACATACGATACGATAGACATAGCCAGTATTTTATGATCCTAATTATATAGTTAGCAATATGTTTTCTAACGGTCTTTTTAATGGTTTTAAGGTTTAATAGTCCAAACTACCGCGTCGACCTAGTTTTTTTTATCGACTTGCTTATTTCTCAATACTGATTTTCTTTAATTGAGCAATTAATTGAAATCGATGCGCAAGACATTTTACAGATCTTAATTTATAAAATTAAGCACTGCTGTTATGAGTCATAGTGACGTTATAGCAAAAAAATAATTGTATTAGCCTAATTATTTCGAGGAATTGTATGCACTCTTTACAACTCTCTGCATCGCATTACAAGTTGAACTTATTTTATATCCCCACTGAAAGTTGCTATTTTTCTTGACCTACCTTTATCTGATCTCATTTGTATTATATTATATATCAAAACTTTTACGATCGCGTGCACCACAAACGGATGATTTAATTGGGTATTTTACTCATTAAAATGTTTTAGTCCATGCTATATGTAGGTCTTAGGTAAAACAATTGACATAAGCTTCTGAAAGTAATTTTGCAGACAAAGCCTATGTTTGTAAGACATCTTATAAGCTGTTGTAGTTAATTACATATTAAAAGATGATGTTGCTTTAATGTAATACGACTAGAATTATTATTTCCAATAATGTTTACATTGACGGTAGCACTTGCCGATATATCTGCATATATTTAGAGTTCGTGTAAAGCGATTATGAGAATCAGAAGGTTTTTTTCAGTATGAAGTTCTGAAAGAGTTCGCAAATTTTATATGTATCATCACATTTTCTAACTTATTTTCACTTTGACTGACAATTGTACCAACGTGTTTGTAAAACTCCGCACCATGTCTTAGATCAGTCCTAGAAGACGATAGCCTCTCTCTTGATATACAGAAATGAAGGGTGTCCTTTATCTGGGGCAACTTTTGGAAAAAAGTAAGTACACGGTTTCTTTGAGGCTGCCTTGAACTTATTTGCTGCTGTTTACGAAAATTGCACAAGCGATTTCCAATACGTTGAAAATTAAAAGTCATGAAAGTAATAATTTATTAGCAAAGCATGCTTCTAGTATATGATTTGTTTTTTTTATATCGGCTAAGACGAGCCCGATCAACGACTAACATATGCGGGTGCCTACGAGTCGGTTGTAGTGTTTTTCCAAGCAAGGGTTTTAGCCCTATTCGGGGAAACTACCGACATACCAGATTTTTTTTTGTTTTAGTGACAAAAACCCAGTGGCTCAACAACACGTGGGATTGAAGCTAAGTAAAAAGCTCTGGCGAAATTTCGGCGATGAGGCGAGGTCTAAAGCTGTTTTCACATATGAGAAAACCTATGACGACAATAAAAAGGATGGGTGGTAACCACTTAATTTCTGAGGTGATGGCTACAGGAATCCACTCATCACCTAGAGAATATTTTATGGAAGAAGGTGCGACGGGATAAGTAACCTGTTGTCTGGTCATGAACCCGAAGAATAGCAGGCATATCAGGTACACTTTAATAAGAAAGCAAGCCTTACAACTGACGGAAAACTTCTCACCAAAAGCATACAGACTTGCTTTGCCTAAAAGGAGATATCTCCAGGGCCGCAAATGATAAAATCGGTGCGTCAAAGCAAGTATAACTTCAATTACTCCAGCATACATCATGTTAGGGACTAATTCGAAATAATAAAACACCTCGATACACGCTAAGATTGCGTAAGCGGGATGCATATGTGAGCTGAGCTTATAAAAAGATATGCAGTGTCCAGATTTACGAGATATGAGTGTGCTGGAAGTCGTCTATGCATCTAAGAAGGGTTGCAGTAAGGCCAATGGACTCAACGTAACTGACTAAATAGCTCCGGAAGTGCGTGGTTTTATGGCGAATACAACGTTAAGGAAGAATATATGAGAAGAATCTTTTATAAAATTGAACAGCGACATGCGTTTTAAGCGCAAAAGAGCTAGCACAACAGAGTGGGTGAGATGTGCGCAGTGTTATGGTCCATACACATAAGGTCTCGGATTCAAGCTCCAGCTAAAACGGTGATTTTTCCATTATTTGAGTTATTAATATTGGTACTTTACGCTGTGAGTTTGGTTATACTGCTTACTTGGAATATCTTCGAAGTTGTGTCTACTGCACCAAGGCAATAAAACGAACAAACCGCTTGCGGTGGGGGACAATCTACATAAGTGAAACTCGACCCTATTTTACGTCTCAAGTCCAAGTTTTTGACGGTTAGATGGGTCAACTTTTTTGAAAAAACCGACCCAGTTTCGTGTACTTCCATAACTGTTTGGGTCTGGGCATGAGCAACATTACGGGTTTGCTTCTTTCTCTTTTTGAGCGTGGCATGTCCAGCTCGACAACCAGAGTGTTTAAAAAATCTTTTCCTAGTAGTACCATACGTATAACTTTGTAACACAATGTGAAACTGCTCATTGTCTCTTCATAATTATTGATTTGCAGGCTAAAATGCTTATCTTCAGTAATAAGGCTTTAAAGTAGTTTGTGCGTTGTTGGAAAAAGATCGACATCAAGGTAAGCGTCGTCTGTTAAGATACTTAAATATTAAAATTTTTTTATTATTGATTATTTAATAAATCAATAAATTAGAAGACTAAAAACGAGTAGATTGAGAATAGTTGTTAAAGGGTAAAAATTACTAGCTAATCCTAATTTTTTTTTAATATTCTCGCGGTTTCTTATTCTAGCTATATTTTTTTTATTCTCAAGATGTCTGACTTCTCAAAAATTGTGAATCGTTGAACTTTGAGTTAAAGAGTTAATGACCCAAATGAAATTGTGAAAACAAGCATAGTGATTTAAGCTAAGGTCAATTTAACACATTTCCGTGAGTTTGAACAAAATCGGGTGTATAAGTAATCGACTTTACATAAATGTCCCGGATATAAGATATTTATTTTAACTGACTTGACCAACTTTAATACAAAATGGTGAATTTGCGTATTGTCGCTGGTAGCAAAGCCGTCTTTCTCTTCTTTAGCCTAGAAGTAAGATAGGCAAGCATTTTGACCGCCCATATTTGACCTGAAATGCTTTACTGCTTTCCGATTCTAAAATCTTTCGGATGCTAGTAAAGGAAGTCATGTAGATAAGATGGGTGAGATTTATGATGTCGTATAGATCTCATCCAATTTATCAGAACACGGTTGTGCAGATTTTACATACAGGACAAAGGGGATTTTTGTCTAACCTTTTTCTTGCTATAGCCTTTCCAGGTGCTAGTCTAATAAACATAAAAATGTGACCTAGTCCAAAAGTGCAAATTTTCTTTATATGGGTAGCTTCTCTCGCCTACTTTTTTAGTTGATTGACGACTTCTACAACAAGGCACTCGGCCCGTACATAATTTAGACTGGCGAACCATGAAGAGCGCGTCTATGAAATGTAAGCATGAAACTCTAGCAGAATTTTTGTAAAATACTTTTTAGTCATCATCGCTATCGTCGTGCCCATTTTTTATAATTATTACATTTTTGCTGTTCATTAGGAAAAACCTTATGACGTCTAACCAGGGATGCCATGTTGCTATCTGATATAGCACCCAACTGACCATTCAACATAACCGTTTGCTTTCACTACAATTGAAAGGACAGATAACAGTCACAATGGACTATCTGAGTCGAATAAAGTCGACTGTCGTTGATACGGTCTCCAACCTTTCATCTGTGCTGACCGGCAACCCTCTAAGCGGGCAATACGAGATGGGTGCATACCTAGGAAGCTATGGACCCTGCCTACTTTGGAAAATGTTTCAGGCTACAAAGAGATCGACTCGAGAGGAGGCTTGTGTCTTTCTACTTGAAAAAAAATCCCTTGACAGGTAATGTAACCTTTTCTCCGCATTATCAACATCGCCAAGATCCTAGTTCTGTCATTATGCTATATCTAGATTAAGAGTGATATGATTCGGCAAAAAACATTCAATACAATAAACCCACATATCTGCTTCTGGGACGTCCTTCTATCGTAAACCGTCGAAAGTCGTACTAAAGTGATGTTATTCTGTAAAAACTACTTCGATGCAGAAGGTGGGGACACGTGGGCACAGAGAACTATACATTATCTCTCATACCATTTTAAAATCAGTTGGTTAAAAATAAGTAGTAGTAGATAGTAAAATTCCAAATGTATGGAATTTTTTCTTGTGGGTAAGTCTTATCTAATGCGAACGTCCTGTGATAAAAAAAAAAAAAAAAAACTAATATTTAAGTAAATTAATTTTCATGTCTAAATATACTGAAAACAGTCTTTAAGGCGTTTGATATTTGTGTGGTGCGGTCCCTAGCACAAGTACAACACGGTGCTAAACTTTTGGGTTTCAGCGGTCAGATGTCATTTACTGGGATAGGTCACTATTATTAATTACGACTCGAATGACGCTAGCAGGTTCTGGGACATTTAACAAATATGTTACAGCACGTCATGGTCCAATATTTCCTTTGCTGAGCTTTGCTTTTGCATCGGAAAAGGCTTCTTATTTTTTTATATATATTTGACCTGTTAGCGTAGTATATCTACATATGATTTTATTTTACCAAACACAATTTCTATTTTAATGTACAGAAGAGACTTTCAAGAGTGTTTTGTGATAAAAAAACATTAAAAAGTATTTAGTTTACTGCTGAATTCTGTGTGAGCTAAGCTCCACTTTGTAGAGCATTTGTAGGTGAACACCTTAATGTGTGAAGAAATCTCAAAAACAATGATGCTTCAAACAAATATATAACCGGCTGATTATCTTGCATTTACCGGCAAATTATGTTTTTATACTTCTGTGAATTTCCTCGATAATAAATTAGTTTAGTATCAGCCATGTATTATTGCACAAATAGAAATTTGTCGATTTGCTTAATAAGCTGAACGTTATTTAACGAGTGTGACCGACTTGCAGGTACCCCAAGGCAGAGCGCGAATTTGCGCTGACTATGCTGAAACGAGGCGTGGCAGGGCTTACACGACTGCGGCACCCCGCCATATTGACAGTGTCGCACCCTTTGGAAGAGTCTCGAGAATCCCTGGCTTTTGCAACAGAGGCCTGTTTTTGTTCATTAGCCAATATTGTAGCAACCGAACGGCCCGCTTCTCCAAATGTAGAAATTCCAGAGGCTGTCCGGGAGTACAAATTACATGAAGTCGAGATAAAGTACGGTCTTGCTCAGGTGTCAGAAGCCCTTGCTTTTCTTCACCAAGCGAAGCTAGTGCATGGAAACGTTTGTCCAGAATCAATAGTCATTAATAAAAAAGGCGCTTGGAAACTAGCGGGCTTCGAACAGTGCAAAACATTAACGGAGGAAACTGCGAGATATAGTTTTGACTCGACATCACCGACAGCAACTCTGCCTAATTATGAATACATTGCACCGGAATGTGCACTCCAAGAGATGTGTTGGCCGGCAAGTGACATGTACTCCTTGGGAGTCCTGGTCTATGCTGTGCATATGAATGGGATTACGCCATATTCAACACGAGGTAGCTTTGAAACACTCAAAACTTGTCTAGAACAGATGAAAAATTTTCCTAAGGCAAAACTGCAAACTCTACCCCAAGGCGCCAGAGAGTATGTTAAGTTATTATTAAGTTTTAACCCTCAGCTGCGGCCTGACGCCCATCAGTTTGGAAAGCTTCCATATCTTGAGGATGTGGGTGTTAAAACGCTTCGGGATCTCGATTCATTATATCAGCTTGACAAGGTAGCGAAGAGCCACATATACAAAGGTCTGCCACCCATTGTTGAGAAATTACCGAAGCGAATCAACCTGTATCGAGTGCTTCCGTGTATTGCTGGCGAGTATGTAAACGCTGAAATGGTTCCCTTTGTTTTGCCGACTGTACTAATCATTGCGGAAATGAGTTCACCGGAAGAGTTTGGAAGTTCGGTATTACCTGAGCTTCAGAAAGTGTTTCTTTACACACAGCCTGTACATATAATGTACCTTCTGCTCCAGAAAATGGATCTTCTAATCTCAAGGTGCCCCCCTGAAGCAGTAAGAGACCATCTGCTTTCGATGGTTTACCGTGCACTTGAATGTAATGCTCAGCAAATTCAAGAGCTTTGTCTCAACACTATTCCAAATTTTGCCCAACTTGTGGAGTACGGCTCAATGAAGAATCACCTCTTGCCAAGGATCAAGAAGCTGTGTATTTCGACTAGTCTGACGTCAACTCGCGTTGGTTGTCTTGTGTGCATGGGCAAGATTTTGGAACATCTCGACAAATGGGTAGTGTTAGACGATATCATCGCATGGCTACCGGAGGTTAAGTCTCGTGACTCCGCTGTCCTTATGGCTATTCTTGGTGTTTACAAAATATCTCTCACCCATCAGAAACTAGGAATCACAAAAGAAATACTTGCTTGTAAAGTAATTCCCTTTTTAGTTCCGTTGTCTATAGAGGGATCACTTAATCTCACACAATTTAACCAGGTAATTGCACTGGTTAAAGAAATGATATCGCAGGTTGAGGTTGAGCATCGCACCAAGCTAGAACAGACTGATACTTTAGTAGCCGAAAAAGCACCAGTTAAGACTGTGAAATCGCCAAGTGCCGACGAGTTGATGTCGGAGCTTACAGTAAGTGTAACAACAGTCAAACCTCCAGAAAATGGGCTGAAAAATTTATCACTGGAAGAGAAACAGCGTTTAGCACGTCAAGAAGAGTCAATGAGGCTTTTTGAAGGTCAAGCGCCGCTTGCTTCTCGAATCGATGGTAGGCCTGCTCGATTGGGGGCACAAAAACTCACTACGACGCCAAAAGACTTAACGACATCATTGTTAAATTCTAACTTGATGAACTTAGAAAACAAAACGAACAATTTGAAACATAATCTTCAAGACCAACAGCAACCATTCCAGACGCCTAACTATAACATTGATACATCCTCTCTTATGAGTCCTACTAGTCCATCAAACGTTTATCGCTGGGGCACACAGAATTCGCTAAGTAACTTGAATCAGAACCTCGCATCAGACTGGTCAGTAGCTCAGAGCGCAGTGACGAATGCGCCGTCTGGCGGAGGGTGGGAAGAGTCTTGGGGGGACTGGTCAACCTCCACTACTGGTGCATCCAAGGGAGTCAAAAATGCGAACGTTGATTTATCTGAATTTGACACACTTATGTCGTTCGACAACCGAGGACCCAAAAAGGACATATTAAAACGAAACAGAAACTAAACATCGTCAACTAGTTGAAATAATTTACATATGAGAAACATTCAAAATTTAGCTACTCTTTTTCCGGTTGTAAGATCAAGAATATTTCATAAGCGGCTTCGATTAATAAATTTATACCGTACGTTTATTTCGCTCAGAAGTTAAATTTTACGTGATCTATTGGTTTCGGAAAGGTTATATCCGAAACATCATAACAACTGAGACGTTACCGATAGATATGTTCACGTATCGCCATTTGATGTATGGATCATTAAAGCCGAACACCTGTGAAATTGTACTGTGTTTTGATCAGCTATGCTTAGCTCGACATGTTGATGTAAAATAAAAGTTATATTCTACAATCGAAGTTAATTTTTTTCTTATTATATGGGCGTATTTTGTGTTAGTGTACACGAGTATTTAATGCTCGTGAAAGGATCATTCAAATATTTAAACTAAATCCTAGAGATCATTTTGTGAGTATATCTAAATACCATAAACCATAGCTATGATGGTTGGAAAATTTATACTGCACACTATAAGCCAATTGTCTCGAAAACTTGCGGACTGACATCATTTTTACTTTTATCGGCTTTTTACTACCTACAGCACTGATTCCAAAGCAATTTATTGTCAAAACCACATCTATTCTATGGTGGCTTTTGAGCTTGTTTATACATATGATATATATATCATATGTGAGCGAATGTCGACGACAGATTTTTGTACGAACTACAAATTCCTAGTATTAATGCATGCATATAAAATATAATTTAGTTTTGAAGCGAAAGTATTAATTCGTGTGTCGTAGCGCATGAAATGTGGGAATCAATTTTGAAACAGTAAAGATACATGTGTAGTCATTCTTTTTTACCGGGAGATAAAACACGTATTTGCTATTATCTTAAAACATAAAGCTTTTTTTCATATTAACTGTATGTGCATTATCTACAAAATTTGAATAAAATTTTGTTACTAGGTTTTACTTCGGTATACGTATTGGCAATGAAATACGTTCCTTATTTCATTGCACGACGTACATGTCGTTGGCAGGGTTTAAACGAGTGGTTTTCAGTCTTATTTATCCAAGAATTGTTAAATTATAATGTAAGAGACGGGATTTAACCAAACAGAAGTAACCAAAATGTTGGAACCAAAGTGTTGTTTCTCACGTTTTATATCATGTCAGGTGGCGTTACTGGCTACTGGAACCAAAAATTTTCTTGAAAATTATGCCTTTCTTTCCTCATAAGTAGCGCTATTCCCTTGGACAGGATGAGTCTACACCACTGTAATTACTGCCCTAGGATTGAAAGAAATCGTGACAATTTAAAGCTATGTCGTAATCAGGTATAGGTACTTTGATATATGCGAATAGTAAATTGGTAAGACTTAAAATAATACAAGTAACATATTGCGCAGGATATGTTCATACAGATACACTCATTCCGTTAGTTAAAAATCATAATACAGTTTTAATAGCTTTTCTTTAAGTCTGGTAAGAACAGCGGGCATTTCCCGCAGCGCATACTACTAACATCGCGTCCTACGTACTGATATTTAGCTGCGATGAGTCAATTTCGACAAAAATCTGTGCGTATAATACGTACCATACGTGCAGCTTATGAACACGAAGAAGTCTAAGAAATGTGAAGCCGTTTTTTAATAAACAGCAGTTGGATATTGAAAGTTTTAACTCGATACCCTATGTAGCCCTATGGTTGTTGTGGATAATCAGAACAACATAACCATCTCAGTTATGGAGCATCAAACCCGTAAAATTTTATTATAGTTGAATATGGCGTTATTAAAGAAACGGACACGCACGTAATTCTGTATGGTTGCGGTACCAAACTAATGTCTTTATGTCCATTTCTTGGAGTTGAGTGTAGCAGATGAAACGCTATAAACAATTTTTATCTTTGCCCAGCGATCTTATAGAAGGCAAAAACTACAAACCGGACGAGGGCATTAGAAGAACTGAGCTAGGAACAAAAACGCAATTTAAGGTAAAAGCTCAGATTATACAGTCATCTATCTGTGTACGTTTACCATCCAAAGAAATCTATAAGCTCCGTTCAACGAGTACGAGGATCTTCTTTAGCGGTTTAATAAAAAATCACAGCATTTTAGTAGGCACACTTAATCGGGGAAGATAAGTATGGATCTGTTGATATATATATATATATTAGACTGTTGAAAAAGTATTGATTGTTTTTCCAGCTAAACAACTTTTTAATGTAAATCGCATCTGGCGTTTGTATGATTTGAAAAATGAGATTTCGCAATAAGAAATGTACTAAAATTGTCTTTATTCAAGCCTAGAATAAAGCGTCTTGAAGATGAGTGAAATTTCTGCAAAAATTCGCAGTAGTTTACAATTCTGTTACTATAGAAGTACAAATGCTACCCCGGTCCATAAAAGAAATGCTGTTATTTATGGTAGAAGCGCATTATTGGGAGAAACAACCGAAACATGGTTCTCTCCCTTTTACACTAGAAATTTAAATGTGAAAAATACTACTCGTAGTTGTTAACCAGTTACAAAAAAAGTCGATAGAAGCACTATGAAAGTTGAGTAAGACTGGCACGCGAGGAACTATAATACCGCCAAGATATCTACCGCCAAACAGTTAAATCATTTGAAAAAAGACTACAAAAAGAGGTTCGATGTTTAGGTGGCACACAAATTGACGCAAAAAAATTTACCCCATCATATTTACATCTGCAACTTTCTTTGTAATCTCGGGTCATGAAAAGTGGATTGCTTCACAATATCTGGCAAAGCCCGGACTGACACAAAAAAGGTAACGACAATGTTTGATGAGGTTGAAAAGGAGCCGTTCATTATGACTTGCTGCCGTCCAACAAGATGATTGAAACGGACTTCTACTGTCAGCGATCAACAAGAATACAACATACTACTAAAAAAAATCGACCGGAATTAGTAAACAGAAAATGTTTTTCTGCCATGATAATGCTGGAAACCATAGAAGTTCTACTAGAAAAGTTCTAGATCAAAATGGCGCGTATTTAGCTTAGTAATATCATTTATAAATATAAAAAGTATTGACTTTAATTTTAACTTTAAAACTATGAATACTTTTCTAAAGTCATATATGTACATTTATATATATATATATATACATATATCTGCGATGCTCGCGTACCGTTGCACGAGCAATATTGATGTTCTCTTTACAAAGCTATAGTTCTTGAACTTCTTATTTACCTTTGGCAGAATTTTCAAAATATCTGCCACGGCCACATTTAATGTAAAGACTATATGAGACCCTCCCGCAGCTTAAAAATCATGGCTAATGGGAATATCTAGAAGGTTTTTATATGAATAATCAGTCGATAATATTCTTTTTCCATTTACCTTAAAAATATTCAATTGCGTTTTAATTTCTATATTCATACCGGACAGTACTGTCCGATTTCGTGAAAACAAATTTTTACATGGGTTAACTAGCTGCTCACGTTACAGCATCTGTTTATGATTGCTATATTTTAGGTTAGTACTAGTAACTACATATGAATGTCGAACAGCTTACGATCCTTTGACCTTCGAATCCCTGAAGGGAAGTCTGTGTGTTTCTGGATAGATAACATCTAATTAAGGTTTCTGAAGTACTCGTAGAAAGCCGTTTAATATTTGCTAGATTAATTTAGATTTTTTTGCACAAATTGTTTTCCTGTTTCGATAAATTAGTTCTCCAGGCGGGTAATGAATTCAAGATATATTTCAATTAGCTGCAAATTGTTCCTTTGCGAACACCTAAAAGTTTTGTTCTTACGAGACGACAAGCTCTTACTTAAATCGTACACAAGAAGTATGATCTTAACGAAACCGGATTATCTATCTGACAATTTGAGTCTTTTCTCAATAAAGTGCAACTTCTTGTAAGTTACAATTTTGAACGCCGACTTTAATTATATTTTGCTAAATTTTATCGATATAGCCACGAATTAAGCCCTGTCGTTTTAACGGTTTAAAAGCTGCAATGTTGTGAACAGCCCTGGGTGATAGGCAAATCATTTCCACAAATGAACCTTTGTTGATCCGCATTACCATAGTTTGTCGCTCCTATAACGCCTTCAGACATTGTGTATAGTATAGCTGTTTATGATACCTAATGTTTATTTTGTATAACAGGTGTATATGCTATATAATGGAAAAACTCAAGGTTTGCAGCTATCAAATGTGGGAGATGGCAGCATACAAATTAAACAAAAGAAATTGTATTTGATTAATTGTTCCTCCTGCTAGAAAACTTGCGTGTGAACCTGCAGAAGTCGGCGTCCTTTGAAATACCGGGAGATGATAATTTTACAAAAACAGATGCTGCTGCAGAGTTTTTGTTCTGGCACAATCGATTATTGTTTATGCCTGGGCGTATTGCCATTGAAAGAGCCACCGACGTGGTGTCGCAGTAAACTAAAAACGGATCTGTATCGACCATTTCGATTAAGTGATCATCACAAAAAAATAATATACAAAATATTTTTGTTGTATGTTCGGATGAGCTTTCACGCAAATTGAAAAAAACCTTTAGCTTTATAGAAACTGAGCAAAAGAGCTTGACTTCATTGTCACCATTTTCGGTGCCTGAACCAGTAAGCGAACTTGAAGAACTCTATTGTAATAAAGGACGATTGAAATCGCCAAGCTGTATATGTGTTCGCTCGGAGTGAGTCAAATACCAAGTACAGATTGTTGATTTCATTTAGCCTAAATATAACAATGTTCTGCATTACATGTATTCTTGATAGTTTTGATCATATATAATGAGAGCACATTTTACTAAACTAACTCATGTATAATTCAATGTTTTTCTAAATAATCCAAAGTTTGGATTTTGAAAAAAAACTAAGAAGAAACATTTTTCTTTAATGTTAGCTACTTGCAGAACCTAATCAGCCTAATAAGGAAGTTACAGTTTATACAATGTCCTGGTTAATTGCTATAATGCAACAATATAGTAAACCTCGTTAATTAATGCATTACTTCAAATGCTCGCATTTAGCATTTGGGTTTTAGCCGTAATGAAATATGTACGATAAATTTAATCAAAAACGCTCTTTATTAGTAAATTTTTCTGCCTTAGGTAGTATTATATATATCTCCGAGCAAAAAACTTATTCATTTGATTTTTAAATTCTTGAGATTTACATGGTTCTAATAGCCACGAAAATTCTATTCTAGACTATTGCAGCTAAGATTTTTGACCTTACTGGTACATATGCTGTATTTGCGCTAAAAATCAGAAAATTATCTCTCGTATAGTTATAGAGGCTTCGAGCAGGAGTGTCAGAAAAATACCAGTTTGGTGCATTACGGTGTGAAAACGCTAATAGATCATTTACCATACAAGCGTACAGTTCTTTGGCTGCTAATTTTTTCACAGCACTTTATGAGCAGCAATGTGTGAAGACAGGATTTTACTTCCGTATACATTTTCGCCTAAACCTAAGATTTTGAGATCGACTAAAGAAACTGGTACACTCCATCTAATATCTCCGTATACTAATTTTATTATTACTTAAATAATAATTTTATTATTACTTAAGATCAAATCCAAAATTAACCCTACTTAGTTATTAAGTATTATTAAATAATTAATGAAAGTTATGTTCCAACTTGGAGATGAAGTATAATGTAAGTCTTCATAAGATATGTGTCCCTTGGGATACGTTGTATTTAATCTGGGAAATCGAAATTAGAAGTGTATAAACAAATTGCCCGAGTACTTAATTACACTGCATATTTGAACACAAATATAGGCTGATTTAGTATAAATAATATACTTTATCTCATAAATGATAATAGACTTTCGTAGGTTATACATTATTCATGGTACCTTCTAATAAATGGGTCCCTGCTAGTGTACCATTATTATAATTTACGCTACATGCTCCCATCCTTTCTTGAATCAAGCGCTTTCAAATGTAGCTATAACGTCGTGGTGGCGGCCATCGCAGATAGCACATATTTATCATGCATGACATATATCAGTCCACCACAAATAAGTCCACTTAAGTATAGCACACAAAACGCACGCGATAGGGGTATGAATCCAAGGAGCTTCAGTTGAAGGGTATTTTTTTTTAGAGATCGAAGGGCCACTGTTAGGCCCATTTGTTGAGGCGCGTCGCGAAACTTTGAAATTTGTTCGCTGACTAAAGTCGCCGTTGCTATACTACTAATCCTGAGATAATTGGAAGCCTCGCTCACGATGACTAGGCAGACTAGCATAACAGTCTCATAAACTATCCACATACATAATGCCGCCGATATCTTGTATTGGCTCAGAAAAAGTTGTAGCGTCAAACTGCTTCGGGTGACAGCATGAATGTAGGCCATTCCTAATGATACCGAATACAGCCTGTTGACGTCGCGCACTGCGGTCACCATTTGGGAGTACCGAACTCTCATGTCGAGCAATAGATGCAAGTTAACGCGTTTCATGAGTGAATTATTAATTTCGCGCACGACATGAGCAAAGCTCCAGCACAGTTCACTTGCTGAGATCACTTGTATCCATAGCGTGGTATTCATAAGCAGCATCCGAATAAGCACTTCCGTTTGTTGGAAGGTATCTTGGCCGTTACATTTATGAAAGACGTATACAATGGCACTTGAAATGTGACACAGCCAGTTGAGAAGGCTAAGTAAAAAGCAGCGTAGCTCCTCCGCTTCACCTTGTTTCTTCAGCTGACTTTTTGTGGCCAGATTGTTAAGGAAATTAACAATTTCAAGAAATGACACCCGTTGAAAATTATGAGATAGATTTGCCATCAGAGCGGCAAAAAATAATAGAACTACGTCAGTTAACTCAAGTTGCGACATGTGGCTTACAAGAAAGGACTCTGCACCTTGTACAACATAAGAGTATATCACGATTCCCATATACGTAGCTAACATAATCCACACGATTAATCGCCATATTCGCATGTGAGGTCGCGTATTACGGGATATGGTAGCATCGGTTCGTGCCACTCCAATGGACTGTAAAGACAGCAACACTGGCATAAAATGATTAAGGAGAGGAAAATGTGCCAGAATCTCTTGCGACACGAGTTGTTGCTGTCGCTCGGGATCGCCCGCACCATCTCGTTCTTCTTCCTCACGTCCTGTTGAATCCTCAACGCGAACTACCCACGGTGACAGTCCGTCCTGCTTATCAGGACCTCTGGATATCGTCGCAATCGCCACTTTATCGTTTTGTCTCCTTGCCGATTGTTTCGGTGATTGGTGAAATCGAACATCAATACCCTGTCAAGGCACTGATTGCATGTTGTGAGTCACATATTTGCATTTGCTAGCACCTATGCAGACGCTAACGTATTCAACTCATTCACAAATATTAAAAAGCTTACCATTGATTAAAAGTATCTTTTCAGTTTATTTATCGAATCTATCTACATCATTTAGCTAACGGATGAAATAAATGACGCAATTTTACCTTGCTATAAGTTTACGCCACAGTAGCGGAATAACGTCGAACAAGCTACCTTACTTAAGTTTATACCTGCCTTGAATATTCTGGCAATATATGTACCACAACGATACGACTATTTAGATAGGGAGTGGCGCGAGTGGTATTAGAGAACCCAGACTTGCTATTTTATCAGAATGGACTCTAAAAAGCAAAAAGGAGGTTCCTCTACGAAGATCTCTAATAGCTATAACTATTGTGGTAGATAGTACCGCTTAATCCTATATGAAACATCATTTTGATGGATGATAGCGACATGCATGGTATCGACCGTTGTCGCTTTGTCAAGCCGGACTTGCTAATTTCGTAAGTTTCGTAGATAACACATACTATGGTTACAAGCGACGCTTTCGACGCGCAAAATCAATCCTTTGTAGATTGCTGTATTCCTCGATTTTATACCCTTCTTTTATAATTAAACTAATTGAAGGGTACATCACTTACATTTTATCACTCAAAAGGACCCACCTATTATCATTTAAAAGAACTTGAAAAGAAAAAAATGTAAACATGTTTCTGACTCTCTATTTGTTTTGATAGTAGAGTTGGGTTTGACATTCAAACTACAAAATCTCAAGTACGGTCTTTTGCTAGTGCTTACTGATTTCTTCAATTTACATGAGTTCTTAATATTAGCTCACCACAAAGTTACATTTAACTTAAGTAAATAAAAGTGTTTAAAGAAATGGTTCACGGTAGTACTGGATGCATAATTCAAAATATTTATCTTAAGAATAACGGTACAACACACTTTACCAGTTTCATGTTAGTAATTAGTCCTTACCGTGGCACAAGCCATATTGTTTATTCGCAGGATATTGGTGTTGAGAGGTTTCAACTTTTACAACGTAGCAACGGTAGGTTTACAGTTAGGAGAGTACGTACAGCTCTGAAAAGTATGTAGTGCATATTAGTACTAATAGAGGTTTCCGCCACATCATATCAGGGTCCATTGTTCCAACTTATAAGTCACGTGTTTCTTCCTGCAGAACCGGTTTTCGGGGCCTCTTAGTATTATCCAAGAGCGGAAAAATGTTTATTGCTCAGATAGCTGTCAGATAGATTATTACTACACTAAAGTTTGGGAAATTGTTCTATTATTTTTGTGATATCATGTTTCTATTACAGTCTAGGTGTTTTTATACCTTTTCAGCTGAAAACTCCTATTTGAACGCCCTTTCCGTATTGCCTAGATAGGGTGTCGTGATAATGAATTTGTCTCAAACTACTTAGTGCACTTTTCTTAGTCAACTTAACACTTCTTGTCTATCAGTACTGTACTTGAAAAATCTGACGAAAACTTTCATGACACACCCACATTTTTGCTACAATATTTAGCAGTCGTTTTAAAGACAAGAATATCAGTTCCTAAATAGCCTTTCCAGGTAACCTTACATCTTTCGCGCTTCTCTGCATCTTTTAAACTTCTGGGCCATTTTGAGCACTTTTGAGACCTTTAGAGTGCTACCAGCTGAGAATTTAATTCCGTTAGAATTATCTGCATTTAACGTATTTGAACGATACTTAGTTTGTACCTATCAGTATCGCCATACATATAGTTATTGTTAAAACATTGTTTAAGGATAAAAGCAGGATTATTTTGAAAATTACTACGTAGCGATTTAGGAACCGCGGTGGATCGTAAAGAATGACACTCTAGCACATACAAAAAAATTGAAAACGGAGCGCAAAAAAATCATTGTGCACGTTATCGTTTGATAGTTCTTCTTGCCACCTTTAAATTGTTATATCTAAGACGCTAAAATAGAATCGTTTCAAGAAGAATTTCGAAAACGCTTTTGTCAATAAAGTTAGCTAAAGTACACAGGATTTTTGAACCGAGCGGATCGGTAAAGGCTCGAACACGGCTTTTAATATTTCTAGGTACCTATTCTATCTAGTAGCGGAAGCTAGCAAAACTAAAAGTCTTTTCTTTGCTGAATTTTCGAGAGCTGACTATGCACTGCAGTAGAACCCATCATCTTTTCGAAAGTGGATGGTACGATTGACGGCAACCTGACGTAGATATTTTTGAAAATTGCTAACACATCCTTTGGAGACACTTTAAACTATAGTCAATTTCTCTGTTTGTCATTATCATTACCAAACACCTCAGCTTCGTCCCTACTAAGCTTCTTCGTAAGGTGCCTGATCTGAAATTTTTGCCAGATGATGTTTGCTTACACCAAACGTTTCGCGGCGAAACCGACATGCGCCATGTTCAAGGCTGCTGGAAACTATTTTTTTCGATCTTCTGGCGAATTTTGCTCCAAATATTTTTATCATGACGCTCCCTCAGTCATAATAGCGAAACATCTTTGATGATTAATTAAAGGTCTCGCAGAAGTGTGAAAACCGTCGGCACGATGTTATCGGCGGTCCTTTCATCGCAGATTCTCATTAAACTGATGTGGACCATTCTATAACTGTCGAATGCTTCTTCAAAGGATGCACTTGCCTATCGTGAGCATAAAGACGGCGCCCTTGTTTTTCGAAGAGTATTCTGAAGCCAACTTATTCATTATGAGTCTGTATTGACGCCCTATTATTTTAATAATGCTCTAACGTTTAGAGAAGACTTTTACCCAAGCTTTTGCTAAGATCAGTTGGACAAGAAAATATATTTCGATATCTTAACTCGAGAGGAGTTACAAATTTTGCAATGATCTTGACTTGGCGCCTTGTACCCAATCGACTTCTTTGTATAGTATATCTCGTATTACGTAGTCTTTTTTGACTGTAAAGTTTGTTTTGATAACGCTTTTGTTTAGTAACCATAGATCCTGGGTACATTTTGTACACTAACGACACTTCGTGCAATTGAAAGTTCCAAAAGCTATATTAATTATAATGAAGCACACTCAGTAATAGCCAATACTTGAATTTTATTCGATAAATTACAGGTACTAGTTATTATCAATCTTATACTTATTAGCTGGAGGTATGATAAATTTTACTCATTGACATATGAATCACTAATAGAGCCTGCCGTTCAGTTATAATAGCAGGTACATTAGTATGCCAGCCCTCCCTCATTTCTATGTTCGGTCCTTTAATACACTAATGTAAGTCAGATCGCAGACGCTAGTATTCTGGTTGCCTTTCTAAATAAACGTTGTAAGATTCTTAACGTAAGATTAATCGACAATATAATGGAGACTGGTGTATCATTGTACAAAAAAAATAGTATGTCATGTGGTTGCCATATAAGTAAAACATATCTACTTACAGCACTAAAAGAATACCATATATTCTATTAATTTCACAATATATCTATGACGTTGTACTAAGGGCGCGAAACTTAAAATATATTAGTAACCAAGTACCGATCGTCAAACCATCATTACTAGTCAAGTAACGGCTGATTAGCTGCTACTTTCGTGAACGCGAACGGCTACGTCTGATTTATAGTCGAGCTGATAAACGAAATGATACCGATAAAAACAATTCTTAAGAAAATCGACAGTTAACAGGAAGTAAGATCTATATAGTAGAAAGGCCATCCACAGGTGCAGATGGCTAAAGCATAGAGTAAAAGAAACTGTCACCATTTCACTGAAATATTAAGCAAATCACACTAGCACATACTGGGGAAGACAGGCAGACAGCTTACGCTTAAGAGGTGCAAGTCCCACACTTTCTGGCAAATACTATTTAAAGAAAAATTGTCAAGTTTGGGCTAATTCATATGATATTTTACAGATAGTTCTATATAAATCGTGGCTGGCACCTTACCTAACCCACACTGTGCTTTTTTAATGTTTTCCCAATTCACTTAATCCTTCCGCTCGGAAAAGTACACTTATTATCGAAAAAAACGAATAATATACGCCAAGACAATTCATATTTCATCAAGATTTTAAATCTAGCAAATTAACTAAATTAACATTATGCTCCTTCGAGAAAATGATACTGCTCCTCGAAAAATTATTTATATAATCAAATAATAGCATTCATATGTTGACGACACGTTTATTTTATGAATTAAAAAAAATTCGTCGAAAATCATTATTAGGGAAAAAAATATTATTATATACCTCTCATCGGAAAAACATTGAAAAATCGAAAATCTATAGTTGTCCCAATTTCACCGAGACTGAAGAAACAAACAACCCTTAATTATATAACCCTTTCAAGAATTTTCAACAATTCTCGAGTAAATCGCCGAAGTTTTATTTTTTATGTTCGGTAACTATGTATGTTACCTTCGGTGGTGTCGTCAGGCGTTCCATCAAACCATTGGTTTCTAGCCCGAAACTTCTAACAGGAAAAAAAAACTAACTTAACGGAAGAACATGAACCACGCATGTCGTGGTGATTCAAAATTTAACCATCAACCATTTTACAAATTAGTATTACATTCCTGATTCGAAGGTAGACTACCCTCCTAAGTGTAGCAAACAAACATGTCACTCATTGTGCTGATTCAAGAACCTAACGAAAATACTGGTTTTTCCGTTCTAAAAAACAGTTCAGACCTTCATAGAAGCTTCTTTTAGGGCGGTTATTAACACTAGATAGCCTTTCTGACCGAAAGCTATGAGGTGGAAAACTAGGAAAAAGCTTTTGAACTCTTGATCTTGAAGAGAATAAAACAACTTACGTAATGCATAGTAAACTTCACTTAAATGCTTACACTGTTGTCTAGGAACAAAGACTCTCTACCGAGAGATGTATGTAAACAAAAACATGTGCTAACAGTGCGACTTTCGTGTGGCTTACATTGCTTTGTAATAATTTCAAAGGTAAGAAAGATACTTCGATAGCCTTAAACTAGTATTATTCAATAAAACCCTTTAATGTTCGACATGAAGTAGGTAATTTTAAATAACGATAATTGCAATGATGTAGCTACCTATAGCAGAAAATTCAGCACCGTTACCATCCTCGGTTCGTAGATATTACTAGGAAATTTTTCTATACCATCTATCTACGTTGTCACTTGGTGCAAACCAGTAACGAAGAATAAGTTTGAGAAGTTGAAGCAATAACAACCAGTTATACTGGTAATTTAGACCTATGACTATGGTGTATACACTGCATGTTGTTGCAAACGTTACCAAAATGTGACAATTAAATGAGCGGATGCGTGCTGATAATTGTTTTGTGTTTTAAGAGCGTTGGCCTTATTGTAGAAACTGTTATTCTCCTTTGTCGGGTGACCGTTTAGCAGAAATACAACATGTCGAAGTCTACTTCAAAGAAGAAGACCCAAAATCATAAAAAGAAGGACTTGCATCCAAACTCGCGAAAGGTGAAGCAACTAGCGCGGAAACAACTACACAAAATCAAAATTCAAAAACGCAAGACAGAGCACTCACAAAGGAATCGGACTAGAATGGAAAAGTTTGCTTTTTTTCACAAATGTTTGCCTGAAGATGTTAATAGACTTAATGGTAACGAGGTGTGTATTTGATACGATAGTTTTTACATAAACTGAAATGGCGTTATATGGCTAAAATGTTGTTGCATGGGTAGAATGAAAGTCGAAGGACTCATTCATACAACTCAGTTGCACATGAAAATTAAATATATTTAGGAAGTCTGTTTTCTACCGTTTCACAGGTTTCGCCAGTGATTAAGTTTAACAGCAATCAGTGGTAGAAAAAACATCCGCCGTAAATAACGGAAAGTAGTGGCATAGTTTGACTGTATGAATTAAGAATTTTATGGCAAATCTTCTCTTTGGGGTAATCTTCAGGTAAAGCACATTATCGACGGGTACTTTTGTCGGTTCGACGACGAAATCGCTGAAACCGATCGGTTACTCCAAATGCGTGGCAACACGACCCAACATGCCGGCCGCATGGACGCTATTAAAATGACTTTAGATAAAGAAAAACAGGAATTTCGTAGTGCTACATTTGAAGTTCCGGATCTTTTATCAACGGACGGTTTCCAAATATTTCGTGCCTGGGACCTAAAGGAAAGCTACCTACCGAAGATCAAAACTAGAATGGTGTCTCCGCATGTACTGGCTCAACTCAGTTGATGTTAAGTAATTCTACTTACCCGTTTTTAAGAATGCGCAAGTCGAATGTATATCGTTATGTTCAACTTCAGAACTATTTTTCAGAACTGCGCAGGACAGCTCATTTTTTATTCTGTTGAATTCTAGAGAAACTCAAGTTAATTCAATACTTAAAAATTAAAAGATACGTATACACGTACCTAATAAAAATTACCTTATTGGCTCCACCTTTATGTATATCGGGAATCTGTTCAGTTTTGTTACCGCAAGTCCTCGTCTTCATCTCTATTGATGGATGAGCGTTAGAAATTTTCCTTTTAGTAGACAAGACAAAGTAACCTACGTAATCAGATAATTCAGTCAACCATACGAATCTCTACACGTTCATTTGTGCTCTCACCTGTTTTATAGTTCTCGTTTACTACTACTAAACTACCTTTAGTTCATTGAAGATCCCGTATGCAAAACGTCGTCCTGTGATGTCTGAGACTATGGGAACTGTGATATTGTCAACAAGTTCTGCATAAGCTGTGTGTTCGAATTCGCGCAATTAGCCGACAAAGGCTCAACAGAATTTTTCCTATAGAAAACTCCTGTACAACAAGGCATTTGAGTTTGAGTCACGCAGCTATCGAAGTGCGATCCTTCTAAATTGAGCGAGCACTGCTCTAATAAAACCTGATTTATGAACGCGCCCACTTGAACTGCAGAGGTGAAGGATACGGCGGTAATGACGATCCGAAACATCAGGCTATTAAATGCCTGGCCAATTTTTATAATACAAACACTATCAATATACCAATAATACCAAAGGGATACATGTAGGATAGAGAAAGCTTCATGTAGACCGGTAACACGCAAACACATGCTCCTAAAGAGAATGTTTTATACCTGATGCATCTACAGAATGCTTGGATTGTACAGTATTCCCTGCAGTACATTTTATCCATTTCGGAATAATTAAAACGAAAAATGCTTATCTTTGTAATCATGAGAAGACTGAAATTATGCGCAACGATAATCGTCGTTGCGGGTCGATCCCAGCCAAGGCGTATCAATGGCTGTACTGACGTTTTCTTTGTGCTTATATTTTTAATACGATGTCACTATCAAATATGTGGCGTAGAATGAAATACATCGTACCGCAGTACAGTTCAATGGAATATCGATGTTTATAACCTCAGACTATTTGCTGTGACTCTATAAGAGTTCATGAGCGCAAACTGCAAAAGCATTTACTTTTCAATCAGGGCCTCTGTGAAAAACAGAGCGAGGTGTTGAACAAGATTCCCAAGACTCCTTCACATCTAATATGGTGTCCATTTTGTCACTTACCTATTGCGCAATAACTGCATCTACGGGTTTCGTTGCAAGGAGACACCGAATTGAAAAACAGAAATCTGTACCAAGATTTTATACCACTTCGGTTTGGGGTGCTATTTATACAGGGACGATAATAACAATCAGCAGTAGAATTTCTGGATCATTTTTTCGAATTTGCAATTATAGTTAGGGCCCTAGTGGGATTCCAGTAGGCCTAGCTAGCATAAAAAACATTACCGTTACCTTTTGAAAATCAAATTTTTTTTGAGTCTGTGGGAAATTAGGTTCATTCGGTCAGAATGGTAGTAGACATGCTGAACTGCAAGTGCATAACGATTAAACTTTAAGTAATATTTGATTTTTATCTAGTCTTGTTCGACCAACAATGAAACAACTGACACGTGCCAACTTGGTAGTAGCGTTATGGGATGGTCAAAGTCGTCCGCAGCCTGGCGGAAGTTACCCAAGGCTTGGATGCAGCGGGGTGGCTTAGGTTTGCAGCAGACCGAAAAAGTAAATTGACGAGAGCGTCGTATAGCTTGAGCACCAAATAATGCGGAGAATTAGGCTGTACCCGAAAAAAGCTGCGCGGCTATGGTAGGACCACAAGCCCGACACGGGGCAAAGGTTTAAGGAGACCTTCGAGAACGTTTTCTAAAGGAAAAGTTCAGGTTTCCCAGTGGTTCAACCTTGATAAGACCCGGAAAAAAGCATTTGTTTACTTTGTGTATATCGAGTGACCAGCGCTTGATGAAGTATAACTTAAGCTAGACCTTCGTACTTAGCCCCTAGCCCTTTATTGTTTTTAACTAACGTACAATATTCGGTGCAATCTGTCACTTTTGCTAGTTTTATGACATTAGCATGGGTGAGCTCATACGGAGCTGTTTTGTCTGGAACTATTTACCAGAAAGGCCTCACACTTCAAGCAGGTTTGGCTCCCGACCTAAAGACATGTGGGTACCGGGGACGAGGTGCCGGTATCTAAGAGTACAGTGGCTTTAAAATGATCATCAGTTAATGCGTTATTGCGGTGGGGATTCCAGCCCTGCCTTGTGTAGCGTCCGTTAGGATTCTTGTGCCAGCGATAACAGCATGATTTCTCACAAATCTCTGGTAATAAAAGCACTCATGGAAGATCGGACAGTGGAGCGGTTCACATTTATTTCAGGTGCCTGTAATTAATTAAGTAGGGCGAAAGAAGGACATATATATATATATATATATATGAAGCGCACCGTAGAAGCTTATATATGTAGGAAGGGGCTCCAAAGCAAGCAGTCCGAGAATCCAACTCCAGATGATCGAATGCCTAGTTAGAATGTAATTCACTTATTCGGTAAACGCAATGAGTTAACAAACCTAATTCTGAGGTCCACGAGTTTTTGCACAATAAGCCTTGTCCCAATTAAAATACTGGCCGGTAAGTTCCGGAAATTGAAATGTATTGTAGACATTTATGCATGCATACGCAGTTGCATCGTAAAAGAAAAGCATATGAACCTCTTTTAGCTAAAAGTAGATCTGCTGAACGGCATTCGTTTCAGATTCCCTAAGAAAAAAGTACGTTGAAATAGTAAAAACGGAAACGCTTAAAAGAGATAGAATTCTAGGTTCAATTTTAGGTCTAGTTGTAAATTTAAGTTCGAACCCGCGTATAGACACACTTCATTTCTATGGAATTCCAAACGGCAATACCGGATGTTAGACTCAAAAGGAGAAGAAATCTAATTATGCCAGCAAATACGGCCTCAGATCGCTGACAAACTATACTCTAGCACGTGCTTTAGTACACGTCATACTCTTCATAAGATGTTTGGTATACAAAAAGTATAAAAATGGCTCTGAATAGCCTGAATACAAGTATTAAGAAGGGTCTCGACATCAAATGCCGTTGGGCATCGTTCTCGTTTATCCGGAAGGAACGTACTTATTTCAGCAAATTCCCAAAAAACCCCGATAACACAAGCGGGGTTACTAAAGCAATCAAGGTTTTAAAAATAAACAGTTGCGGATATAATTAATGTAATTAGTTCTTTCGTAGTTATTCGTCAGGCAGGGTTTTGAAGTCACACAATTCGCAAAAGATATGCAAGAAGTGCTGCGTGTATAATAGTGCAACTCTACGGTAATGGAGACAGTGCATAAAAAATTACTTCGTAGCGAGTGTGCATCTCTGTGAAAAAACATATTGTAGAGTAAGGGGAATAACAATAGCATCCGCTTCAACCAAAACGGTTTTCAGCGATTAATATATATTTTGGAACGCTACGTTTGGAACTCTAGACCACTCACGTGTAACCGATCCGGTAGCGAAGCCATTTGCACTAGCTAACACAGGCTGACATGTTCCTCCCCATCATCATCCTTGGGCAGGAGGTTTTAGAAAGCAGCCTGACACCGACAGCCAAATAATTGTATGCTATCAGTTAAAAAGCGTATCGTAGATCATGAAACCCACCTATCTATAGTGAATAAATGACTTGTGGAACTCATTCAACATAGTGAGCTTTCAAATAAGTCTTCGAGAAACCCACTATAAATTATAAAAAGTAACAGGATGAAAAACGGGGTGTGAAAACTGGTAGTGGAGAACGCATTACGAAAAGCTAAGAGAAGGGTAGAGTTAACTGTAAGATCTGAAAGGCGGCATTCAAGTTCTACCGTCTCATTAAGTTCAATTCGGCTCACTGGGTTAAAAATCTGCACATCTTTTAAACTTGATAAAATGCTAAATTTATAGAGGGTTGAAAAATTCTAGCGGCAATGTTTGCACAGCGGGGCTGGTATCTAAGCAGAAGTGAAATTCTCAGCCTACTTGACGGCGGCTAGCGATCTGTACAGATACTTCTGGTCAAGGAATGGTTGAATAAAGGGTTGTGGCGAGCGCATGGACCTACAATTCTACAACTAAAGGATTCGTTAAGTTGTCTGATCAAGGTAGGACACCCACAGATGATAACCATAATTCAATCTAATACATTATCTCTACATTGCTTAAAATATAGTGAAACATCAGGCAAAAAAGAAGAGGACTTTTTGTGCATTTATTGCCAATATAACAAAATTGATGTAAACAAGCTTCAAAGCAATAACAAGACAATGGTTTTGTATTGCGTACAACATGCTAAATTGTATTTGAAATCGTTTTTGTTTTCTCTACTTATTCCAAGCGTGCAGAGAAGTAGATTGTAGTTCGGTAATGGATTTGGGGAAAGAAGGAAACTTCGTCAATAGTCTTCAAATAATCAGCTCTCAAGAGAAGGCAGTAGAGAAGGTACACTGTGATATCGTTGGTTTCTCATCTTCATAAAAACCTGTCCTTCATCGTTGTTAAATTTATTCCAGCAGATCTGTAAAAATAACGCAACAAATTAATCCTGAATTACTAAAATAGGGAAAATAATTCCGTAATGCTTGGTAATTATGTAAAACAGTTTCTGCTTCACAAAAGATAAATACAAAATTAAACAGACTGTTATTACTTAATGAGCTAATGTCTGACCTTAAGGCACTATGCAATTAAACCTTGTTAGTCTTGACAGAATCTGTAATGCTAATTACTCGAGCGTATTTAAAAAATAATGAATCTTAAGGGGATTTAACAGCAATTTATTTCTTTTTACATCCTTGCAGTGCGTTTTGCCCTGCTTGTGTTACTTATTTATTCCAGCAAACGTTTTTTTGTTGACTGGAGTATATTTAGTTAAGTGATTCAGCTGTCTGCCACGGCAGCCTGCACAGCTAAGGCCCGGGCCGCATGACGGTAGGCTGTTAGTGTCATAGCGGAACACGAGACCTTTCCGAGTTTTAAGCTTATAAAGTTGATGTCAATAAATAATGTGCTTTTTAGACAGGTAAGAAAGTTTTATTACAAATATTAGACGACCTTTAAAGTTTTAATGAACGAATATTGTGTATTATTTTATTTGATCTTGTTGATGATTTTGGTCATATAGGGTGAATTAAATGCATATTTATATATATATATGCAGTATATTTAGGTGCCTCCGGAATGAAAACCAAAAGCGAATTTTTCTTTCTGTGTTGGCCCAGTTTAGCGGTTTAATCTGTGCTATACATAAAAAACTATGTCCGCCAAATGTCCTCCCCGGAGGCCGCTTGCATAATTTGGTGCACTTAACATCATTTTCAATTACGGCTTTTTACTATTCACTACACGAAGATAGTATTTCGGATCGCGGATTGTTTTTGGCATTGCTTTAAATTTCTCTCCTTCACATAGCCCCACAAAAAAGATCACAGTATCGAGACCTTATGTCACCGATGCAAGATGAAATCAGCCGGCATGGGACTATGACTTCAAGCAGAATGCTTGTTTCGATCGTCGTGTGACAAGCTGCGTTATCTTGTTGAAACAAAGGCTCGTTTGCAATCAATATCCTAATTTTGGTCTATAAAAAAGCTTGCCACATGTTATGATAAACCATGCCATTAACTGGTGTCGAGGTTCTATGGATATTTTTGAAGAAAAGAGGCCTCGTGACATCTCAGACCCGCAGGCCAAAGTTTATAGTGACTTTTTGTGAATAGGGTGGTTGCTCGACACTCCTCCTTAAGTTTGCTAAGTCTAAATGCAACAATTTTGTTTTTCACATAGCCAAGCTAAAAATTAGCTCATTAAGGGAAATTACATTCTCGAACAATCACCATAACCGACGTTTATATATATAGTTTTTATGTTTAATAAGTGTTGCTTTATTACGAGGTTTTCCATTATGGCAGACCGCAGATGCTGCCGCATTTGACAATTTGCAGCTCGTGCTTGTTTAAAATGTATGGGAAATCAATTCTACACCTTTAATTTGTTCTACATAGTTACTTCAATTTTCGTACTTTTGGTAAAATTTTATAGAGCTCTTTTTTTTACAAGTATTTTTACAAAAATTAACTGGAGTTTATCGTTTTAGGTATCTGTAGATTTTACATACCTGGCGAAATCATGTGTACACTGTGCTTCAATTTGCATACGATACGCTATATGCTTTGTATGTTAAAACTCAAAAAATTCAATCATGTTGCAGCAATACTATAAAGTCATACTATACAAAGTATCTATAGCCTTGTTACACAATATGCGTAAAATACATTTGGAATGTAGATACAGGTACGTAGCCCTTTTTGTTCTGTATTCGACAAGATGCATTAATGTATATAAAATTTGCTCATACTTTTTATCGTTGCCCTTAAGATTCCCCGGTAATATTCTGGTTTGGTGTCATTTAATTTAAAACATATATAATAATGCCGGATAAACTAACAATAAGGTCGTGCATTCGTTTGAGCTTTTTTGATAAATAGCGGCGTCTTTGAAGCATAATGACCTGAGACATGCTTGAAAAGGTCTACCTTTATCTAATCATGTGCACTAAGTTGATACGAAGTAAGTCATATACTAGAAGCGATGCAGACCACGCTAATACTGCGACTGATTGCACGGTCAGAGTTGTCTTTGAGGTCGTGGCTTCCGCAGCAAAGAAAACGTATGTATTAATCAAATTTTTAACTATGAGGATGCTGAAATCTTGACGGTAATCCAATAGAACCCATGTACCTACAAGGAGCTTTCCTCAAACTGCAGAAAATACAAGAACATTCAAATTGACCGTTCAAAAGCGTCTAGCATACAATGATGACGTCAGTCGGGCAGATATCTCAATTTTTCATATATTTACCCACTTGTGAATCGTGTTTGTACAGCTGATCATCCGAAATTAAACAAGGACAACATTTTTCTTGCAAAGATGGTGACAGGCGATGAAAAGTGGCAAATTTACAATAACGTCAAGCAAGGCAGACTACAAAACGTGATGCTATTCTTTAAATAAGAGCTAAAGCTAGACCACGTCCAAAGAAGGTAATGCTGTGCATGTGCTGGAACTGCAGGGTACTGCTTTTCTATGAGCTCCTCCCAAACAAAACGTTGACTCAGTACAGTGAATACTTTCACCATTTAAGGCGAAGCATCCAAAAAATGCGCTTGACTATGGCGAACAAAAGACGAGTCATGTCTTACCATGACAACGTCGAGTGTCACATATCTTTACTGACTCGCTAAAAATTGTACGAGTTTAATAAGGTGTTCTACCTCGCGTATTTTATAGTGCCGGCTTCGTTTCTCCCAGTTATTACCTTTTCTAATCTTTGCAGAACTTTTTTCATGGGAAATATTTTGTATATTTAGAAGTTGTAAAAAAAACCATTTTGACCAAATATAAGGGTATTAATATATAGAAAATAGCGTCACAACCCAATGCAGATTGCACCGGCGGTAATCGGGATAACAAGGAAACCTGTAGCAAGCACAATTTGCGAAAAAAAGGCAAGAAGCCCAACCTTCTTAAAGAAACGGGAATAAACGTCAGCTTGAAATGAAGTTCTCTTGGTCACCGTGCTTTATAAGCACGAAAAAAGTTTTAATGAGCGTTCACCGCTTGCGATGTGGTATGAACTAACTGGCAGCTCAATAAATCAAATCAAAGTGCAGAGACTCTCTGAAAAGTTTGTGCAGTTCGAAAGTGTAAGAGATTAGAACGATAAGAATGTTCATATATACGCGATGAGCTTAATGAAAACCATAATGGGCAAGCTCTATTGGTTTGTACGAGAAAAGATCTAATTTCATCTCCTATTAAAAATGCTGTACATGCTGAAATAGAGTTCCATATAAGGAAGCTGTTTAATATAGGAATATGTGATAATATAAAAATATGGTTTAATATAATGGTGAATGAAACAAAACGTAACAATTAAGTTCCTAACAAAATAACATGCCGAAGCAACGATAAGTTATTTACCAAGTGTTTTAGCTGCCACTGTCGATGCGCTTTATCAAGTTCCTTAAGCGCAGCTCTGGAATTACTGGTACGCAGTTTAGCGAGGATGCATTGGTTTAGCTGAAGCATTTCAAACATATAAACTGTAAATAGAATTCTATACATTTAACCCAAAAATCAGATTGGAAAAACAATAGGTTAGAATGTATAATCTTGGATAATTGGCTACTTGTAACCAGAAAATGTTCTTTGGGAGCTCCCAATTAGTTATCAAAGTGTACGTTTCACGACATAATACAACAAGTTAATCTATAGGTACCTCTTCCATTACTTGAAAGCGACTAGTTGCTACCAAAGTGGGCGATTTTTCCGTGTGTGATGTGACGGGAGTATCCAATGGAATCGGAGTATCTGCAAAGGGCGCAGTACTTGCATCAAAATCTCCTCTAACACGGCCCTTGTTTGTTAGTTGAGAGTTGTGTCTTGGCAGAGGAAGGTCTTCTATTTCAGTCTGTCGTTTTGCTTTCAGTATACTTCGTCGTTCACATGTCAGCTCCCATCCGTTTCCAGTCTGAAAAACGGAAGAAACATATTCTATTAGAACCATTTAATTACAGCTATTCTTAAATAGAAAGACAACTGTTTAAGAATCACTAATATTTAGTAAGTCATATTCTATTGTTGATCGTATAATCGGAATATCAATTTAAAAAAAAAAGCTAATCGTGTTAGATTATCACGTAATTTCGTGGCAAATATTTAATCAATTTGAATACAATATACAATAATGTATCTAAGAGCAAACCAAAGTCAAAGCGTGGTATGCCTTTCAAACGAAGGCTAAAGCTGAAGACCATCCCAGGAGTGTAGGGCTATGCATTTTATGGGATTCCAGGAAAATGCTCTTCCAGATGAGCCTCTTCCAAACCAGTAGAACGTTTCCTCAACTAAAAACAGCACGCCCGTTTAACGCAGTGCATCCAAACAATATGACACACTATGGTCAATAGGCGAAGCGTGATGTTCATCATAATAACGCATGGCTTCACATATCTTTAGTGACTTCTCGAAACTTAGAGTGTTTTGTTTCAAAAAGCCATTTATTCAAAAAGCAATTCCGACGCATTTCCATATTTCCCGATCCCCAAAGAACTCCTTAATGGATAAAATTTTGTTTCACTCTAAGCTCCAAAAACCACTTCGAGCAGTTTATCAAAAATAAAGACACATATATATATATATATACTGGGATATATAAATATCAACTTCTAAGAAAAACTGAGGAAATGTTTAAAAGAGGGTTATCGTTAATAACGTTGTAATCTATAAACAGCTCTATCGATCATTTTCAAAACCATAAACATACAAGTGTTTTTTAATTAAAAGTAGTCTGCAGGAAATAATAAATCCACTATGTCTCATAATCCTAAATATAAAAAATAACCTTAAATATCTGTCTGTCTGCTGCGAATCACCTTTGTCTCCCAGCCCTGAATATTATTTTATCAATTATTTTTTAAAAGATTTCTTCGGCTATTCTCCGTGTGAGAAAGCACTTGAAATCAACCCTTTTGTGAAGTATCCAGAACCTGCTCCAAAAGAGGTCTAGCCGATATTAATTTTGCTAGGCTTAAATGGGATTTCTTAACAGATGTATAATAGCAGATGCATTATACAAGCAACTCTTTTGTAGTCATTAGTTAATTTTTCTTTTGTAGTCATGATGCCTCGTATTTCATATTTCTCTGTAGCAGAAGTTTCTCCAACGCTGAGATTCGGGCTAGCAGTGGCCGCACGCTTCTTTTTCATTGTTATCGTGGCAATGCATTCAATGAGATGTGCATTAGTGATGAAGACCACATTTTTTTTTTACCAATTTTACGGATTGCTTGTATTCATTAGCCGCTTCCACTTCTCGATTGAGATATGTTAAAAGTTTAAAACAAATATCTACCCTACTGGCACACAAAAGACACAAATGTTAGATTCGGTTTTTCCTTATTTTCGGTCCGAAATATTCACTTTCGGTATGGGGAAGTGTATTCCAATTTACTCGCTGAAATCGATCAGGACAGTTATGGTGTTGCAGTTACCTTTACCCATGTATATTACTCGTGTATTATAATTGTCTAAATATCCTGTTGCCACGCTGCAATTACCTCATCAGCCTGTTCTGATATTTTATTCGTGTTACACCCGACCGCCAACATGAGCTATTACTCTATTCCAGGTTCATATTTTTACTAAAATTCTGTTGAAATTTTCCTGAAACTCTGTTATATTAATTCTGCTAGCTGATTGCAATTTTTAAATACTTTTCTTTGATCTAGTGAATTTCTTACTTTAAATTAGCGACTCGTTAGTTTCGTGCAGTTATTTATTATTATTATTACCCTGTTTCAGCGATGACTCGGCTTCCCTATGAAAATGTATTTATTTTATTTAATCCGTTAATGGATTGCATATATCACACTGCTTGAAGGAATAGCTTAGCTCGGCTTTGAAATTGCCAGTATAAAGCTACATATAGTTTACTCAACTTGTGTATGCAAAATTAACCTATAGTCTAAGACTTTATGTAACCTAGGCTTCGTGTTTTTTTTACAGTTATTCTCAGGCAGTAATAATCATTTCAATACCCTATTGCATTTGTCCTGTTTCCCATTTCAACTAATCATGAATTCGTCGGAATAATTTAGAAAAACAATAAATAAAAATTGAAAAAAACCTATGCATCCAACCGAAACTTATGAATCGCATACGCTGAGATAATTGAGATTTTATCAACCACTTTGCAAATTAAATTAGAACAACGCTTTCTACAGCGAAAAGAAACCGGAAAGACTGGTTCATGTTTCATAAATTATGAGGAATTGAATGAGACGGCTAAATTGCAAAAATGTGAAAAATCAAATTCTTACTTTGGATTCAATGTTACGCCATTTTATAAAGATTACTAACGTAAACCTTCGAGAAATGTATAACAATTATCGACCGAATTGCCCAAATTAACAGTACGCTTTATCGTAGGGAAAACTTATCTGGGAATAAATTATTCATCCATTTTACGCGCGACTTCCCTAAAAATGAAATTCTAGTAACCAAGAAAAACCAGGCCGATCCAACCATTGTGCAGGATCGAGTTAGGTGGCACTATTGAACACAGAGACTGACGCGAAGTTTTGATAGTATACTAGACGAATTGCAGGCTTTGCCCCGCATCCGTTTTGCTGTTGATTAATTTAGTTAATCTGATTTGACCACGACTAACGAAAGCTATAGGTCAAGTATACATTAACAGTTATCCCGTTGGAATTACCCTGTTGCACTTAACCTGTTATTACTTAACTACATTTTTCTGCATCTGTTCTCAAATATCCGTAAGGGAGCTCAACTAATAGTTGATTTTTAATTTGACGGATAGGCGGAAACAGGTGGTCATGGGGTTTCAGTAGTATACAACAGGAATCCACGGGCTTTACTTTGCGTATAAATACATTTTACTTTACCTGTTTAGAGGCAAAAAGCCTATCATACTTACGATTACGATATTAAGATTTTCATTTTATTTTCATATCTCTCCACTTATTATTCGAAAATTTGTTTGATATACCAGTTTTGTGAGCTATGAAAAGGACCATTCGGTTCACTTGATATTTTGTACTGCTTTTTCTATTAAATCGTATCATGAACAATCATCCTTGTATCGCTGCAAAGTTTACAAAAGTATAAGTTTACCGTTAGGATAATCAGCTAATCTTTTTAGTTACCAGTTATGCTGTTGCAAGTTATGTGGTTAAAGCCCAAATATTTTAAGAACACCAAGAAGTTCTGCGTCAGCGGTGTCACGTCGACATTTCCTGTTATTCGTGTGATTAAATCGAACCCGTTAAAGTTCGTAGAGAATCGTTGAATGCAACTATCGGTTTTATCTCGAAATCATTGATTACCAGAAATAAATATGCATTAATTAGCAAAAGTGTATAGGATTTTTTAGTAGATATTAACGGATAGATGAAAACTATACATTGTGCCGTAGAATCTTGTTCCAATACAGTGCTTTCGGGCAATATAGTGTCATAACTAGAATTCCCTAAATATTTATATTCATTAATGTCCAATGAAAACTGCGGTTATTCGACGTTAACCTCGTCAAGTCCTATGTTAGTAGTCGAACTGTATATTCCGAATTGCTCCTGTAGGTCTAATTTTTTGATACAGGCATATTTAATATCAGCTTCGTTACTTTATTTGTCCACAGGTAGCAAGCGAAAGTCACTTTTATATATAGGTGAAAGAACTTTGAGATGCTCATCTTTCTTGCATATATTACAAGACGCCTAATCACCGGTTTCGAATGTCTTTTATCCAATCATGAAAAAAACGCTTCAGGCAATGAGTGCTGTCATACGAAGTGCATCTACAATTTTTGAATCTCACGTACTGTATCTTCTTTGGCGTGAACACCAAGCTGGAATCGGGACTACGTAATTCGGCCTTCGGGCGTAAAAATTTAGCCGATGCTAGATGATGCTACTGCAATAGTTATTTTTCTACGCTCCTTTAGCTTATTAAGGATTAAATGGGTCAAAAAGTTTTCCTAAAGCAGCGGTGAATATCGCCTTTGTTTAGATAATCACAGACATCATTGTACAGTCTTCTTTGTCATGAATGGCTCACGGATATTTACGATTTTATTTAATGTTATATTAAAGTTCCGGTAGGATTTCGGTATTTTCTTTTTCGTGGTATTGATATTGTGCGATTGGATTAAAATTTTATAGCTTGTTGGTAAAAATCTTTAGTTTACTTTGATATTATTGAGAGCTATATTACGATCAATGTCAATGATAGGAAGTTATGTTGTTTTAAGCGCCAGTTTTTATAGCAATAGTCTTGCACCATCGCATTCTTGAAGTGGTTTTATATTTTCAAGGAGTTGGAGGCTTTTCCTTCGTTAACATAATTTTTAGAATAGATTGACATCCTTCATAGTTTTAATGATCTTCGAGAAGTAGTTATTTATGTATGCAAGCTTCCTTGAATGTAGTAAGGAAAACTTTATGCATTTTTAGCGAAACAAAGGACGTAAATCCACTAATAGTACGGAATAAAGGGTTGCAACTGGTAAATTTTTACCCAACATATAGCCTCGCTTGTGGATACGCTTGGAATATGTTGTTTTAATAGTAACTAGGAAAGTCTAGAACTTCTTGACCCTCTTCCCCTTTTCCAGTTGCTATTCACCCAGATAGCCCGGAATTTGGGTACATCGATGTAGAGCAAAGTTTTTGCGACGAAAAACCCATGAATACCGTTAACTTTATTAGTTTTTCGTTATTCCCATTTAGTCACGTAAATATGCCTTTCTGAAAAAATATTTGTTCCTGCGATAGGCACAAATAGAGTCGTTTGATAAGCGAGTATTTCTCATTAAAGCAGAAGCTTAGCATTCGTGTAACCGCTTGACTTTTTTCTACCTGTCAACCTTTGTGGTATTGTTTTGACGTTATTCACCTTCAAAAAATAGCTCGGTGGCTTTCCTTTTTTTTCTATATACACTTTTTAGTATGCATCTTCCAAGTGCAACGCAACTGGTTTGACCAATGAGCATATTTCAACGTTGAAGTGGCAATGGCAGACCTTAGAAGGTTTGGCATTATAAGGAACAACGCATTGTGACGTAACACCTTAGTTTGCATGGTGTTCGCTCTTTGTAACTCTTATAAACCTTCTTACTTTGAGAGAACATTTACTGAGTTTTGGATTCGCGTCCTTGTAGTATAATGTAGGCCTAATTTACGCCTTTCTTCGAGAATTCACCGTTTTTCGTGTAAAATGAATCATATATAGTAATTCTAATTTATGAAGTTCCGGATCTGAGTTTGCAACAGGGATTTCAGCTTGCATAAATGTACCATAGTTTGTTATCCTCATGTAGTCGCGTCCATAAAGTATACATGTGGCAGTCCCTTTCTTATTATTCCTTATTTACCAGGTAGGCGTTAACAATTTTTTCGCATGTTATTCCCTGAGGAGATTTTTTTTTTCTAGTTAAAACACTTTTTAGATTAAATCTGGTTCTTTTTTCCGGTTATTAGCTTTTAGTGAAGTGACTTCAGTGAGTCCTTTAAATATAGTCTGTCTTAGGAAGTTTTGATTAAGTTAAATGTGTATAAATAAATGATCCGATTTAATCCTCGAGTCCATATCGACCAAATAATGTTGAAAAGGATGACCTGCCGTTGGCTAAGCATTGCACGTTTTTCGTTTCTTTATCGTTTATCGTAATCAATAGCGTGTGCCCGTTAATCTTTAATATACTAGTTTGGCTGTTGTTAGGTGCCGAATTTAAGAAGTGTTTCTTTGAAGCATGCGCTCTTAATCTTAAACGACAGCACACAATTCTGGACAATTTAAAGTTTATAGGCGGCGTTGAATGCTGCCTTGTGAACTCATGAAATAAATTTTAAAAAGTTTAGAGTTTTCATCGTTTCGTAGCCATAGTTATTTGACGCTATAACAAACAAAACTCTGCATAATTAATGAACAGTAATGAGTTTTTTTTACGAGGCCAACGTTTCCCAGTGACGCTAAAAGAAGTTACCTGAAATAGATGACATTTTTTCAAGAAACCCTTGCTGCCGGTGTATTGCTTGTCAGTTAATTTTCCTTAGCTTTCCGTATTATCTTTGAAGATGATTACAATCATCGAAAACTTTCTTCATTCACTCGATATTTGCCTTGTTGTGTTGTTTTTTTTATGTTGCCTACGGCTTTTAGCGCCTTTTGGGATAACTAGAAAGCGCAAATGATTATTTGCGCCTTCTGCTGCCTCATTCTGCCTGAAAATTTGCTGTTTCTCTCGTTCTGCTCTATGCCGACCATTAGCTTCTTCTGCTGTGTCGACGGTTCTCCCCGCTCTCTTATGTCCCCATCCTTTTTGCTGCTATTTTTGCTTATGATTGTTGTGGTATGTAACGGCCTGTTAGCAGGCGATGGTAGAACTGATTAGGGTGAGGAAGGTTCTGTCTCATCAGGAGCAATTCGTAGCCTCAAAATTTGTTAGAGGGTTGACAAGCAAGAGACCTCATTGTCTCACTAACCTGATAGCGGAACAGTAAGATCTATCACTATTAAATTCTATTATCAAACAGCATGTTTACTCATTGCTGCGGACAATTACTGCTATCGATGTGCAAGCGGAAATTCTTTATCCCAGTACCCTGGATTCAATAAACTAGTACTGGCAGACAAGCAGATACTCATCTAACTCGAGACCTTTGACCTTAGATGATAGTTAGGACCCTCTAAGAAGGTCTTAACCATCATTTAAGACTTGCCCAATTAAAACACAAAACCCCAAGTTTCACGTATTGACTCCAACATTTTAAAAACTACGTGCAACACTGCCGCATATAATCAATTACTAGAATGTATCTAAAGCTCATTTATCTTTTTGTAGACATACCTTTCCTAAGCCCGAAATAGAGGCAATATCTGATCAGGTTTCCAGAGATTGGGAAGATCCTGAGTGTTTGGTTTTGAATACACTTTCTTCTGTTGTTTCGAATCAGTTGGCAATGTCCCTTGAAATTTCCTATTAAAATCCTGGGTCTGAACGAATCAATTATTATGAAAAATTTCGATGATGTTGGTATCGCGCTAAGTAGTGCAAAATGATAGTCTCTTAAAATCGAAGAGCAGTCTTGGAAATTTTTAAACCGGCTTCGGTTTCTGATAAAACTTCCATACTTTAACTACTTACATTGGTCGAGGAACTTCTAAAACCTAAATTCTACTCAGCTCGCAGTCTTCTTCCGGACTGTACACAACAATCTGTTCCGATGTCCTATGGAGTCAAGGTTTGATATCAAAAATGTAGAATTTCTTCTGCAAGCTGAGAAGCAACGAAATTTGTGATGATATCGCTTCTTCATGTTGCCCATTTTCTGGTAGCAGATAACACTGAGAAATTCGTAATTCGATATGTCACGTTTGGCGAAGTTCCATCGAACGCTCCTAGTTGACCAACCTCTTAAATTAGTATTTAAAAAGCTTGTACGTCTCAATCAAAACTCTGCTATAGATCACCTGTCATCAGTTATTTTTAAAAATATATATGATGCTCTCGCGAATATTTTTCGATTTTTACTAAATCACATGGTGAAGTCTCTTTAACGTATAGAACAGATGATGAAGAGCACCCAAGCACGTCTTATGGTACAGAGGTTCATATCTTGTATTTCCATAAAAGACAGAAAGGAACCTTTTCCATAGCTGACTCTCCTAACATTCCAATCAAAACCAACAAGCGAACATGTAGTGTTGTACTACACGTAGGACAAACTAAGATAGTATTATCAGCAGCGAAATACGTCTCATCTAAGTCCATTGATAATGAAAGACCATCTACGTATCGTTATGTAAGGATTTTGCAAAATAGTTGAAGATTTTAAACTTAAATCGCGTGTAACTGACTGCGCGAACACATCGTAGACGCTACGCAATCTTATACTACTATTTTCCTACAAGATTCTGTTTTCCACCTTTAGTCCTAAAACGCCATCCCAAGGTGGTTCCATGTTTTCGGATGTGGTTAACATAAAGGTATTATGTGCATTTATCTTAAGAGCATGCACTATTGTAAGGTGCTCTGGACTTTTTTATAAATCGTGTAGGTTGGAGGTCCTGCAAATCGCTTAAAGGTGTCGTATATAGCACACACATTATCGTATTAGTGTGTCTATAAAAATAACCATACTTACGACGTAAACGATTGTTTTGCACAACGCGTGGCAAAGCTAGTATATGCAGAACGCTCCTGTGCCGTGCTGCTTAATACCTCATTATAACGTCTTTATTAAATAAGACTGTGCTATGTCGTAAAAAGTAAAACCGGCAGTGTGCAGGCTGAGCGATCTTCGTCAGTTAATCGTTATATAAAAAAATTATAGACACTCATGGCTAAAATTATTAGGCCTAAAACGTCGTATAATCCTTGTGTACCTGGTTGGCGTCCTCATCTATTTAAAAGAACTGATACATCTGCAGGGAGTGTCATCTACAATGCTACGATAAAAATTTAATAAATTTACTTTACGCAACAGCGGAGGATCTGCCGTAAATACATAATTAGCGTCACCGGTCGAAGTTTCTAGTAAAATCCAGCATTCCCACTTGAATTGGTACAAAAAAAGTTTTTTAGGTTGTGTTTTTTTATTATAGCTGGGTTCTAAGACCTGGCCAGAATATCTTAAATCAGACTCACGAATAAATTGGTTTTCGCTTATCTCCAAAAGGTCTTGAAAACAGCACTACAGATACCAGGAGACAGACTTAGGAACAGAAATCCTCAAACTTACAGGGAACAAGGACGAATTGTTTTTTCTTATAGTTTCGCTTTCTCAATTAATGACAGATTGAGTCCTAAAAATTTTATGTAGTTATTTTTCAGAATTACGATTAATCATAGGTGTAAGCAGCTGCATTAGATTGAGCAAGGTTTTTCGTCGAGAAAATGTCAATCCGCTACCTTCACTTTTGAGAATTAATACAGTATCTCGTCATATTTAACATTATCGGAATATTGTGGGCATGGTTTAGATATGTAAGTCACATTTCTAAACTAAGCGATTAAAGTAACAATTTTAATACGAAATCAGCGCCACCAATAAAACGTTCCAGTAAAACGGAACGTCCCCATTTTGAGCTACAACAAGAAACGTTTATTAGGTTGTGCTTTTTATTGATGTCGGATTATGCGAGATCTCGGGAGAATCCTTCAAGTTAACATCGCGAATGCATCAGTTATTTGTCGTTTTTAGCAGCACCTGGCAACGGCCCTACGTTTTGCATAAGGTCGTAAGAAATCCATTTAGGTTTTTAATCTAGGTATTACAAAAAACCGATAATATAAACTTTATGCTCTCGTTATTGGCTTAATCTTTAGCACCGATGCCTAAATGATACTGAATATTATTAATATATTATTAAACGTCGACACTGTTATATCAGGTCGCTACGCTAGAGCCGTTTTAGCGGAACTCCGGACACCGGTCCTCAGTGGCGCAACATCTTCCAGGGCTTTTGTATAAGCGTTCGAGCAACAGGGCGGTCCGATAGTTTCTGTCAATATAGACGATCAAAAATATAGTAGAAGGCATTTTTACGGAAGCAGTTTTTACGGCCAGTTAGCGGCCAGTTAGCGTGAAGTTCAACGCTACCTAAGACGGACGCGAAGATGGTCTTGCAGTCACCTTTAAATTCTAATTATTTTTGTAATCCGATACGAGTTACATGATATCATTAATCAAGTGATAGATTATTGAACAAGGGGCACCTAGTATGATGGTGACTGAGATGTTTGTTGAGTTAAATTTACGCTTTTTAAAGCTCAAAATTAAGTCCAGTAACGTCGGCATATAATGGCTTATCGCAATGTCAATGTTTCAATCTGGTGGCATTCGAGGAGAATCCAACAACAGACAAACCTTGATCCATCGAGGGCGTCCGCTGAGTGCTTTGCACGTTATTTGCCGTTCCATGTGTACTGGTTGGGTTTGATTCCAAAACAGATCAAGAAGAATGGCGCGGCTTCTTTCGGAAGATGCAGGTGACGACAATAGTTGGTTGAGGCAGCTATACTGAATAGATATGTCCTCATGAGCGACCCGACCTTTTGTTGAATTTGTGAAAATGCAAACATCCATCTGCGTACAAATGCATTCAGTGCTCTTTAGTGAAGTTATGGAAGATAAAACTGTGGCTAAATATTTTCCTATGCCACAAAGTTATGACAAGGCGTATTACAAGAAAAAATATTGTACTTCCTTATCTTAAAAGCAAATGGTATGTTGCCTCGCATGATTGTTAGTACCAATGAATAGCAATATAAACATGTTAAAGTTGTAAATTAAATTGTTAACTTAAATAGCTACCAACATGTATGGGGATCTTAGTTCTTTTTTTCAAATCTTATTTTGACTTATCTATTTAATTCTTTCTCTCCTAATATCTACGGAAAATTTGAGTACCTGTAGGAGCTTACATCCCCGTGATAGCTTAGTGGATAACGTATTGGCTTAATTTAATTAATTAACGTATTGGTTAATATTAGGGACACATTGTGGCCTAGGTTCAAACCAAATAGACGGAAGAATGTATAACGGCGCTACTAAACATAAAACTCTAAACATAGAGAGGAGCTTTATAAAAGACATTGTTTGAATTTTCTCATGAATTACCGAGAGACTGCAACATAATGCTCAAGTGTAGCACAGATATGACAGTTCAGATTACGTTTAAAGTGGCATATTGTATAAAAAGTTAGTTTCGAACATAAGTGCGCGAACATAAATGTGCAAAGTATAAACAATCGCACCTGTCCGGATGTAAAGGCTGTTTTGTATTTCAGCTTTGGTTAAATAAACACTAGGTACAGGTAAGTGATATGAATTATTGAGGTGTCCCAGCCAAAAGTACAAGAGCTCCGGTTACGTTTCTTAAATGTTATGTTTCTGGAGTTGGTGAGCTACCGATGATGTGTTAAAAGGCATTCGTTCCAGCCCCATGATGAAACATTGCGGAAATGAACCGTGAAGCCAGATAAGGTGTATTCAAAATTCGCTAATGTGAGGCTATATCTCAGGTAACACTTCAGTAACTGCTTCAGCAGCTCTAAAAACCATGCAATAATTTGAAGAATATTAAAAAATTACGTGCTTCATTAGGCTGGTCGAGAAGCCGCTGTTCTGGCAGCTTACATAAAAATTCTAGCTAAACCGATTTATGATGCCTTGTATTGTCATATATCGTAATTGTAGATATTCAACACATTTATTATTGATACAATATTTAATGAATTGTTGAAAAATCTAGCAAGAGTAAAAAAAATTAGATTTGAAAGGAAATCCCTACATTACTTTACTGAGCAGAAAACACCACTTATTTTTATTTCTGTGACAATACGTTATCAAGTTATGTGACAACAAGAGAAGCTAAGCATCAACCAACTGACAAGATTGTCGAGCCACTTATCGTCGATGAAAAAACCTCCGAGCTTTACGCGGAATATATTATTTCAGTACTAAAATTAGTTGCTGTTCTGAACACTCAGACGGACTATCGGCATGCACGCACACTTCTAACGAGTATTTACGATGAATGAAAATGAATTCAAGATTCTAACAACTAGAAACAATGAAAGTCTACTTGTTTTTACATGCATAGGGTTAAAAAGGGATGAGGAAAAATACAACATGGAATGTTAGGTCCCAATGTGTAAACCGCGGTGGAGTATAAACAATCTTACCAGTAGTTCGCCAGTAGGAATAATATTAGATAAAAGATGATCAAGAAGTTTTGCAATGTAGAACCTAAACTAAAGGTCAATTGGCCGATATGAAGTCTCTAACAAACAGTTGCAATTGCTATCATACGAGAGAATAGCAAGGTTGTCGGAAAAGATACCTGAATCTAGCTCCTGACGAGTAGGAAGTTTGTAAAAGCGAACCGCTTCTGAAACCTGCATGCAGTAACTTTGATATTGTATCGTGCCAAAAAATCGTAAAAACCTTGCATATCAGTAAAGCATTCAAAAACATTCATTAAACATTTATTTGTGGCGAAAAATACTGTCACAAAAGAGACTGGTTTCGTTGTTCAAAACAGGCAAGAGTTTGAAGAAAAGTTTATGCACACTAGATGCAGTTGAAGTATAAGCTATACCTTAATATATGTAAAGATTACCTAAACAAATCATAAAAAACAACGAAAATGAAATGCCACTTTTATTACGGCCGTCACGAAGTAAAGCAATCAGCAGCTAAAATCTACTAGCTTTCTTCTTTGGTCCCCGCTATAGCTCTAATAACGTGTTCATCTACCAACTGGAGATACACAGAGATGCTCCATGTTCACATCTGCCGATTGCGGCCGTAATTTAAAAGGTAGCGAATTCTGTAACCTGCATCAGCCTTCTGCCGATGTCAGTCCAACTCGCGCTAAAAACGAGAGAGATCGTAACCATATTCAAATAGTACCGTCTCTTACCCTCTGAACAATACTCGCATGGTAGCAGTGGCTGCCGTACTCACTACTACAAAGAAAACGTCTTGCACTTATCTTTACTTATAAAAAGTAGTACAGGCATCGCGAGTCAATATATCCCTAGAGCAATATACCGAATAGCCAATAACCGATGGTATATAGCATTTCACATCGGATCAATAACAACGCTTTAAGCCTGCTGTTCGCGAAATTTAGCGAGGGGTTAACGTAAGCCTAGTTGTGCCGTGGACTCTTCTTTGGCAAGTTTTGTAGCAATAATTTACCGTTCAATACCGGTGTGATTGAATATATAGGAAGCCAAGAGTCGAGCGTGAGTTGAAGCAAGCAATCTGAATGCAGGCGCAATTAAACCCTCCAGTAAACCATAGGGTAATAAGAAATATGATAAATATATAATTCAGAATTATTGTATTTATCTCCTACCTTAACAATCTTTGAAGCAGTGTTAAACAAGTTTACTAACGCCTTTCGTAGAAGGGCTTAATTTTGTTTTCCTCTGGTATAATCACTGAGGGATAGCATATATTACGACATGTCTAGAGTTGGCCTTATAGTAATCTTAAAAAGTAAAACTAATTTCAAATCGACCAATCCTTTCTTACAATAACTGATGATAAATTACGCTAGAGCTCACTTCAGGTCCAGAAAGACCGTATAACTCAGAGAGAACCAGCAGAAATAAGACCTATAACAATACAATAGAAACCGATGACCTAATTGAAAGCAAAAAGATGTTAAATAAAGATAAATTAAAAATCGAAAATACTTTAAAAAAAATCCGAGCAATTGTAGAAAATCAATACTTGGAGCAGACTTCGATGAAAAATCCTAAGAATTGAGGATTCAGACAAGATAAAAAAGATTTTCGAAGTTGTGGTGAGGCTGAAGGCATTCCCAAAGTTGTGTTAGACTGCGCCTCCGATGCAGCAATTAAGAATTGCGGCAACATCTAGGGAACAGATAGCATTTACGTCAAAAACCAGTGTCACCACTTAACCACAAACAATCGTCATCTAAGATGACTCGTAGAAAAATCCGCTATTTGTGGACGTTGAATGTTACAAAAAGTGGTTCCAGTTTAAGTTCTGAGTTGCGGCGGTATTTACCGTTTTCTTACCAATCAGATCCTTAAAACTAAAAAGTGTAAACAACCTAAAGAATGTGTGCATTCTGGAATTTGACTTTACGACGTGGAGTTCAAACATCATGCTTGAAAATAGTCATAGCAGGTTTCTAATGATGCTATGAACGATATGACCAATGTAGCGAATCGCTCCGAATATGTTTAAACAAAGTAAATTACGGGAGACTGATGTTCGAAACCCATTAACACTTTTCAAAGCTCAGCATTAATTACTATAATATCTAAACGCGTATCTACCCCCAGAACAGTTCCTACAATTGCGGTCGAATAGCTCTCTTCATGCTTAACGAAAAGACAGTTGCATGCAGTTGATTGCCGAGGTGATGCACTGGATTAATCCCTTAAAGGCTCGGGTTAACAAAAACCCTTAATTTTTTGGGATTCAAAACTTTTTAAAAAGGCTCGGTATTTCTATGGATTTCATGATTTATTCAACATTTTCTGTCTATAAAATGCAGCGAAACCCGTTATAGCATGATCTCAATAGTAAAAAAATTAAACACTAAAAGTAATAAAGAGAATTTTTACAGAAATGAACGTTTCGAACACAAATTTTATGAAGATCTCGATACGTATTGCTACTGTTTTTGATTTAATAGGGAAAGATTGTAAAATTGTAACTGAAGCGGAAGTTTTTAGATTAATATAGATAAGGGGGAGGGAAACAAATTACTAGACTGAAATTTAACCTAGACCAAGAACATGGAAAACCGGTGAAGAAAACAAGAATTAGTGTAAAAATATAGAAACCGGTAACAACTGGAATGAATCTAGTGCCACCAACAGATAAGATGCAAGTATGCAAACTAGTTACGCTTTCAAAAATATTTACTCTGCATCTAACTCCAACGTTTATTCTTGAATTAGTCGAAGATTATAAAAGCATGATCAGCTACAGGTTGCCCAAATTATTTGCAATGTGGAGTCAACGGACCAACTGTAAATGAATAAAGGAAAAACACACTAAGTAGTACTGATGACTGTAGTAGAATGCCGTAATAACCATAAACTGTATAACTATAACTAAGAAGTGCTAATAACGATAAGGAAATTACTGCACAGGGTAGGGTTTGGAGAACAGATCGGCTAGATCAACCCGATTGCATAGTAAATAGTGCAGTGTTAATTAAGGCGACAGGATGCCCCTGGTCTTTCGTGCCATTGGATATATGTCACCTAAAAAACTGTCTTTATTCAAATCGATTCACCATTTAGCTAGCAAATGAATAAAAACTTATTTTGTCGTTTGCTTTCAAAAGTACGCAAGAAGGATACTATTCGCTATTGAATGACAATCCTGAGAGCTACAATGAGCTATCGCTTGGTTAAACATCTATCACTTAACTGCATATGGTGTGCTGAAACTTGTTGAGAATACCGCACGGCCAAGTGCATTCAAATCAGCTTCGACCACACTATTAGGATGATTCAGTGTTGTTTTTGTGTTTCGCAATTTCCTTATTTACATACGTGCTTGACAAAGATATTCAATAAGATTTAATAGCACTAGGGACTGAATCTTTGGGAAAATTCCAAAGGTCGTACAGGATCTGCAAAACTGGTTCACAAGAAATTCAGAGGCAACCAGGCGTACCAAAATTAAGATGAGTTTGCTTTAAGTGGGCAGTATAAATACATACTAAATAGAAACAGAACAAATAGCTAAACAAATGAAAATGTTTGAGCTTCCGATAGATTAAGCAATTTGGGGTGCTATTAGAGAAGAGAAAGTTCGTACAGATAACCTTAAACAATAATAGTTAATAGGCTGTAGACATAGTTCCATTGGTATTATATAATTTGGTGACTTGGATGTACGTACGTAGACATGGCGATATCTTTAAATACAATAATAAAAACAATAATATAAGTGAGCGATACGCAGATTAAATTATAGGAATATATGCGAATATTGAGATATTAGGAATATAGCAAAATACAAGTTATAATTGTATCTATAATTTAAATACAGGAATATGTGGTAGTAGAATTATGTGACTAGTATTAGAAAAATATAGCTTTATGTAATAGGTTGCTCCGATTACTAGGGTATTATCGACATAGGTTCGTCGTTTCTTTTATGACTTCCGATTCCGGGAGAAAGGTGGGTGGGCTAAAAGAGTATCCAAAATGCGATATCAGCAGTTTATGCCCTCATAATCTGAAAGAACTACGTACTAGAAACAGTAGAATAGCAATAGACAGTGGAGTCCGGGATTCAAATGCAGTATGGAAAGCATGAATACTATAAATGTTACGATAGGCCCATGGTGGTATGATTATGAGACTGTATTTGATCGTAGCTTCGTATTTACTGTTTCTATCAACGAAATTGTTCCTAATTTTTCTTATATATGAACTTGCATAGCCACTATAACAGTTTATTAATTCTTTGCCTTCAAGTTTGCTGAAATGTTCTTTTTAATAAAGAGCGATAATACCCAATTTTTTGTGTAAACGTTGATACCCACTGAGGAATATATGGTAGAGCTATTCCTTCATAAGTACTCTTCTTGGTAATAGTTTGATAAGTTAGATAGTTTGGTAATAGTTGCAATATTCTTTTTATACGTTTATGAACGATTTAACGTAAGGGTATCTTTTTTCAATATTAGTAAATTTGTTTTCACTTATCATTATAATATAAAATGTCACTAACCTGATATTCGTTATCAAGGTGGTTTGCTGAGTTAACCATAGAGTGATTCTTACAAGACTCTTCAAGGCTTTGATACTCTTCCGCTTCCTGCAGTAAAAAAAAAATATATATATATATACATTTAACTGATTAAAAAATAATTAAGGATTAAGGTTTACAACCCGAAAGTCCTTGGTATGCTATTCAGTTTAAACTCGGCATTAATTAAGATACCCAAGTACTCAAAAATACTCATATGTCGCATGATCAGTTATGGTATAATGAATTCGCGTAAAGGTGAGACTCAAAGCCCAAACCGGTTGTTTAAAATATACATTTTAAATATGGGGATCTCTACTGCAAAAAGAGAACCATTAAGGGTAAGATGTACTTGATACGCGTTCCGATACTTTCCGCAAAACTATGCTGTACGCGATTACGCAGATATAAATTAGGCACACTAGGGTCAAACTAAATTCGAGTGCCGTCGGTAGAATCGCATTCTTGGAGTAGCTGTTTGCACTAGCTAATGATTTCTTCTAACTAAAAATAGGAATAGCTTAAATAAGCAATTCGCGCAATCTCGAAGTATCGAACAATTTAATGGATCCCATACACAAGTTTAAAGAAGCCCTTAATGATATAATTCGCTTTATCAGGGTCATACCGTGTTGCATTTCAGTTTTCGCTGCATGGTTGCTTGTTTTCCAGTTAGCCTAGTATAGTGTTTTTCTTGAGCCGGATGTTGGCACAACTAAAAAATTATATGGCGTGTCTTAAGTCTACGTGTTACACACCCAAAGTTACCGGCGCTTGCCCTTTTCAGTATTACTCCATTTTTAGCACTTAGATCAGCCTTAATAATACCCTCTAAAATACTTATGAAGTCCTGTAAATGTTTAGATTAGCGTCTAAATGTAATATGTGTTCAGCATAATCAATTAAAGTAGCACGCTGATCCCTCAACATCATAGGACAAGATCGACCCGATTCTACAGTACATCATAGGGCCACACCGATTTCAACACAAGCGAAGTCGAATACCGGAATACGGCCGCCAAAGGACGTGGTTATAACGTTTAATGAAACTACCGGGCCGTCTCCGGCCTTCAACTTTCGTCCAGATCAGCCATTTACTACGGTGATCTTCTTGTCCTTACTTAACGAACAAAGTTTCCGTTTAAATGACGGAAACACTCAACACCCTTGTGTTGTGCAGGGCCAAGACCTGGCAGCCTATCTTTCTTTTATAGAAAACGTTTCAGCCAAATTGTTATGTTACTGACTAAAGATAACGCGATTTAGTTTAATGGTTCAATATCATCGCTTGCTACATTCGCCTTGCCTTACTCAACGTTCAACATTTAAAAGCATTCCACTTTGCCAAAACAGTGTACCTCATTGCTATCTGTCTTCATCCTGGGTATGAGAACGCGCTCAGGGAGGGTGACGAATTCAAATGGCATCTGCTTGTAGTAAAAGCTAACCTAAAAACGTCAGCATTAAACTCCAAAGTAGACGCTCAACACTGTTTTTTAGTTGAGCTTTCACTATAACTTTTCCCAATTCCAGCAGAACTCAATATCGAGATATACGCACCAACGTTGTCGTAAGCTCAGATAGGCTCGGTCGTCCCAATTCGACTTCGACATAACAAATCATGATCTCTTTATGAATATGAGATTGTCAGGCATGGACATATAACCTCAAAAACGTTGGTTTCTTATTGGTGGCCATGTCGACCAATGAAAACTTTTCTGGAATGCGGACTAAGGCACTCTCTTAAAGAAAAAGCATAATAAATACCTAAAGGCCCAGCCGTTTTGCAGAGGAAGCAACTATTGGAGACCAGACAAATGTCTACGGCCTCGAGCCACAAATATCTGCCTTGTCAACTTGATTGCTCTCATTGAGCATTTCCGCACTATGTTAACAGGGTCCGTTCTTCATCAACATACTGTATACTCTTCTGTGTCGAAGGAAGAAATAAGTAGATTACGAACTTCGTTCGTAATCTACTTGTTCGCTCTTTCGAGAGGTACTGTCTGCTGTAATATATATAGTGTTAGAATAATGAATCCGAACTAAATTATAGACTAGTATAACATTTATACGATCAGCGGCTAAGCGAAACAGAGGTTATTATTTAATATAAACCAGATTTATTATTTAATATAAAAATCCAAGCGCCGCCATGTCATTGCCTCAATTCTTAAGTTACGGAACCTAAGTAAAAATATTTAGTTAAAGACGTCCTAAGCTGCGAGTTGTATTCTCTCTGTACAGAGCTTAACTGAAAGCTCCATTGTTATAGTTACAAAGCGGTTAAGTGTTGAAGTATTGAAATTTCTTAGAGCACGGAGTTCTTAAAATCCCAACCCACGTCGTACAGAAAGCTTACCTTTCCAACTAGGCTAAAGAATCGTAGGCAGTGATTCATCTGAAAGATAATATTAAGTTAAAGCAAGCCCGACATAGCACATTCGCTTAAAGACGATAATGCCATATATCGTAATTTTTGAAACATTTATTTTAATATGACATATTTTACATTACTTGTTATCAACTAATTTCCCTTTAAGAAATCTCTTAATTGGAAACATGTAAAATCGATACAGTGATCATCTTGTAATAGTTATAATAAACCTTCGTCACAACGTATCTTCACCTGGAATCTATATATACCTCAGTGATCAGGGCATCCGCTTTGCGCACAGCATTGATATACATCTCGTGCCCAAAGTTGAATTCATCGCCGAGTTCCTCGTTACGAATGGAAGGTTTCATTGAAGTGGACTTATGCTTTTGCATACACTCCAGTTTTATATCCTCCAGATTTAATGTAATGTTTAACTGTAATCATCAATATTAAGCAAAATAAAAAGACGAATAGTGTATCAAATTAAGAAGTATTATAAAGAGCACATCAACCTATATAGTTCTTACCTATGCTATATAGTACATGCTAGTAATTTTTGGATACTAAAATGTAACAGTATTTTATTAAGTATAAAATAAGTTAATTAAATATTTATCAAGTATAAAAATTGCTTTTGAAGACTATTATCTTATGCCCTGTCGACAAAACATTCTGGAATTTTCGGTTCGTACAGCCCAGGAAACATCGGCCGTGGTGTGATTACAATTGCCGCCTTACCCGCGCCCAAAAGGCCTGTAGGCTACTGGTAACACTACAACCGACAGCGGAGCCACTGGCCGCAGTGTTTAAAGTGGTCTGCCGAAAGACAGATACCATGTGGAAAAGCAGAAAACAATTCTTATAAAAAAAAGTCGGGCGTTAGTCATAGAAATGGCTTGGCCCCCGCAAGCCTATGCCGTGCCCCACCTCATCACCGTTTCGCTGGAATGTTTTAGCTCGTGACATCGTACGCCTCGCATTCTCACCGCCTACCGAAAAAAGCAATGAATCGAAAACGACGGAATGCGAAAAGCGGGGCTAGGAGTCTTCCATCCTGGAAGTGACTCAGGCGCTCGAAAGCCTACGCTTAGGAACAGCTGCGTAGGCTTTTGGCAGTAACTTCAAAGCTGCATTTAAAAAAATATAGTCTTGAACATTTTTGCTGATGTCGGGGTTCCTGTGGATGAGCATAACTTAACTGCAGTAATGCTTCGAAGGAAGAGAGCTCCCATTTTCTTACACTATAGATATAACCCAGAATGATAATTTCAGCGCTTTCCTTTTTTCAATCCGTCTTAAGAATTTTTCAGACAAGAAACACGGGCTTAAAATTATAATGAAGGCTCCCCTTTATGCAGACGATCCAGTTTTCCACGAGAGCAATGCTTCCACGTGCAGCAGGCCCTATCCAGGTTACAGTCAGCCGTGTTGAAATTAGAACCGACTATCAGCTTAACAAAAACGGAGACAATTAAAGTGTTGGAGTTGCGGCTCGTCTTTCCTTATATCGCTCGGGCCGATCGCAAATTTACGTTGATCGATTCGCCTGTTTAGGATTGTTGATATCTATATAACGACCAAAGTTTCTCCCGGCATTTTGCACAAAAAAGCCTTGATAGCCTTTTCTTCAATGTATAGCCTCAACCGATTATCCCCCCCAAACGCTTTGTGACTTTTCGACCTCAAGGTTGCGCCCATTTCCGCTTACGGGGTTAGTTCTATCTGGGATGATCTGACAACAGGAAATTCCGCATATTTAAAGCGAACAAAGGCATTGTTTAAAGCAGCACCGGACAACCCATAACAAGTTTTCTACCTCCTGGTGGTAATGCTACTGTTCGCCTAAAATTTCCATCTTCGTCGTCAGTTCCAACATTCCAGAGTAAAGTGGAATCGAAAATTGACGAAGACCGATCCTAAATTCTATGAGATGGAAGCCATGATATACGAGAGCTGGGAAGAACTTGACCGTCTTAAGAAGCCTATAATGACGCGCTATGTAGTACACGCTTTTCACCATTAGTTTTCACCATACAGGAATTTCATGACCCTAATGCATATTGTGTTTGCAATAGATGTAGGCAACCTTGTGATCTGTATCATGCTTCTCGCGGGTGGAAGTTGAATCGTTGGGCAGCCTGACGTACCAACCAAACAATAACGGTATCATGATGTATACCCAATTATTGGTAGGTCCTAAATAAACAACTTTTGTGCATCCTAGATCAACCATTCTTGGAACTATCTCATGACATTAGCTTCAACCAGACCCGTCAAACCGTCGTATGCATAATATAGTGAAGCCTAGCATTGTTAGTATGTGAAATTGTTATAAATATATATGTACATATTTAAGTGTGTAAAGCATTATTTGATAAAAATGCATAAATGAGTTTGATTGATGTTACGCGTTAGCTTTTATTAAAGCTTCTTGCGGTCTTTGTGTCTAGCCCAAATATTGAATTTAACGAAAGAAAAAGTAAGCCCTTTTAACCCATATTTATGCAATAATATCTTTGTAACCACTAGCCGACAATTCTTGTATATCTATCCTAATCCTGCCGGTTTAACGTTATTGTTTTTATAGGTAATACTCGATGACATCATGGTAACGAGTTAATAAGTGAAGCCCAAAATGAATTGCAAAAGATTTGCTATTAAAATGCGTAAATTGCAACTGTTTAGATTCGTATGTATCCTGCAACATTTAACTAGGAATTTTAATATAATAATAATATAATGTGATAATGCTGCCATCAAGCAGACATATGCGACCACAACGCTAGTCTAATAATCACATAATCTAAACCAAAAGTTCTTAGATATCCTTCCAGTTCCTAATTTTTCTTACATTCAATTTTTACGCATACTAGTTAGTGGACTTTAACGTAAGCCAACGCAAATAAGTTTGATAGCTGAAAATGACTAGATTTCGCCAGAAGCCAGCCAAATATCTTTATTAAATGGTTAAAGCGGTTCCAAACCCAAAACTTAAATACCTTATTCGGACTAACTTTATTCGGACAACCTTTATCCAATTTAGGGGTTCTTATTTTTTGAATCTATATTAATTTTTTTATTCGAAAGTTTATTATTATTTTTGGTGAAAGTGGTGCACACAAACATTCGTTTAAAAAACTAAACATTAATGGACCCAAAAGAATGCATAAGCTTATTGGGAAATCAAATAATTTGATTATACTAGTTCAAATACGGTACCTGAGTATTTATGTGCATTTCATGCATACAGAGCTCAACTCTGCGCGCAAACTGTATACGTGGATCCTTGCTTCGTATGGCTTCTGTGAGTGCGTGGCAAAGAATTTCGTTCAAATGAGTTTCGCTTAATTCTTGGCGGGGCCTCGTGAAGCCTCGAGCACTAAGTGCTCGGCGGACACATTGCGCACGTCGTAATTCGAAGCTGGAATCTCGCTTTGTGATATTAAGGCACAGAAATATAAAATATTTAATGCTAAATTAAGTAGTATGAAAATTCGCTATTTACTACAGTTTTGTTCTACTAAACAAATGCTATTTATCATGATTATAGACTGAACTAAAGGTTAACAAGATTAGATGGACCATTTTTAGAATTTTTGAGCTTGTATGTGAGATGAATAAAATTTTTATCTATAATCTAGTATAGGGAAAAAGATTCAACAAACAAAGAGGTAGTAACAGGTATCGAACAGTCAGAAAGGTATTGGACTACTACTATGAGTTAGCATTAGTTAAACACTGTATGAGTGATTCAGCAACATACACTAGTCCCATAATATTTTAAATAAAAGCCGCCTAACCTACCAGAATCAACTGACTCAAGATTGTTTATTACATCGATGTTTTGAAAAATGTGAGCAGTGTAGATTTAGATTGTTATTTATAATGGGGCTAGGCTAGGGGGTGGGCTAAGCTTTAACTGACGCTCGCTGTTTTACTGCATTCTATCGTTTTATGACACAGGTAGGTAAAACTTCATTAAAAATGGGTTTCAAATATGTGTATGTCTGTTTTCTTACTTTTATTTCTACCCGGCCATTGAACAACCCGTTTGAATCATTAAAAGGATAAATGGTAAGTAAATACTTTAAGAACTCAGTTTCTGTAGCATATCGTAACTAAGTCGCATTGCCTTTACCGAGCAGGTCGCTTATGTCTTTTGTGTTTTTTTATTGCAACTTCCTCAGACTTTGAGTTGCTGAGAAGTATGTGTATTCTCGCAAGAGTGAAATTATCTTTATGGAACCCGTATTGAAACTGGGCTGATAGGCCAATGATGATCATATTTGCATCATAAGCACAAGCATCAAGTTTCAAAAAATGCTAGATCTAACAACTTGGAGTCTTAATTTTCTTACACATGGTTAGCTATTAGATGTATTTGAATTCAATTACAGTATTACATACCCAAAGGGTTCCCAACATAAGGTCGATATTAAAATTATAGTACCCATGTCAATTTGCTTTTGTCAGATAATTTAGGATTCCCTAATTATCCTTGCATCTTGCAAATACCAACTTATTGATACAAAAGAAAGCATGTCTTCTGAAAAGATGATCATTTGCTCAGTATTCTATCCACGCGGAAAGAGAATATATTGTTATCTTTTCCGTGTTTATTATAGTAAGGGCTGATATTGTTTTGCTACTCGAAGATTATCATTATGTAGAACATACGTTGAATATCTACTTATTTAGAAACCTTGCCATTGAACCGCATAGCTGTAACGCTGAAAAGATTTGCAATAAGCTTCCCAATCACACATTTTACGAACTTCATAAGTGAAACTATAAGTAATAGTTTCTTCTCACGTAACAAATAACATTGCATCTTACTCGAATTTTAACAAGAAATAATTTCAGTATGTAACTCGCTAGCAATTTATACCTTTTTATCGCTCTCTTAGTCAATTCATTTATTCCGTCTAGCCAAGAATTTAAAAAACCAAAATAATAAAAAACTTGCGTAGCCCCTTGTTGCTGCTTTCCTACTGTTATGAGTATCACTTACCAATAATTGGAAAAACTTTGATTTATTCGCGCGAGACCTTAAAAATATATATGAAACCTCGTTTTTGAGCTTTTGCAGAGCAATTTTAACGAACCTTGCCATATCTGGTCTGGCATTGTTTTAAAGAATGATGACTTCGCCTTACTGACCAGCTGTTTTCTATTGGATAGTCTCGTTCATACAAGGTAACTGGGTCATATGCAGATTATTGTTTTCCGTTTTTATTTTTATAGAACATGTTTAGTGTAGGAACATTGTTGTAGTTTCGAAACGATGTTCTTTTTAAGATAGAAATCTGGTTTAATTCCGTGCTTGTGCATAACTGTTAAAAATACCTTCCTTTGCTTTGTTTTATATTGGGATAGAGATACCATTTCTCGTCGCCCTCAACAATTCTGTGCAGAAATTCATTGCGGCTGCGTATAGTTGGTGCTGGGCAAGATATTAAGGGACAATATAAAACCATATGTACTTGTACTTCTCACTTAGAGTATTAAACATTTAGGTTCTTGATTTTGAAATCACTTCTTAACTTTGGCAAAAGGCGAAGTACAATGCATGTTCAAAATGTACCTTTTTTTAAAAAATGATCCATTATTGGTACCTGAACTCAAAGTAAAACTCAACTAACTGCACAGTTCACTAAATTTACAACCGGGTTATAGGGGAGACAGCGTACTTCCCAAGAGCATATATAAATGAACAAATATTTAAAAACAAGTTCCAAAGTTGCCGTCAGCTAGAGGTGTCGCATAGCTATTGAAGCTATTTAACTGAGTTATTCGAAAAGTGATAGCGCCGTTTATTTCTTACTTCCTTTTATTTCCTTTTGTTCGTTTGTGATCGAATATTATATAACACTGGAAAACGGTTTTAATTTTTCCAACGTAGTAATTTTGACCGAGCTACAAAATTTCTCCTTAAGTGTTTCAACCAAAAACAGGTATGTCGGATGAAAATAATGTAATACGGACTTTTTGCCAACGTCTCGAAACTTTGAAAGCCACCTAAAAAATTTTGCTCTGTGTGCTATGAAGACCCTGAACTGAGACATATGGATTCATCTGACCTACCTACTTCTCTCCTTCAAAAAATAACAAGGCAGTTTTGTTTCGATTTTCAAGAGCTTAGTGAACTGCTTTTTCAGGTCGAAAATGTCATCTCCTTTTGTCCAGCCGAGAGCATCATTTACAAATAGCAAGTACTTTTGAGTAGTACTCTGAGCTAGAGTTTTGATGATAGACTGCGCACCTATACAGTTGTTTTTGCAGACTTTTCACCGTTGTGCAAGAAAGGTAAGAAAAATCGAAACTGCTTTTTTTTGCAGTCGACGTACCATATATAAAGGCCAAGCGCAAACCAATATTTCTCGACCTGAACAAAATGATAATAACGATGTTACACAAAAACTGTCATATAGGTTTTGTTAAAACACTAAATAAACGAATGTCAAGATCAATGGACAATTCCGGCAACGATAAAAAACAGTTCATACTGAAATAAAATATTTGCAACTCACAGTTTTCAAAATAATCATAAAAACCTAAGAGCGTGACTTAAGTTTTAGCAAGTAATCAATCCATTTTGACAATATAAGCATCTAAAAGGCAAATCATATATGAGGTTATGCTTGTTAGTATAGAGAACTGCTCTTTATGATCAACTAAATACCTATAGCCAATTTGGAAATGTGATTAAAAATACTTTTGTTTGTATTCACACTTTTTAAGTTTTTTAGTGCTAATCTAAAACGTTCCGACGACAACTAGGCTGACTTCATCATTTTTTTCTAAAGATTTTAAGATATATCAACAACATGTTAACAGTAGAATAAGGTTACATGCAGCTGAACACTCCTTTCCAGGTATAAAGGTTTGTTTTGTCTTGAGACAGTTTTTGTTCATTGTATCTAAAATTGTGTCTGTTGCAAAACCACACCATGGGTTGGCTGGATTTTAAGATGGTCTATGACAGGAGGTATGTCAAGTCATAAAGCTTTGTATTTCTAATATTAGCCCGCTGCAGCTAAACCCATGTTGTGTTAATACCCGTTACTAACTAACCTATGCGCAGCTTTATTATTTTATTTTTAACGCATAATTTAGTTACACGTTCAGTGAGCAGAGTGCCTAAATAAAGCAAAAAATCGAAAATCGTCTGAACTAAATTTAATTTTATTTTTTTGCTCAGTTTCCATCACAAAAAAAAAGTGTACACTTGTTTCTCATTAGATCAGTTTCCAAGGGAAGAAAAATACATTGTAACAGCGTTTTTTAGTGAGAACTCTAGGTGGTGCTTAATGTGACTTAGCTCGAAGCCCACTTGGTATATTCAAATACAGTACGGAGTTTTCCGGGTTCTTTAAAAGAGACTGTATTGCAATCATGCTGCTGTATTGTTGTCTTAGGTACCTCGAGAATAATCCTAGAAGTGTCACCGCGTTTGATATTTGAAACCGAAATGATGTTTCAAACATCAATTTGAAACAATGCTGAAAAACTTCAGTGGATTTCAGTGGCAATATTGCTGACGAAACGTGAGTCCGCCACTACACTCCTGTGTATCACATACAAACAAAAAATTGACTGAATTAAAGAGTCATACAAGCTATACATAGTCACGATGACTGGTTTTTAGGACGCAAGCGGAACATTTCAATCGCAATCGAGAATATTTAGCAACTATTTCTTTTGACTACATTTATAGAGATAGTTTGTATAAAAATAACATAATTTAGGTGAGAAAATAATTCAACCTCACAAATTGTTTGTTTGCAATGGTTAAAATTACGTAGAAGTCGCGGTTGCTCCACTATGCAGATCTACCTTTCGGCGGCTAATACCTACCATTCGAAGCAGTAATTTGCAAGAAGAGGAAAGAGATAAGTGTAAGCGTAAGGTAAAATACAATGTTGGGTACAATTGATGGGCAAGTAGATCTTATTTATTTATTTATTTACTTATTTATCACGCGATGCTATCGACCAAGAAATTACATGTATATGATTGCCCAGAAGCTTCCAGAGTATTGGAATAAATGTACAAAAAAATAAAGAAAAGTTTTCCTAACACATGAAAGATCATTATTCTGGACCAGCTAGCTTAATCAACTCACAAGTCCAGCGGATTCGCTATTGCAGAATATAATACACAATTTTTGAAGTAAAGTCCTTCTACTATAGAAAATACTTCAATTTAACAAGGAATAAAAAAAATCATCATCTAAGTGTTTTTTTTTTATTATTATTACTTGATTACCTTTTGGAAATATGGCAACAAACTGGCGTTTGAACTAATTACTCTTACCGACTTATCGGAGAATACACAACGTGCCCTTGGCAAACCGAGGCGGTGTGTCTAGGTCGTTTCCATTAGTTTCCGCTCAATATTAAACGCGACCTCAAGAATTCGTAAGTTTTTAAGGATAGTTCGCTACCGGCTGCCATCAGACATAGTCAATAAGCTCAGAAATTTCCGAAAAGCAAGTCACGGAAGATGTTGGCGTTACAAAGCTTGGACTGTTTGGGCAAACTACATGTGTGATTTAATGAGAATCTGAGCCCAGTTCCTTTCTGTGTAGTTGTTAATGGTTTGTTTAACAAAATTAAGAGGTATCACATTTAAGTCGATGTTCAATATGTGCAGACAACTTCGTGTAACTCAGTAGCAGTAGCCAGCATCTTTAGTAAGCTTTGGTTACCGGCTCGGTACGTCGGACTCATTACGACTAAGTAATAGGGCACTCAGGTATTTCAACCCCTTTATTTGCCTACGGGTGACATTCACTCTTATTCGTAGACTCTTATTAGTATTCTTTTGGAAATCATATAGGACCAAGGTCATAAAGAGAGCTAATAATTCATACTATTATCTTAAAATCCGTTCATGTTTCTTTACAAACAGTGCTCGTTTTTATGTGCTTTATGCACTTAGGAAATGTTACTTATGTGGGAGCTCTTAACGGTAAAGTAGTTTTGTGATCTTGATCAGGTAGACTTTGATAGGAACGCGAGTCGTTGGATTCCATGCCTTATGGAACAAACTATCTTATCAACTGCTACTATCCGGACGATAATTGTCCCCGTACAGAAGATCACGTACTAGGAATCATACGACCCTCTGCCTATTATAATTTTTCTAACAATTTACCACCCGCATAATAGCCTCTTCTAAATTTCTTCATGTGATTAATGTGTTTATAATATTACAATTACACTTAATTGTAATGTGTTATTATCACTATAATATATTATATTTTGTTGGAATAGATGTTCACAAGCTTAACAAAATTTTAAAGATTTATGAGGTCGCGAACAAGTACCTTACTATAGGCTGATCCCAGAAATTAATCATTTTTTGGAAAAATTCTGTTCGCATTGTGCGTCAAAACCGATATGTGAGTTCAAATTGGTTATGAAGATCTAGTTTTAATTTTTTAAACATACCATCTTAGCTTGAATCTCTGACATACCCCAGCAGCTAAGCGCGGGAATCACGCGTCCTTCAAACCCTATTAAGGATCAAAAAATAAGGTAACATTAACATGGTTAAAGTCATTCATTTATTGGTAAACGAGCTTAAGTCCAAATTATTTTTTATGTCACATCTGCAGGTCAGGGCAATCTGCCATTCACCAGATGTCTTTCGACTGCATATAATTACGTAATTTAAAAAATGTTTCACTTCTCACTGGTTTAAAGGTATTTGTTTCTTTTTTCGATATTAATCTTTACTGAATTTCAACGGATTGCTAAAAGTTAATTTCAGAGACCTGTTTTGGCTGCTAAAATTCGATCACACGATGGCAGTGTTTCTAGTCAAAAGAACCGCTCCAAATTTTAAAATTATTATTACAATTTGTGCGTGTATATCATATATGTCAAGAGGAAGAGGCATGCTGTTTTTTCTTCGTGGGGATAAACTTTTTATTCTTCGATTCTTCTTCCTTACCATGATCTTTCACGTTGCATTGCCTGTATAGCATTTTGTTTATTAACCGAATCAAAATATTTTTTGAAATTCCTCAGGCTGAATCTTTGTAACACATGCACTTTTTAGAGTCGCCTATTTTTATAAATAGCTCCATCGTACGGAAGTATCGTGCAATTATTATTGATTTTTAAGATTTACATAGTTGAAAGATTTGAATTGAACAGTTTATCATATTTTAGGAATATTCACTTGAAAAATAAACCGCCTGAGAAGGGAATATCCCTGCCGTGCGCAATTGTCAATATTCTAATAATATTACCACAATAAAATGATACGGAATATACAAGTAATACCATTAAGTAAACGAACTCAGAACACAAATTGCGAATCTAATATACACTTATAACATTGTGCCTGTTCTATTTTTGCGTATTATGTTTTATCATATCAGCATTGGCATCAAAATCCGTTCGTTTTATATCTAGAAAAAATAGGATTGACTTACTTTGAAACCATCGCCACCCATAAACGGGAACACTTCTGTAGGGGTTGACACAAGGTTGTTGTTTAATATGATCTTCAAGTCCAGGCTCTAATTTCAGGCTTAAGAGCATCATTTGAGCTGGTGTAGATGCTATCATAGAAGAAGCACCCGGGTTTGCTACAGCGCCTCGAACACCGCCACCTTGACCACGGTTGCGAAACTCTTCCACAGAGAGATGGGATAGCTCAGCTTTAATTGGGCAAAAGAATACCAGTACAGCCGCAAGTTGCACACGTTGCTGCATGGCACTCATGGATGCAGCTTGCTTTAATCGTTTTTATTGCGCCGTACTAGGTACAGTAACCTTTATTGCCTTTAAGATGACAAGGACCTAGGTTATTGCTGGCTAACTACTTCGCTCATGCAACACCAATATTTAGAGAACGTTGTGATTGTAATATAGATCCTAGTAACACTGGAACTTCGAAGCTTGCACCGAGCAAACATGGGAGCCGTGACACTCAATTAGACGATTGCTATCAATCTGACAGTTCTTCCGTTACAACCAAATGTGATGCCATTGTTATCCAGGTCGCCTCATATGGGATTTCCCAATCGAACTTAATGTCGAAACTAAATTGAAATATTGGTTTGTTATTGCAAAAAAATTTGAAATCGGCTAGAAATGAAACAGTGGCTACTGCACGGACTGTCAAGGGGAGCATGCACGCCAATCACTTCCGGCGCAATGGAAAGCTGGAAACGTCGTTTAGCATAGCAACACTCAACCATGCGGCAAATATTAGTATTTCATGTTACTAAAAATCATTATATATATATATATATATATATGCACACACTGTAATTTTATTGGACCGTTGTTCTTCGATGATACAGTGACTTGTGGTAATTGCTTGAATTTACGAATGATATCTTAAAGGCAAAGTCTACGCCAGACATTGACGACACTAGAAAATTTGGAAATTCATTGAAGCTTATAAATATATAGCCCACCGTTGTAGCGGTCTATTGTCACGAACGATAATAATTTGCGGTAGGTAGAGATGTTAGACATTTAATGTAATTTATATACAAATTATATGTGGATGAAAAACTCACTCTACATGATTTTTTTGAAGCTCGTTAGCCATAATAACTAGTGAAGATTCCAAGGTAATAAAATAAATCGGAGAACTTTAATTCATCTAGCAAAAATAATTTAGCGGATATAATAGTGTACATATCCCATTTTTACAAACTTTACAAAGGCTTTAAAAGTAATATGCATGAATTGAACTTATATTTAAGCATGTACCGTTTTCTGCGTGACAATACTTTTTCTTGCAATCTAAATTGCGTCGTTCTCACAGCCGCCTTTGTGTTGTTGCTATGGGGATTGCTCTCTTAATATAAAACGCTAAAGAAATGCATCTATTACCTTTTTCTCTAGCACTCTATTAAATGACTCTTTATAAGACTCTACTTAGTTGTATCTATTCAAATTATTTTATTTTATTTACGAAGATTCTGTGTCTTGCTTAGCTCATATAGTCCCATATAAAGAGCTGCATAGTCAAAATTTAAAGATTAGTAACGCGCTTCTCTAGAGAAAATTGTTTTTCATATGCTGTTTTAGCCATACCGGTTTCTAGTGAAATAAAAAATCTCCAAAATCCAACGTCGATTAGATTTTATTAAACAATAACGTAAGTTTACTTGTGTCTAGTGTTATTTTTTACATTTTCTATATGTCATATATATATATTAGTACAGACCAACTGTATGACCTTCCTTTTTTGATCGTGCGCAGTGCAATGTCTAATTAACAACGCCCCACTATCGGCTTTGTATGACGAACTTAGATACGTCGAGTTTCAGCTAAATATATATATATATATGTATATATAGAAAAATCACCTCACCATTATATTAACTAGGAAAATAAGTTAATGCGGCATATGTTTGTTGCTGCCGTTTTTCCCAATTTGTCGTTTATTCAAGCTGCCGTTGGGCAGCTTTCTTTGTCACCTGTAATAACTTTGCACGGATTTTCAAATTTTACCTTAAAGCAACATTTACATGGTTAACAATTCATGAGTTGTAAATATCAGATCATATATGAACTCATTCAAAACTTAAAAAACTATAAAGAAAAGACAACTAAAAACAAATTTTTAGAAAATATAGAAATTACTAAATGTTTTGAGCTTAACATCCGGCACCGCCGATAGATATTCCTTCAGGCGGTTGAATACATAGAAATGTAAATAAAAATATAAGACGATTAGCAGAAGATATGATTAAAAATGCTGCAAAACTCTGGAGATATATAGTATTTTTTTCAGTATTTTCAATCATATTGCCCTTATGTTTTCAGGCAATTTTATTTTGTTCGTTCTTTATGAGTTTTTTAATATTTTCTTTTTTGTTCACTTTTAAATTATTTAAAGTCCCAATTATTATAACCAAATGAAAAATGGTGCACCCACTTTAGGATTCAAACACAGGTTAAATTTTAGACATCAGTCTCTACAGCATAGAAAAAGCTTTCCACCACAGATATAACACGTGACCACCACAGAATGATAAATTCGAAAAGGCAAATAACACGACTTGCAAAAACGTTTCCTGTCCAATACTTTTCAAATTGTCATTTTAATTTCTGTCACATATCACGTTTTAAATCAGATCTCAACTCGACAACTACATTTTGAGCTTGTACTGATTGTAAACTCGCTTTACATCAAGTTTTTATTCCCTCTTTAAATAACTATTCATTACCCGTAAAAAGTTTTCTTCAGTACGATAAAACTGTTGACTATCTAGCGTTAGTGAATGTAAACCAATATTTTTTAAACGTTTTTACAGTGATAGAACGATAATAATGGTCAACCATGTATGACCATTGATTATTTCATATTAATTGCACCTGTAAAAGGCCTGAAGAGATTAACTTATGATAGGTACTTCGCAAATGTTTGATGAAGTTCTGATTGCAAATACTTAACAATGCTTGATCGCTTCGTGTTCGATTACCTGTTGTTTTGGAAACTGAACGCATGGCTGTTGTTAACATGATCGATACTATAAAACGGAAAGCATAAATTAATCGACAAGTAACTTACATGAACCCGCGGATGTTCTGTCCTGTAACGATACTTGGACCACCCCTGTAAGGCTACGCAGCTAATGATTTCTGCAGATGGTTAAATACAACAACATATTCGGATTATCCTAAAATAATCGAAATAGAAAAGAAAAAGATTTGACTAGTTGAAAGCTAAGTTTAAATTTTCATTGTTAATTCACTATAACATTAATATTACTATAATTTTGGAGCATAGTTTTAATAAAAATATGTTACATACTTAATCAGTCTACTGCCATAGAATAACAATGAACTAGAATTGCTTAATCAGTGTAAAATCTTGTTAAGACTGTCCGTATATATCCGTACGAAATTTCACATTTTTTCTAAATTCGTCATATATATACACAGATGCATTTCGCACTCCCAAGTATGTTTTCAAGTATGCCGTTTTCACGATTGATAACGATGGTAACATTGCTAAATAACAAGTATCAATTTTAAAACCTGTTTAATTGAAAACGATTAATTTTTTGCATGGTCTACTTCATACAATTATCTAATCCAATGATCTAATCGTTCGGTTTAACGCCGAGAAAGATTATAATAATTTGCTTGTTCATTGCAAGTCAATGCTACAGTGGTAATAATAGTGGTTGAGGCTCAAATGAACTAAAATAGCAAAATTACTTTTACGAGTTAAGATTAACTACTATAAACAGAATTCGGATCCAATTTAATTATTCTATTTTAAACCTTGGCAAGCATTCCTTTCACAATGCTTAACCCCAATTATTAAGTGTCCATCAAGCTAAAAGGGGTCTTAGATGTGTTCTAACACATCTAAATACACATTAAATCCACAGCATTAATATTTTTAGAGATTTAGTATACTACAAGTCAAAAGTTGATACAGTATTCTTAGAACTGTTTGTTGCCTCTACTCAAAATTATCTATTTAATTTAATTATGTTGTCTCCAGCGATAAAATCAACGTGTACACATAATAATGGTGGCACACATAATGGTGCAACTACAGCGTGAAAAGGATAATATATAATGATAATCTAAGGTCAGCAGTTATTGTTTTAGGCAAAATTCAGTCTATGAAAACTAGAGCGAAATTATCGTAGATCAGCGGATTCATAGAATCACAGTTTAAGATTATTAGAAATCGTGTAGTGCTGAGTCCTATGTATGAGAGGTATGATAAACATGAATAACATCTATTTTAATCCAGGAGTCACATGTTATCGATTCCTTCTAAATTTCTTCTAAATTGTACCTTCGAGCGCTACCAATTATTAAGGAACATGCGAGGCGCCTTCATTGTAGTGCCTTCGTTTTTTCATTTCTAGCATGTATTTACATTTGTCTAGAGCTATGCGACTACCAGATTCACCACATAAATTATATACGATTTTGTTAATATTACTAAAAAAGATCAGTAGATAAATCTATGATGCCACCTGAGTAGATACTTTGTTATATCAAATGAGTGCAGATTTGTAATTGAAACATTCAAAGTAGACGTATGAAAATAACGATGATATTTTTTCGATTCAACATGGCACTCGAACGAATACAAACATATTCCATATACTATTAGCTAGTGCTTATATTGTTGTTTACGGCGATATATTAGGCTTACCACTGCTTAAAATATTTAAGTTGGCGTGTCTGAACTCCGATAATTACTCCATCATATTTACACGCACACCTTAGCCAGCAACTGGAAAGTTCCTCAAAGGTTTATATTTGCGATATGTATTGCTATGAATGTTTCCATAATATATAACTGTTTCCAGTTAACTAACGTTTGCAGATTTAATTAATCAACTAACCTTTCTACTGCATTGAAGCAAGCATAATTTCACAGATCTAACGCAAGAGAATCTAGGAGTTGGAGCCAGTGCCTAATTTGCGACACTTGATAAACTTGACACTTGCGACACTTGATTTTCATTAATGGGCTATTCTGTTCAGAAGTTTCGTTAAATGTGATAGATATGAAGAAAAATTAATTTCTTTCTTATTTCATACTGTTGAAAATACTGAAATAATATTTCTTTTTCGTTTGACCACTTATTTGCAGAAAACTCATCAACTGCAATTATCATCAGTATACTAGGCTCAAATCTAGTACTGGCAGGTAACTCGGCGCATAGGTTTGATTCTAACCGAAGAGAACTCCATCTAACCTCTTTTATTTTCGACTATAAGCTGCAAAACGATCCGTTTTTCGGCCCTTTTCAATATTAAATCCTTCCTAACTAGATCGTTGGGATCAAAGTTGTAAGTTAAGTATACTTAGCATAGATGTGGCAATGCTTAATTGTACGTACAGACGTAAAATTCGGAGAATTAGGTCTTGCCGACACATGCATCAATTTTCCCAAATTTTAAGAACAGATTGACCTTGAGAAACCAAAAAATTATCTTTAAAATAAGCGTTGTAGATATTGCCACTTTTTTGCTTTTTGTTGTAAAAAAAATTATTAATTTTTGTTGAAGAGGTGCAGTTTACAAAGAGAACTTCTTCAACAATAGTTAAGTAAACAAGTGTTTAAATAGAAACTATGAATCTACTGTTACTGCTTGCTGGCAAAATATCTTTTGCAAGTGATGCTTATTTACAACATTATGAAAAGTTGAAAATCGACAACTATTTAAACCACTTATTCTTGTAGAAGCTAAGGCGAACGATGGTGACGTAATGGAAAATACCAACGCCTATGTAATTATTATATTTTACCGCAGTAATGTGAGCTCGTTCCATTTCATAATGCCGATTCAATATACTGTAAGAAAATCTGTTCCTTGCAGGCATCATCAGTGGATTTGGGACTTCTTTGCAGTTGTGATTAAAAAAATGCCTTTTTTGCTTGGAATTTGTAGTTTGAGTCTTTATAAATAGCTCTATAATATACCGCTACCTATTAAATTACATGGCTAGTTGCACTACGTTAGATACTTCCAAAGCAGCAACGATCGTCAGTAAAAGAACAACTCAGAAGAAGCTGTTGGGTATTTTAAAATTAAACATCACCTGCCCCATTGTCTACTCTTATGTAAAGGCCCGGTACCCCACGTCCGCTTGACGAGATCGGCAGCTTTTTCACCAATCATAATGGCTGGTGCATTCGTGTTTCCCGATACAATATCAGGCATTATAGAGGCGTCGGCCACTCGGAGACCCGTCACTCCTTGCACCCTTTAAATCCAAGAAAAATAGAAGCCCGTAGTGCCTATTACTAGCTTCACTGCTCACAACCTAATGTATTCTTTTACTTTATTTTTATATTGGTCTGATATTTTTGTATTTTTTATGATAGACCCTGAACGGCCATTTAACACTGCTCTTCTTTAAAGTAAAAGATAGACTTACCTGAGCTCGGGATCAACGACAGCATTAGAGTCCCAAGCAGGACCCATTTTGCAGGTTCCCACAGGATGATAAATTGTACTAGTTATTGTGCGAGCCATGCATGCAAGATATTCGTCCGACCAAGAGCTATAGTGCTCGCAGCCGGGAATCGGTTCTGCCCACAATTTTGTATCAAATGCCTTGAACGCTGGCGTTTGAGATAGCGAAATGCAGAATTTCATACCTGACCAAATATCAAGAATGTACGTTAGAAAAATATCACATTAAGCGAAGCTCTAGTTCATCTAGAGGTTGAATTTTACTAGAAGCAAATCGTAAAAGTATACACAAAAGTGTAAAGTAAATTTTGTGCATTTTTCACGCGAATCATACAGAAGCAGGTAGATCATGCCCACTAGTTTTACATGAAGTACATTTAAATGCATACAGATTACTTGGGAAATAGAATCACACACATACTTTAAATAAAGCACTTACCAGTGATTTCCTATATTGTAATCTCTGTGGCTTTGCCAACCGCTTCGAATTAAAAGAAAAGATATATCTCTAAAAGAAATCGCAGACTTCTGAGAGAATCTTCACAAGAAAAAGGGAGATTATTATTATTATTAAACGTTATTAGCATTAACAGCCAAGACAAGTAATGTAAAAAAGCTGATTCCGTATTAGAGACAGGGAAAAAAGAGCACAAAAAGTACATGCAAAGTAATAATCACTCTTTATATTATAGCAAATATACTAAATAAGGAGTCATTCGTACCTCAACAAATAGAAAATAATGGAATGTATAAGCCCTCTCTGCAGATCACGAAATCATGAAAAATAAACCAAAGATATAAGATGCCAAATTCAGGTAGTTATATAGAAGGTGGGCAGAACAATAGAGGAAAAAGGATAAACGGGGAAATCCAAAACCAACAAACAAAAAGCAGTATACGAAAAGTGGTATATTGATTTTTCCCATTTGTCATTTTCGAAAATTATTAGTAACATTACTCATCAAGTAAGTCATTAGTACCTCAAAACGATGTTATATTTAAATTATGATTAAGGTAAATATAATACCTTCAACGAGAGTTCGAATATCATGTGGATGCGTGAGATACTTCGGATCGATCGTAGGCGGATCATAGGGAGATATTGTGCGAAGCTTCAAAAAGCCGCGTGACTTTGGACGCAACAAGACAGGAAAGATAGACACACCATCCTTGTAGAGATGTGGAATATAATAACGTTCCCATAGCTGTAAAAATTGAACATATTTGCAAAATTTAAATCATGAATAACATAGTGATTGTTGATTTTCTGACAAATTCTAGTAATTATATGAAAAAACGGCTCGTAGTATGAGTTCCATACCAAAATTATTGAACACTGAATACGAAAACTCAAAAGCGATGCTACTTCATACGGAATTCCTATAGTCTGAATTCCTCAAAACAATCTTCTGCAATCAGTTTTTTTTATTTAATACTTTGAAAACTTGGGCTAAAGAGCAATCATTCCTTCAGTTATTATAATATTATATTCTGTTAATGGGTGATTTTCTATGGTCGCAATTTTCTGAGCCATGGTGTGGTTAGACCCACGTCTACACTTCATTGCAGTAAACATTTAATCTACATACATTTGTAAGGCAATGACTGGGCTAAAAACCGCCAAAAAAATTGCAACGCATCCTATAAAAACTGCATTCAAAAACATGCGGAACGATTCACAAAGGAACTATTGTACATAGGAGATACACTGTCCCGGCAACAACGTGCTGTATGTTTCTATAGATTTATACAAATTCTAAAGGATACTCAATGCAGAACAGTTAAGTACTGCGTAGTAGGTGCATTCAGAATTGCTACTACTAGTACGTGGTAGATAATTATTGTACGCATAGAAATTAACAAAACAGATCGTCTGGGTTCAAATTTGGTGCAGACACGCTTGAACTCCAGAAAAAACAATTTGATTTTTAGCAGTGCTAAATAACGATATCGAGGCTGTCGCAGACGTACTAGATACGATTTAAATAATTCGAAAAACCATTTGAACTACTTGCTTTACGTTTTACACCGTTAATACGCTAAATTAAAGATATAATCTTTAGTCACGTCAACCATACTCTTAGCGAACCTATATATATATATATATATATATATATATATATATATATATATATATATATAGGTTATAATATATATTATTACCGTTTTGATTATTACAATTCTAATAACGACTAGCTTTTAGCCGGAAATTCTAATAAATGTTTCACTTGATACGGCAGAGCATTCTTGTTAAATTGAAGCTTTTAGTTTCTCAGTGCCGTCAATTTTGTAACGTAGAATTTTTGAGGCATCTACAAAAAAAGTTGATTGGGATCGGGTCTAGTAAACAGGTAGTGGATGTGAAGCCTCCTTGTCAAATTCGCATTGAGATATGCTCTTACGTCACTATGAAAGTGCATAGGCGATGTTATTGGAAGTAAGGTTTGTCATCTTTACTATTTTCCCACATACGTATTAAACCAGGTATACGTATTAAACTAAGGTTCAAATAAGTGGCACCGATCAGAATGCACCGTAACGTCTGGTAAGTTTCTATAGTGTTTTTGCGCTGGGTTTACAAATAAGTGCATTCATGTCGATTAGTCATGCCATTCAATTTACTTATAACAATCTTCTGGGAAAACCGTGAATATTGTCCATATTTTTGGCTTGGTTCACTACAACTTTTTAGTATTTTTGTTGACTCGTGGAACTCGCTGGTGCTGTTAGTCTTTCGGCACATTGCCTATAATCATCCTAAACAGTTAAATAATTGCTAGACGTATCTTTTATCCGATTAAGATTCTAAGTCGCATAAGTGGAGTTGCCTGAACCTGCTTACGACAGTGATTTACACTTCTGCTGTATTTTCGTATTTCCAGTATAAATCTAAAATAAATTTTCTGCGTTCAAAAATTAATCTCTGTCGATTCCTTCCCAATTAATTTAATCCCGAAGAGAAAAAAAATTATTATCCGCTAAATAGTCATTTTTTCGGGACACCCTGTGTATATACATATATATATTTAGGTTAGAGCATTCAAATTCAAAAAAATTTGTCGAGCTATCTGTCGTAGTGTGCATGCGCTTATTCGTTACCCTTGATATAAGAAGAAGCCGGTTTTAACAACAACACAAGCTCGTCATGGCGGGAAACATTGCGTCGTCTTCGCAGGTTCAGCGAAGCTTAACTATTTTCTAATCCCTTCTTGCGTTTGGGGAAGCGTCAACGCGTTATCGCCGGCATTTATATGGTTTAAGAAAAATCAGAGCGAGATTCTCATGAGCTAAACCAGATTCTCAATAAAAGATAGATTTTTCCTCGAAAATTTATCAAAATAACTCAAAAAGCCGTTTTTGATATACCTGGATCTTGGACATTGAAATAAACAGCCGTTCCAGGAAGGAGAACATCAATTGTTTTTTGCGTTTATCTTACCTGCTATCAGCCTGTTTCTTTTTTTTAAAGCGTGTGTTTCAGCGACACTAATCAATCTTCTTCAACGAATATCGCTTGCAGCATGATTACAATAAACACATTTCTTGCGGATTTGAGAAATATTTTGACAATGACTACTTAATAGTCTAGATCTTGAGTTAAAGATGTATTTATATTAAGTATAAGCGATTATATTAAGTACATACAACCGCAAGAAATGATACATTTAGAGCATGCGAAAAAATTCGTCAAGTATCTGTTTGCTTAGATATAGTTCTAGGAACAACAGAAAGAAAACGTAGAAGAAACTTTCACGTTTTTTCAGTCACGAGTTTTGGAGATCAGCGAATGACTATTCTGCGAAGGAGTTTTATATAGCCTCAACCGACCGTAACCGGAAATACATTTATTGTAATTATATAATTTGTACTATCATTTCACTCCCCCACGCTACCGTGCAGGATGCATCCGCAACTTGCTTTGCAGCACTCTACTTTGTCTTGAGCCAACCAAAAGCAATTTCCGTGACGTATAAGGATACTGGCGTGAAAGAATCAAAAAGACGGACTCTCCGCGGCAGAGGAACCGACGGCAGGAGTGGTCGTTTTTTGGGGGACTCGTCTCGATTGGCTGAATCGGGCATGGACCTCCTCTGTTCACAACTTGGGTGCAGGACGACCGGATCCCTGGGCTAACCGCGACTTTTCAACTCTAACAGCACAGCCTCGAACCTGCGGAGAAATTTAAATAGCGTTACGCTTAGGGCCTTGATGATTATAGTGCTTACAGTAAAGGTGACCGTCGGAAGCCTTCACGGTTTTTGCCGAGTTGTTCCAGCGGAAACACAAAGAGGTGCTTTGTGACGGTGCGCATCACACGCTTCACTAACCTGTTTACGTGCGCGGGAGTTGAGGCAGTCCTCAATAAGCGAATATTGATACGTGACAAACTGCCATCCGCGCCGGCCGCAGAAACTAGCTGGTGCCTCCGTAGCTATTTCGTCCGTAAACTCATACTGGTTCTGAATAATATAGAGGATCTCTATCGAAATCTGGGTCGTCGCGCAGCGCGCCGAGAAAAGGCCAAAAATATGGATACAATAGTCTGTGCTCACTAGCACGCACAAAAACGTCCGAGGCATGCGTAAAGGAGCCTTATAAAGTGCAGGCCTATCTTTGCGAAAAAGAACATTAACGGTTTTACAGGCGTCTGGGGAAGACGGCGCTTGTGGTTGAGGATGCCACAGTCATATAACAGCTCCAAGGCTCATTGGGCCAGCCTTAGATTTATCTTACTTGGCAGGTAGTTACAGCGATACCGTCAATGTTCACTATAAAACGGAAATTTGTACAAGCATAAATGCTTCTTCACTGCCCAGACAACAGCCAAACACTTTAGATGGCATTCGGTCACCTTTTGACACTAAGTATTTTCTTTTTGCTTCCTTTTGTTGTTTCACCTTTTGGACCAAGAGACGTTTACTCGAATAGCCTTTTACACGCTATACGTCTCCATCGAACTGGACAAGCATCGTTCCCAGAGCGACGCCGCTCGTTCGGTCTTCCCGGAAATGTTGCCCAAAAATGGGTTTACTAGTCACGATACCTTTTAAAAACAAAAGCTCTCTTATAAGGCGCAAGCAATGCAAAAGAGACGTTTGCAGCAAATTATGCAGCGGGTTCGTTCTCTTAGCGAAATTTGAAATTTTAATTAGCGGATCGACAGCTCCAGGGAGCTCAGTTGAGGAACAATAGTGGTTGGCGTTAAGACGTCTATTAACGCAATATTTTCTTAATCAATGGAGATTCCCAGAGGAAAATCCCATATCTAAGGACCTTCACCACAACAAATAGAAATGGCAGCACGGAGATCAGTGCATCCAGGAGACGTTACCCATGGTTTTTGAAGCCTTAAGAGAATGCGATCACAGCACTATATTCTCGTAAGACGGGTTAGGGGGGTCTGGAACTTACCCAGTATCCGGTTAATCAGCCGCATGAGCGTTGCCAGTGCATCGACCAACTTGAGAGAACAAGAGCATTTGCTTGAATTATCATAGACTGCTTGATATTAAAAAAAAGTTTTTTTTCATTACCAGGTGCCAAGGAAATCTATCAACAGTCATTCGTCAAGGCCAAGGCGGAGGATACTTAGGCTCCTTACACGACAAGAGCATCGCTAATTTTTCATACATTTATCAATGGGTGCCATAAACAATTCCTTCTACGTAAAACACCATGATTCTCTTCTTTAAACAACATTTTTAACCCGTTAAAAACATAACTTACATATCAATTCAGCTCATTTTATTAAAATATCAGCTAACTTTTAGTTGACATTTTTAGAAACCTGCTTAAAAAAAATTTTTAATTCACCCGGAACACGTTTTTACCGCATTATTATAGGAGCGGAAACGGATGTCACACATTTTTTTATACTGAAATATCCCTTCATATATACCAATTGATGTAAAGGATGGATATCAACAAAGAAGTACTTATGTAGAAAAATAATTTATATACTTAAGTATTTTCCGTAGAAACGTACTTAACTTCGAAAACAATTGCTTAGTAACAATGTTTGTTATAAACATTGTTTTGAGTGTGAACTCGAAGCACATTATCACTTCACCGTCATGTATGCGAGACAAACCCATAACGGGT